TCTAACTACTCTCTCTCTCTCTCCATATATCCAATACAGCGGTAATGCTGCCTTTCTCCGCGGGGGAAAATTGTTGCGATTTTAAGCCAGGGAAATTATAGCCGAGGGCGGTGTCAGGCCAAAACGAGCAGTTCTCCATGGTAAAACACGAAAATACTGTTGGCTCTGCTACTTCAATTTAGCATCCTGATTGAGGAAAGTAGTCATGCTCCTATCCCAAGACGGAAATGGTGCTTGGTGAGCTGCATTTTTCGGTCAATTTCGGTCAATTCCAGGAGCACAACATCATTGGCCTAGATCGCGCGGATGCTGGACCCTTGGCCGAGTGCCAACCTTGAAACCAGCCTGCTCGCGCAAATGGACACCGAAGGATCAATGCCGATGTTCTTGTTCATGATATCATATGCCATGGTACTAGGAAGGGACAATACTTACCTAACCATCTTGCCCTGTGTAATTGATCAACGACAATTGTATGTGACCTCTCGCATTCGGGCACAGTACAGTAGAAGATACTGCAAAGCTCATCCTCCCAGAATCTTCCGTTGACCCTTCAGCAGATATACCAGACGGCTTTGCCAGCGGCTTGATCTTGTAGAACGAAAACGCATAACCCCATTCCAGAAAGGGCCATGTTGTTAGAATTGAGTCGACCAGCTGTACTCCGTAAGAATCCCGATCTGCGCGATAGTCACCCGAGACACTCCACGCCTTTTTTGATTCTACTCGCTCGTTGGCAAGTCCCCCCGGACAACAGCCCAGACCGTCACGCTTGATCTGATCCAGATGATGAGACTGACTGCAAGAATGCTCGTGGAATACATGTCAATTCCGCCGATTGGATGGGTTTTCTTGCGTTTGCCGCCCATAGCGCGAACCCGCTAACTGATCATCCAAAAATAATTCCCAGTATTGCCGGGCAGACAACCCCCACGATGACCACGAAAAAAAAAATTCAGCTCGCTACAGCGGCGTAGCAGCATTTGGAAACAGCTTCCTCCTCTCATCTAGGACTGACGAAAATCTTTAGTTCACTGCCCTCGTCTTCGCAGCACCGGGCGTCATCACGAAGTACGTTCTTGAGATGTCAGCCCAAAGTACGCGTCGTGCAGATGAAATAATGGAGATCTGCATGTAGAACAATCCATCCAGACAGTATCCCTGGATGTTCTTCTCGGACAGACTGGGGATTTCTCCACGGAACACTAACTCCAGAGGCAGAAGAGGATGGGTGATCCAACGAGACAGCTTCCCATCCTTGCCCCTGGCCCACGCGGCGCCAGCGGCGGCGCAGGTGCTGCTTCTGCGTTGCCCACTTCGCGGCCGAAAAAGAATTCCACAGCATGCCTAGCTTGTAAGCAGGCTAAACGGAAGGTAGGTAGTGTGCCCTTATGGCTTCTGTTAAACTTCTGGCTGGTGGTGTCGTCCCAAGTCGTTGGCATCAAAAGTACCGTAGTTTGTGCGCTGGGGTATGTACGGTTCGCTCACTTCTGCTTTTCTTTGCAGTGTAGTGGTCGTCCATCTCCTTGCAAAGCATGCGAAGCAGCCGACTCAGAATGCATCTTCGACGAAACGCTCGACCTCCGGCGCAAGGTGGCCATGAAGCGTACCGTAGACGAGCTGGTAGGATACAAAGAGCTATTATACTCTCTTCTCGAGACGCTCGCTCGGCAGAGCCGACAACGGTCAATCATCTCTTATCTGTTATTCGCAGCAACGCTTCACTGAGCGACATCGCAGCTGCGGTTTCGGAAAATATTCGTGCATTACGCAGCAAAACAACACCCGGGTCGGATTCCTCTTCAGGTTTGGAAGAAGCGGTCTCGAAAGCGGATCGACTTTCGAGGTCCATTCTCGCCGCCGGTTCATGATGTTGGAGAACCTTTGCGACATACCTCTTTTCAACGTGCCAGCCAAACCATGGACCAATGTCACCGACGACACGCAATTTGTCTCCCATTTGGTCTCCCTATACTTCACATGGAATCACCCTTTCGCCCAGTTCATCGATCAACAGGTATTTCTTCGACACATGGCGTCGGGGAACCTGGAATCGCAATTCTGCACCCCTTTCCTTGTCAACAGTCTCCTGGCTGTAGCTAGTGTATGCCATCGGTATTCTTTCCTTGTAATCATCCTGCCCTCATCTGACGCGCAATATTGGTTATAGGTATACTGTGATTTCCCCGAGGCCTTTGCTGTTCCCGGGGATCAGAGCTCTCGTGGCCAACACTTTTACGCTGAAGCAGAAAGACTATGGAAGGCGGAAGAAGGGAAGGCCACCCTGCCCAACGTACAGGGGCTTTTGTTAATGGTTCTTGTGTGCGTGCTCATTGTTGTGTACTTATTGGTTGAGTTATCGTCTCGAGAAAGCTGACTATTCGTGGCAGAGAAGGTCGGATGGTTGATGTTCAAACAAGCCATAAGCCTCGCACAAGAACTTGGCTTATTGCCAGCACCGCCTCGAGGAGCGACGTTCGACCAGGAACCATTGTCGGCCGAAATGCGACGTTCCCGGGCAATCTGTGCTTGGGGAATGTTCATACTGAACTCGTATGTCCAGACCACCTAATTGCTGTTGATGTGCTTATGAAACCACTCAGGCAAATCACCATTTGTCGCCGGAGTGTCGCAGACTTCAGGCTTCCAGCTACTAAACCGTTTATGAGGAACGATCTAGAAGACGGTATCATGTGGACTCCCTATCCGCGTTCGAACCGGATGGACTATGCCAGGAAGCCTGCGCTTTTGCGATACATTATGGTCGAGATGGTTGACTTGACGGAAATTCTGGTGGAGATTCAGGACTTGCTGTTTAATAGAGCCCCGGGATGGGAGCAGATGATCTCTGGGAACACACCAACGCCCTTCATAATCGGTTGCTGCAATGGTATGATAGGTTACCAGAGGCGCTTAGCATCAACGATTGTCCCGTGCCGCAGGCATTGTTCTTGCGGTAAGGATTGCAGGCCCGTGTTTTACGAGCGCCGTGAAAAGGAGGTTGACAAGTTTGCAGGATGCATTATCACTGGGTTGTGTTGACGCTATTCAGCGTCTTTGAGGAACGAGTGCGGTCTCTGGAGATAGTGCCCTCCCCTCACGCTGAACATGCCCAAAAGATTCGTCTCCACTCGGCCAGAGAGATTGCCAGGTATTCGCGCATTCAGCGACAAACATACGGTCTGAACCATGTGCCCTGCGACATGTTACAGTCCACGTCGGCAGCTCTCTTCGTGCTGCTGGACAGTTTGAGCAGCACCGAGTCCCAGACAGCATTTGTTGAGCTCAGTCGACTTCCTGCAGCTTTGAGCAAGCGGTTGAAGCTCAGCAAAAGTATCCTCTGTGTGCTGGAGAGGACAGCCCAGCAGTCCAGTATCAGCCTTCCGTCGGATGTGTTGACCATTTTCAAAGACCTTGAAAAAGACACATCGCATGACGCTCTATAGCAGAGGAGCGATGCATATTCCACTCATGGTATTGTTTTCCGAGACTTGAAATAGCTGGCGATGTGGTTTGATGAGAGGGATTAAACCGATTCCTTCGTCAATGAAGACTCATTGTGGGAAGGGACGGTCGGGATGGTATTTCGGGATCGGGTTGGTGGGAGTTTCGCGCAGCGAACATGGAGATGCTAGTCGTTCCCAGATTAGGCACCTTTTCCTCCTGGGTATCGTGTTGTCCGAAGGCTCCAGGAATGACGTGAAGGAGTTGTCCTAGGGCTGGTGAGCGTCAGGAGTCAGTCTTTGCACTCTGCCAGCCTTTCTCGTTGAGCAGGAAAACCTTAACTGTCACCTCTTGCATCGCAACCCTCCTGTTCTATGTTGATTCTTATTGCGGATCACTCCAGGAGGCACAGGGATATGACAGGAACACTGCATCTAGGAAGCATTAGAGAAAATACTCACTCGAATCACGTGACGGAAGCGACGACTGTCGTTCCATCGATGGTTGAAAACAACTTGGAACCCGTTTTGGCGGTCTGTGATCAAAATGGGGCAAATTCGGGGGGTCTACAAAGCCACGGGATGCCAAACGGGCCGGCCCAGCGGGTTTATTGATTCTCGGTCCTGCTGATATGGCGCTCGATGGCGATATTGCATTCTCTTCTTTTTTTTGTCCCAGAGCTCTAGTTACACAGTGCCCAAGGACATCACTTTGCGGGCCTGTGTGCTTGTGCTACACACACAACAAGAGTTCCCGTCCCTTGTATATACGTTTTCTCCCCTTCGGCCTTCACAACGTTGATTTTTCCTACTAGGAGCATAGTGCCAATGAAAATCTGACGAGCCCTTGGCATTATTCACCTACACCGTAACGTTACAGAGGTTCACCTGCTTATCCGGGTTCGTTGCTCAAGATGGCTGTTGTGTCCCTTGCATGCTTTCTAGGTTTACTACTTCGGGAACGAGATTAGTCTACCAAGGGAGATCAAGAAAGCAGAAAACTACATATATGCGTTCAACGGGGGATGGTTGTATAAGAATAGTTGTCTTTCGGATTTTTAGCAATCATAGGAAAAAAAAGTTTGTCATAGAATGTCGCAACAGAACATACCTATTCAAGTAAAGGTAACACCGTAACAGTAATAGGTACTATGTATGGTGATGGTTGAGTGTGCATATCATGCATAGCTGAGTCAGCAAGCCTCTTGTGCATGCAGATAAGATAAGCACAAAACACCAAAGTGCAAGCGAAAACCCTCAAAATTCACATCCGCTCCGCATCAACCGAAAATCCACTATACGACCCCCGACGGCGACGAGGAGCAACGGCCACCGGTCCAGAGGCCCTGCTTTATCTCCCTGCGCACACTGTCCTCGCGGTACTGACGTCCTTCTGCGTGTTCTCAGCCGACGTTCCCACCATGTCGTACGACGAGCGCGCCAACGCGCGCCCTAACCTGGGCGACGAGTCCGACGTCGAGGAAGAGGCCCTGGTCAATGATTACCGGGAGCAGGTGCACTTTGATGATGGAATGAGCGATCTGGAGCGGACCACGTCCCTGGGAGCTGCATCTCATACTCAGGATCTTCAGGCGCAACTGGCGGCCGCGGCGACCCCACTCGAATTCCAAGCCACGCTCGAGACCAAGTTTGCCAGTTACGACAATTACTGCAGTCTCTTCCACTACATCCTGAACTCGGACGGCCCGGTCGAGTTGGAGGTTCCTTCTGTATGTGGATCTTTCTCTCTGCTTTCAAATAGCACGCAATGGCGTGTTGGGATGCTCCTAATGGAGGAGCATATTTGGACACCTAACTAATATAGCCTCTATAACAGTACTATTGGGCGTGGGATGTTATCGATGAGTTTATCTACCAGTTCGAATCCTTCTGTCGCTACCGTCACCGCGTTGCTAGGAGCGGATCCAACGAGGAGGAGGCCCAGCTGCTTCGCGAGAACCCGAACACGTGGGGTTGCTATTCGGTATTGAACGTTCTTTACTCTCTGATCCAGAGATCGCAGATCAATGAGCAGCTTGCTGCCATCAAGCGCGGCGAAGATCCTTCGGCGGTTGCTGGAGAATATGGGTCCCGCCCATTGTACAAGATGCTGGGCTACTTCTCGATCATTGGGCTGTTGCGGGTCCATTGCTTGCTGGGCGACTTCAGCCTTGCCCTCAAGACCCTGGATGACATCGAGATGAACAAGAAAGCCATGTTTGCTCGCGTCATGGCTGCCCACTTCACGACATACTACTATGTCGGTTTCTCGTACATGATGCTGCGTCGCTATGCCGACGCCATCCGTATGTTCAGCCACATTCTGGTGTACGTGTCGCGGACGAAGAACTTCCAGAAGGGCAGCAACAACTACGATGCGATTGCCAAGAAGAATGACCAGATGCTTGCTTTGATTGCCATCTGTGTCGCCTTCCACCCGACCCGCCTGGACGACACGATCCACACGGCCCTACGCGAGAAGTACGGTGAGCAGTTCAACCGTCTCCAGCGCGGTGGCCCCGAGGCTCTTCCTCTGTTCGAGGAGCTTTTCCGCTCCGCATGCCCCAAGTTCATCAACCCAACGCCTCCGGACTTTGACAACCCACACCTCAACATCGACCCGGTTGACCACCACACTGCGATCTTCATGGACGAAGTGCGCAACACTCTTTTCAACCCGACGGTGAAGTCTTACTTGAAGCTCTACACCACGATGGACTTGAAGAAACTGGCTGGTTTCCTGGAGGTCGACCCGGAGAAGCTTCGCTCATGGCTGCTGGTGAACAAGCAGCGGAGTCGTCAAGTCCGCTGGGCCGAGGGCGGTTTGCTAGAAGGCGAACCCATCAACGCCAGCGACCTGGACTACGCCATTGAAGGTGACCTGATCCACATCAGCGAAGCCAAAGCTGGTCGGAGACTCGTGGACTGGTACCTGCGGAACCTCGCTCGGACTTACTGAAGGGACAGCACGGGTTATTTTCAACGAGAGAATGATTTGTTTTTACTTCTTTGAGGCATTGCAGGGTGAAGCCGCCTTTTCCCCCATCGGGCAATGGCTTTTTGTCCATGCGTCCTCTATATTCGCACTAAGAAAGAGAGGACAACCTACACGAGACCCTGATTTTTTTTTTCTAGATTCATCTCGTGAGAAAGAATTTTCAACTCGCCAGGCTGTGTATATGCCATGAAACGATAGAAAATAACGGCCGTGCGCAGATGAGATGAGATGAGACGAGACGAGAAGTATGAGCAGAAACGATAAAAATTCCCTTCTGTTTGGTTCAAGGCAATTTTTTTTCCTTTCCTTTTTTTTCTTTTCTATTCTTTGGAGTTGACGTATCCTTGTGTAATGTACTTAGTTATGCATGCACCGGTCAGTGGTTGTGGTCGTGGACCATCCCATAGAGATAGCCAGAAAGGGGGGAGCAAGACAGGCAGGTAGCCATCTATCCATCTATTCGTGGATGTGTGTGAGTTAGATGAATGGAAGAAATTGAATGAAAAGGTTAGAAAAAAGGAAATGAAGGAAGTAAGGAAGGAAATAATTACATAGATAGATAGGAATGGACGAGCCATATTCCTAAAAAGAAAAAAAGAACTTCGTATAGAGCGGCGGTTCATGCATGAAATAAGGCTATTATACATATGTACAGTACATATGACGGTATATTCTAAAGTACATGGGGAGGTTAGATATGCAGTAAAAAGTTCTGAATCTATCGTTCAACATGACGTTTGGTAAGGATGAGGGGAAAGGATTTCAATGTACTCCGTACAGCATGTAATAAGATCAGGATTCTATATTGCCATGAACTGCCAAATGGCTAAAGATCCTTCACATCAAAGCTTGTTCCGCAACCACAGTTGCTGGTTGCCCGCGGATTGTCCACGATCTTGAATTGGCTGCCGATGAGCTCTGTCGTATAATCCACCGTGCTGCCGGACAGGAGCTCCAGTGAAGGTCCGTCCATGACCACTTTGGCTTGGCCAGCAGCGGTGGAATCGCTCTCGTCGTCCGATGGCTCGGCCTCAAATACGGTGTCTTCTTCCGCATTGATTTTGGAAGCGGACTCGAGGGACATCAGGTATTGGAAGCCATGACAGCCTCCGCTTGTGACGGTGATTCGCAGATGGTGATACGGATTCTCCTCTAATGTTGTGGAGATGGACGAAGATGCCGGATCAGTGATCTCTCGTAGGCGCTGCGTCAGCGTTAGTTCTCAATGCTTTCCAGTTTCCGATGGAAATTGATTCACACGAGTACAGCGAAGAGAAAAAAAACAATAAAAGTGTTTAAACACGAAAGACGAAAATCAAAAAAACATGCAGCAGCTGGGATTCGCTGGTGGTCACCCACCCAACTACTAACCAGCCGGCGTGTGGCTTAAGTACGGCTGAGCGGACGGGAAGCCCTGTTTTCCACACCCTATGGCCGCATGTACTAGGCACAACTAGTAAAAGGTTTATGTCGTACCCAGGCCACGGAACTCCATGAAATCGAAAATTATGCATGCAGTCCCAGGACAATAAAAACCACGCACCTTTGCAGCCCGAGGCGATATATTGATCCACAGCGGGTTCCCGTCATCATCGGTCCTTGGATTCTGCACCACAGTCGCAGCACGGCTCGCTGTCGTTGAAGAAAACGCGAATCGTTGATGGTGAAACTGAGGGGATGAGGCAGATCGTGAAACAAGACGATTGTTCGGTCGCCATGACCTCAGAGAGGGCAAAAGGAAGTCAGGAATGGGTTGGAGAGAGGCTTTGGTAGCAGGTGTTGATGCGGCGTAACTGGACGCTACTCCGGAGGTTGAAAAACAGCGATGGCAATGCCGGATGAAGATCGCAGGCGAGGCCTGACGCCGCGCCAACCGACAGACAGTCGACGATAAAATATGCGGCGACATGATTAGTAGGCAGACGCCAGTTTCTGAGTTGAGACTGCTCGAAAATGAAAGATTGCGTGGAATCTCCCGCCGGAGATTATCAGTCGATGATATCTAAAAGCTGCCCGTGGATTGGTAAGACGTTCGGACATGTGACGCCATTGGGCGATCCCGAGCGGCGAAATGCGGCAGAAACCGACCCCTCCGCGCCTTCCCAAGAAAGCGGCGACCCGGCGAGTCACGGGCACAAGAGCAGCCCTACGGTCATCGACACCTCCAGACATTCCTGTCTGCTGGAACTCGCCTCTCTAATTTGATGCTCTGTTCTTAGAATCCGTTAGCATAGTATCGTGGTGATGGGCATCTTGCATCAACAATGAGCTCTCAATTACCTTTCCGCTATATCAAATCCGGGCACTATGAAGACGATGCACGAACCTACAAACGAGAATATGCTGAGGCCCTGGACGAGAAGGATCCTCTGCGACATTTCCGGGACTATTTTATCATCCCTTCCAAAAAGGACCTGACAAGGAAGCAATTGGCGGTGACAGAAGGTTTTGTTGCACCTCCCTTTTTGGTTGCTCTTGCCCCTCCCTCCCAGATGTTGAATATATAGGCCGTCGTTCGCGTCGTAATTTGTGCGTGCTCGTTTTAACCGTCTGAATAGAGGAAGATCCTTCGGATCCACGATGCATATATTTCTGCGGAAATTCTCTTGGTCTGCAACCTCGTAATGTTCGCAGATACATCGACCAGTATCTACGCGCCTGGGCCATCAAGGGCGTAACGGGTCATTTTGTTCCCCATGAGGATGCTCTACTCCCTCCATTTGTGGACGTAGATAGTGCAGGCTCCAAGCTGCTGGCCCCCTTAGTGGGTGCGTCTCCAAGTGAAGTGGCCGTCATGGGGACTTTGACCGGAAATCTACACCTTCTGCTGGCCAGCTTCTATCGTCCAACAACCGAGAAATACAAGATCATTCTTGAGGGGAAAGCTTTCCCAAGTGACCATGTAAGGCCTTCGAACATTTTGTGATGATAGATGACCTATCTCTAATCTCTGACGGTGCCTAGTATGCCATTGAGTCACAAATCCGACATCACAATATAGACCCTAGCGATGCCATGGTTCTCATTGAGCCGGAAGATCCAGAGAAGCCAATTTTGAGAACGGAACAAATCCTCAAAGTTATTGACGACAACGCATCCAGTGCAGCGTTGGTGCTACTACCAGGGATCCAGTACTATACTGGGCAATACTTCGACATTAAGAAGATCACTGCCCATGCACATTCGAAAGGCCTCCTAATCGGCTGGGACTGCGCGCACGCAGTGGGCAATGTTGATCTACAATTGCACGATTGGGACGTGGATTTCGCGGCCTGGTGCCATTACAAATATGTCAACAGTGGTCCCGGAGCCATGGCCGGCTTGTTTGTGCACGAACGGCACGGCAAGGTCGACCTGAGAAACACGGGGGAGGGAGGAGCTTTTCGCCCTAGATTGGCTGGCTGGTGGGGTCATGATAAAGAAACGAGATTCATCATGGACAATAGTACGGTTTGAACTTGATCTGTGGTTGTAGAACTTCGGCTGACCTTCTACCAGAATTCGTGCCCCAGCCAGGGGCCGCAGGTTATCAGGTGTCGAATCCATCCGTGCTGGATTTAAGCGCCGTGGCGGCTTCTCTAGAGATCTTCAACCAGACTTCGATGGCCGAACTACGCAAGAAATCTCTCGAGCTGACTGGTTACCTTGAGCACCTTCTCCTGAACTATCCACCCGATGCAGCTCCGGAAGATAAACCTTTTACCATTATCACGCCTTCGAATCCGGAAGAGCGGGGTGCGCAACTCAGTCTCCTTTTGCAACCTGGCCTGCTAGACAAAGTCCTTGAGATCCTGCAGAGCAATGGGGTGGTTGTCGACGAGAGAAAACCCAATGTCATTCGAGTGGCGCCGGCACCGCTGTATAACACATTCACCGAAGTGTGGGAGTTTTGCCAGATTTTCCTGCAAGCATGTCGGGAGGCCTTAAAGGCAAGGAAGTAAGACGATCAACACGCTAGCTTGGCGGATATATCATTTTTTTTATCTTACATCACATCATGCATAGCTAGAAATACGAGCTAGATAGATCTCATTCCTTGACATCCTAGCTAGATAGAGGCCTATCGGCATTGAGCTGTCTGAGCAGCTAAGCCTAGCGTCCTTAACTCCGGAGGCGCCATTTCTCGCCATCTTTACTCCGTATGCAAGAATCAAGGCGGTGTCGGGCCAGCCGGTGCTCCTCTGGCGCGGGAGAAATACTCCGTGAACGTCGGAAGGAAAACGGCAACGTTGGGCCGCCGCGTGGGCGGGCTAGTAGCCTAGTATCGGCAAAACGGCACCCAGAGATAGCCACGCCCAATGGCAGGCATTTGCTGTCACCGCAGCGCAAATCCAAGTGGAGAAGGATGGAGCTTATGCTGCTTTTTGTCAGTGGGAAGCGTGCTCTGTCTCCGCAAGTGGAAGAGCAGGTGCATGCATATATATGATGAAATCCGCACAGTGCACTATTATGGCAGGCTTGCTCGAGCCGTCTGGGGCTTCTCCGGGACCTGCTGGAAGTGCGTATCCCAGACTTCTAGATGGCCGCCAGCGAGGAGCTGGAGAAAGAAACCTTGCAGAGTCCCATCGCTGAGACGGGAAATCGGCACGATGAGGAAGAGAAGAGCCCGGTGAATGAGCCGGGGCCTGCTGAGGCTGAGGTTGAGAAGGACAATAACAATGATAGTGACAACGGCGGCGCCGTGCTGCAACCAAGCGGCACTCGCACGTCCACCGTCGAATACTCGGTCTTCTCGAAGAATCTGAAACGATATGTCGTCGTCACGGCGTCGTGGGCGGGCTTTTTCTCGCCGCTGTCGTCGCAGATCTATTTCCCCTCGTTGAATACTCTGGCTGCGGACCTGAATGTGTCGATTTCGTTGATCAACCTGACGCTGACAAGCTACATGGTGAGATGCCATACCGTTCTTCATTCCGACTCTTGATGATCTGTAAACTTACGGGCATCGGTTTGTTCTTCAGATCTTCCAAGGAATCGCGCCAGTTTTCATCGGTGACTTCGCTGACAAGGCCGGGCGAAGGCCTGCCTACTTGATCTGCTTTACTATCTACATTGGCGCCAATATCGGTCTAGCTCTGCAGAACAGTTACGCAGCCCTGTTTGTCCTGCGATGCCTACAGAGTGCTGGCAGCAGCAGCACTATTGCGCTGTCGTCAGGCGTCGTTGCGGACGTCTCCACGGTGGCCGAGCGAGGCTCATATATGGGCTTCGTCACGGCCGGTTCACTGCTGGGTCCTTCTCTGGGTCCCGTCATCGGCGGGCTGCTGGCCCAGTATCTGGGATGGAGAGCTATCTTCTGGTTTCTGGTCATTCTGGCGGCTGCGTGGCTCGTGCCGTTTGTTATCTTCTTCCCGGAAACGGCCCGCAAGGTCGTTGGCAATGGCTCGATCCCGCCTCCGCCATGGAACATGTCCCTGAGCAGCTATCTCAAAACTCGGAAAATTTCTGAAGCCGATCGAGCGGCAGTTGAGAGCACGATTGACCCTAGGTCTCGCAAGCTCTCCTTCCCCAATCCGCTGCCGACCCTCGCCATTGTCCTCCAGAAAGACACGAGCCTTCTGTTGCTGTCGAACGCCATCATGTTCGCTGGATTCTACGACGTCGCGGCTGCGATCCCCTCGATCTTCCGAGAGAGCTATAACCTCAGTGACCTGCAGATTGGTCTCTGCTACCTCCCCTTTGGCGTGGGCTCCTCGCTCGCATCCATCATCAACGGGAAGTTCCTCGACTACAATTACCGCCGCATCGCGACGCAGCTGGGTCTTCCTGTCGTGCGGAATCGGCAGACGGATCTCAAGAACTTCCCTATCGAAAAGGCCCGTCTGCAGATTGCATTCCCACTGATTTTTCTCTCCAGCTGCTTGGTGATTGCCTTTGGGTGGTGCCTGAACTACGTCGTGCACCTTGCCGCTCCCACTACCATCCTCTTTTTCCTGGGACTGTGCCTGACGGGGTCATTCAATACCGTGAGCACGCTCCTCATCGACCTCTATCCGAATGCTGCCGCCACGGCCACGGCGTCGAACAACATCACCCGTTGCCTGTTGGGGGCTGGAGCAACGGCCGTCATCGAGCCGATGCTGACTAGTATGGGCAGAGGGTGGTGCTTTACCTTCATTGCCTTCGTCATGATGAGCACCACATCTATGTTGGTAGTCATCATCCGATATGGGCCAAAATGGAGGGAAGAGCGACGTGTCAGACATGAGGAGGGAGATGTCGAGAGGGGTGGTCGACGTTGATAAAACTGGAAAAAAGAGACTCGAGATTAGATTGCTAGAAGGAAAAAGTCTTTCCAAAAGAGGAAGGTAAACAAAAATCAATGCATAGCACAGGAAAAAGAGGAAAAGGCGTCATTCGGGGTTCTGGGCATGACTTTGTTTTCGGGCCTCATTTTCCCCATTTTTATGGTTCATCATGTAGATGTCGGATCTATATACATACATACATATTAGATAATGATATGACGTTTTATTATGGTATAGACCGGATAAAACTCATGAAACGGTAATGCGCATGGCATAGGAAAGATATCCCATGAAATCGTAAATCTTAACGGATATAGAAATAGATATCTAGATCGGAGGATTACCTCTAGTCCTCTGTTTTTTTCAATGTATTATTATATTAATACAGACATGACCACGTACAACCTCGTCATCATCATCATCATCTTTTCGGCAGTTAGGAAGGGTATTTTATTTTTCCTTTCTTCTACCCAAACGCAAAATAAGCGCGCTCTAATGGCTCTCTCTCGGACTCCCATGCAAGCCAGTCAGATCTTGTAGTCCTGTATCAGGGGGAAAGAGAAGTTAGCAATCCAGATTTTAATCACTAGAGTCACTGGGTTAAAGGACATACGGCAACAATCCCATTGCATTGACCTTCCACACGCCCAGACCCAGCAGCACCAGCTGCATCAGCACATACACGGCCTTGGCCCCCCTCAGCTTGGCGCGGGTCGCATCCGTCTCGAACTTCGCAAAGGCGGCATTCGTGTTGAGCAGGCCCTGAATGGGGCCCTTGAACAGCATGAAGACCATCATGATGCTAAAGATCTGCAGGCTGTTGCCGGACATGTACATCATGATCGCGTTCATGGGGATCTGTTTCGAGGGTGCGAGGGCGATCTCCCATGCCTTCTTGAGCTTCAGCGTGTCGGTTTCGACGGGACGGCGCGCAGGTGCGGATTGCTGCGTAACGCGCTGCAGCGAGACGACCAGGTGTTAGTAATAGGAAGAGGAATATCTGTGAAAAAGGGACATGAAATGGAATTGGAGAAGACGCACCTGCTTGCCTGTCGGCCTGCTCGAGTAGCCTGGTGGATCGGGAATTTTGGACGCCTTTGGTGACGGACGGGGTGGAGGAGAGTTCAGTTCGACCACCCATTTGGGGGGTGGAGGGGGCGATTTGGAAGACATCGTTGTCGATGCCATGCTCATCGAATGTGGTTGATGAGAGATGCAGTTAGCTATGGTGACCTCCGCGGCGGAAAGCCGCCCGACAGCGGGAGACGATCCACCGCAGAGGCTAATCATCACCTTAATAATTACTCCATTCTTTGGTACGGTTCTCGAACTGGATAATCCGTCAATTCTGTGCCTCGTGTCTCCTGGCGACCAGCTCTTGCTCTGTGCTCGAGAATTCTTCGGTTGAGTCTCCCATTGCACGCTGCCAGGCCGTGTGTCCTCCCTGCTAACCGGTTCTCCCATTGCCAGCTTCATCCGACCGACCCGACCTCCTCGCCATCGCATCCATCCACACAGCGTCCAAGCCACGAGCGGCACACGCGACGAGTCGAGGCATGGAGGCTGTAGTGTCTGCCGTGCAGCCAACCAGCTAAAGCAGCCATCTCGCCCTCGCCCAACGGCGTCCTTTCATGTGATCGACGTCCTCCGCCTCTCGACTCTAGTGTACCGACTGTGCGTGTCCTGTGAGACCTCCTGCCGAAGCTGTCCACGGCCGCCCCTCAGCGTTATCTGCAGTGAGGAGAACCCGTTGCCCCTCATCCAGCCACGATGAGTTCAGGCGGAGGAGATGCCAAACTGTTCGCTAGGGTATGTTGCGTGACCCCGTCCCTCCATCCTTGCCCTTCCGTTATACTGCTTCCTCGATGACATGTATCCCAACAATGTGATCTCTTCTTTGGTGGCGACTGTGGTGATACCTGTAGCATCGGGCCCAGTCTCTGTGTCCACTGGCTTGGCCATTTGGCCTAGTTATGAGCTTGAAGCCTTTGGTTATCTATATATTATACATTTGATTTCCTTTCCTCTGTTTGGCGTTTGATAGTCACTTCTCGAGTCCCCATGTTCATCGGCGTCTTCCCTTATGCCGCGTACCAGCAAAACTCACTCTATGCTCGCTCTCCACAGGGTAAAGTCGCCGAGCTCCGGCAGGAGCTCAACAGCGGCGGCAAGAAGGATAAGAACCATTCGGCAAAGAAGATCGCCCTGAAGAAGATTGTCGCCAACATGACCATGAGCAACAATGACATGATCGGCCTCTTCCCGGACGTGATCGCCTGCATGACGATTCCCAGCCTGGAGATCAAGAAGATGTGCGTACGGATGAGTCGGCTGGCAGACAAGGCGGGTGGCTGATTCTGGACAGGTGCTTCTTGTATTTGGTGAATTATGCGAGATCAAAACCGGAGGTTGCATTGAAAGCACTGCCGATCCTGATAGATGTATGTCGGCGAGAGTCGCAACTGCGAGCGATTGGGTCGCTGACTACTGCAGGATATGGATGACCATAATCCGCTCGTGCGTGCCCTGGCCCTTCGAACCATCTCCTACATCCACGTCCGCGAATTCGTGGAAGCGACGGTCCAGCCGTTGAAGCGACTGATGGTAGACATCGATCCCTACGTGCGGAAGACAGCAGCTTTCTGCGTGGCAAAGCTCTATGAACACAACAAGAAGATGGTGGAGAACTCGGACCTGATCGACCGACTGAACAGGATGCTGAAGGACGAGAATCCCACCGTGGTTTCCTGTGTTCTGGCGGCCTTGGTCGACATCTGGGAACGCAGCGAGTCGATCACACTGACGATCGACTATCCCAGTGCGTCCAAAGTTGTGTCGATTATGCCGGACTGCTCGGAGTATGCTGATGCCAATCCATGAACTTTAATGTCTGTATTTCTAACCAACGTCTTAGATGGGGTCAAACATACATTCTCGAATCGCTCATGTCGTACGTTCCGCAGGACAGCTCAGAGGCATTGCTGCTGGCAGAGCGAATCGCGCCTCGACTGTCTCATTCGAACTCTGCCGTCGTGCTGACCTCGATCCGGGTCATCCTGTATCTCATGAACTACATTGCGGACGAAAAACAGATCACCGCTCTGTGCAGGAAGCTTTCACCGCCTCTTGTGACGCTATTGTCTAAACCTCCCGAGGTGCAATATCTCGCCCTGAGGAATGCGATCCTGATCCTGCAGAAGAGGCCCGAAGTGCTCCGGAATGACATCCGGGTCTTCTTTTGCAAATACAACGACCCGATCTATGTCAAGGTCACCAAGCTCGAATTGATCTTCATGCTTGCGACGAAGGAGAATATCTCGGTTGTTCTTGCGGAATTGCGAGAGTACGTCATGACTCTTATGTGTTGTTGTTTGGATGGACTGACAAGTGTATAGATATGCGACTGAGATTGACGTCCACTTCGTGCGCAAAGCCGTCCGTGCGATTGGTAAATTGGCCATCAAGATCGAGTCTGCTGCGCGACAGTGTATCGACACGCTGTTGGAACTGGTCAATGCGAAAGTGCCATACATCGTCCAGGAAGCGACGGTGGTGATTCGCAACATTTTCCGCAAGTATCCGAACCAGTATGAAGGCATCATTGGGACCGTCATCCAAAACATCGATGACTTGGATGAGCCCGAGGCCAAGGCGGCCATCATTTGGATCATTGGCCAGTACGCCGATCGGATTGAGAACTCGGACGGCCTGCTGCAGGACTACCTGGCGACTTTCCACGACGAACCGATCGAGGTTCAACTCGCCTTGCTCACCGCTACGGTGAAACTGTTCATCTTGCGTCCGACCAAAGGCCAGCAAATAGTGCCCCAAGTTCTGAAATGGTGTACCGAAGACACGGATGACCCGGACCTCCGGGATCGAGGGTACATGTATTGGCGTCTGCTGTCTACGGATCCTGCCGCGGCGAAGGACATCGTCATGGGCGAGAAGCCGCCGATCACAGCCGAGAGCGAGAAGCTCGACCCCAACACACTGGAGGAATTGTGCCTGAACGTGGGGACCCTGGCTACGGTGTATTTGAAGCCCGTGCAGCAGGTCTTCCGGAACGCCAGGCCCAAACGACTCGCGGACAGTCCCGCATTGCAGAAACCGCGTGAGAACCAAAACGGATTCGACTTCCCTGCTGCTGGTGTACCGATGACAGCTCCTCCTTCTACTACTACCACCACCACTACTACCCCAGCAACAACAACAACAACAACCGCCTTCGCAGCAGCCAGCAGCGGCAGCAATCTCTCGGCAGCAGTAAACGCGGCGGACGCGTACTTCAACGAGATAGGCAGCCAACAAATGGCAGCCCTTGACCTAGGCGGCCGCGGCGGCGGAGAGATGGGCGGAGCAGGCCAGACGCAGTACGTCGTCAATCAGAACCAGCAGCAGATATACCAACCGCAGGCGGCAGGCGGAGCGGCAACGGGGGAGCTGTTATTATTGTAGATAGATATTTCATCACAGCTCTTCTCTTTCCCTTCTCGTGGCGTGAGCGGCTTTAACTATTATATTTTCTTCAAGCGGCGTTTGTTTTATTTAAGTTTCCTCCCTAGACATTCTTCAACGGTTTGTCTTTGCATATATATGGATAGATATATTTTATTTTATTTTATTTTCTGGTGTAGGTACTGTATGCACTGTACTGTACTGTACTTTAGCTTGTGAGTCTAGAAATCTAGATAATTGATTAATTAAATCCAGGTAATAATAAATTGAGCCAGGAAGCAGCGGGATGAGTTACATTGGGATTCTTAAACGACCTCAATAATGAGGTTCAATATGCGTATGTATCGTACCTGTATATTTCTGTGTGTTTTTTTTTTAATATTTATTCTATCCTATGTATCATCTCGATTTGATCAATACCCAACAACAAATTTTTCTTATTATTTATTATTTATCATCATATCATCCTTTGAAACGAAATTCCTTAACACACAAAAAAAAGAGAAAAAAAGAAACAATCGATTCCGAAATACTAGTAACTAGTACGTACAGTACGTACACTAAGTACACACGATGCATCGAACTTGAATTCAGTTCAGTTCAGTCGAGAGTGACTGAATTGAGATGCGCACGAAACGAAACGAGAATATTATATATAGTAGATAATATATCTCCCGTACATACTCTCTCTCAGGAGTATACTGGATTATTCTTCAATCTTCAATCAATCAAGGGACATAAAGTGAATAAATAAATAAATAAGTGATGATGATGAACATGAACATGAATGAACATGAATGAATATTAACATCAAACATCAATCAATCAATCAACATAAAACATCAAAAAAAGGGCTAATGAAACGTTCTCGTCAAATCAAGTCGAATCGAGTCTTCACCATGTACATACATACACTGGTGTATTTATTGTGTTTATTTATTATGATTACTCCTTGCCATTATCCCAGCCAACCCAGCTGCGTGGCATCACGCGCCACACCTTGCATTCGCCGCTCTTGAGATCGCCCAGCTTGAAGCTCTCCATCTTCACCTTCTTGCTCTCGCGCCCCTGTTCCCACGCGTGGATCTTCTTCTTCGTCCCGTCCCAGTCCGCCACGATGCCCACGTGGTCCGGCTTGCCGACCTCCGCGTTGTATTTCTGGTGCAGCCCTCCGCGGTGCCCTTGGAAGCGCGCATTGCGGAAGCTGACTATATCTCCCGGCCGGATCTCGTCATTCTGCAGCACCGACGCGTTCGCAAGATTGGCGTACACCAGAGCGCCGTAAGCACGCGTCCCCACCGGGGCCAGCGCGTCCGTCAGCGGCTCCAGGAGGTGCTGGACAAGACCGAATGGAGTCCCGTCCGCAACCGTAGTGTTCTGGATACCGTTGACCGCAGCCGCGATCTGGGTTCCAAATTGCGCGTGCGCATTCTCCAGTTGGTCCTGGCGCGGCTTGTTCGGAGGAGGCTCGTGCCGCTGCTCCAGCGATACGTCGCTCGGGTTCTTCGAGTCGAACCGAGCGGTGACGACGGTCTGTGAGTAGTCCGCAAAGAGTACATACACATCTCTGGACACTATGGTCTTCCCACCGCGTCTCGTCGACGTCGACTCTTCGATCTCGTACAGCACGTCTTTCCGATTCTGGAACACAGGCGGAGGAGTGTTAGGCTGGGTCCACCACAAGGTGTTTTCTCCAAGATCAACATCCATTGCGATAAACCCTAAATCGGCAGACGGACGGGGCATATCCATCGACCGGCGAGATCCGACCTGACTTCGAGAAATGTCTACGGAACCCCGCGGCCGATGTGCGGATGGGACATCGCTGGAAGGCGGACGAGGCGGCGCTTGGGATTGAGCCTGCACAGGGGAGGCATCGTATGGCTCGTCATCCTTGTCTTCAGCAGGCTGAGCTTGAGCTGGTGGTGGAGGCGGCGGGGGCAGGCCGTGGCGAGGAGCAGTATAACGATAAGGATCATACTCGTCATCATCGTCAAAAGACTGCTCTTTAGGTGGCGGTACAGGAGGAGGTGCAGATCTCGGAGCATCCATCGACATCCGGTTACTCCTGGGAGGCTGGCTTGGCGGAGGTGGAGGTACCGCTCTCGGGGCGGTTGGCGGAACAGGTGGAGGACCTCGCGGAGACTGCAGCGACACGTCGTCTGTCATAGTGCCTTCGTCAAGACTAGAATCGCGCTCGTGAGCTTTCAGTGCATCTTTATACTTGGCTCCCGGCGCGATATCGGTGTCGTAGTCCCCGTCATATTCAGTAACTTCACCTTCCGCGTCGTCCGCACCGCTGGCTTTGCTATCAGAAGTTCCTTGCCGACTCGATGAGTCCGGAGGGGGCGGAGGGGGTGGTCGAGCCTGTGGTGGTGATGATGGCTGCGGTGGATTCCCGGGGATCGGGGGAGGGCCGCGACTGAATCTCTTTTCTGAGAGAGTGGGGGACTTCGGAGAAACAGTATCGTAGGTAGAAGAACGGCGAGGGGGTGGCGGAACATCTGGACGCTCAGGCGATTGCGGAACGGCGATGCCCCCTGACATTGTATTGTTCAAAGACATATTCCTGGTATGAGTGGAGAGCTCATCGTCCGAGTCCTCGCCCGGGCTCAGGGAACCGGATGTCTTTGGAGGAGGTGGAGGTGGAGCAGGACGAGCTAGGCTATTGTCAACAACCGGCCATCTGGAAACCCGAGGAATATAGTCACTCACATTCTGGTGCTGGCGGAGCTGGCGCAGACTGTGTTGTAGGCACTGGAGGCGGAGCGGGCCGACTCTCTGGGGGTGGCGGAGGTGGAACAGAGCGTTCTAGGCATTGTCAGCAAGATAATGTTCAAGAGAGGACACTAGAATGACCGCTTACCGTGCGGCGGTGGAGGTGGTGGAGCTCTCTCGGTGGAAGATCGTGGTGCAGGTTCATCACCAGCCACGTCCTCAACATCCGGAACCTCGTTCGGAGAGTGAAGCTGAGTCACCGGAGTAGGTTCAGCTCCCTCGCCTTCCTTCTCAACCTCCTTGGGGGGAGAGGCCGGTTCAGGAGGCTTTGGGACGTTCATCCCCGGCAAGGCCATCACTGGCACTGGGGGCGCATGTGCCGGAGCTGCAGTCCTCTCGGGTTCATCAGAAGACTTCCTTCGAGATTCCTGAGTGCTCTTGGGCTTCTTGGTTGCAGCGCCCTGTCCAAACATCCCCGGCATCCCTCCAGGCGGACCGAACATCCCCATCATGCCCATACCACCACTCATCTTGGCCATCCGTTCACGGAGTTCCATTCTCCGCTTAATTTCAGGGTCCATCTCCTCTTCCTCTTCCTCTTCTTCCTCTTCGCCCTCTTCCTCCTGTTCATCCTCGCCTTGGGCTTCAGACTTCTTCGAATGCGAGCTCCGAGGGGGCCGCTCCTCCAGATCCTCCTTACCCGTCGAAGTTTCCTCGGCGTCCTCCGTATCTCCAGCGCCTGAGTAGTCAGCATCGTTGGTATCACTCACAAGTTCCCTGGACGGCTGCGGAGGACTTGCGAGCTGGGAACGCCTCGATTCGTCTTCCTCCGTCGCTTCTAGCGAGCGACGAGCAGTCTCCGTTGTCCCCGCCGGATCGGCCCCTTCTGCGGCGGGTGCAGCAGCAGTCTCTTGTGACGACTCTGTCCGTTTCTTTGGCGGCTTCTTTGGCTTCTCCTTCTTCTGAGCAGCCTCCGCCATGCGCGCCGCCTGCTCCAACTGCTGCTTCTGGAGCAGGGCAATCCTCTCCTTCAGACTGGTGGGCTTGGGCTGATCATCGTTGTCTGCTTGCTCAGAAGACGGAGCCGGCGTGCTTTCGGATACGGGCGGCTCGCGATTGGTGACCTCTGGATCTTCCTCCCGGCGATAAATTCGGGGAGGAGGCTCTCTGGGCGGAGGCACGTAGGCATTCTTACTAGGCGGAGGCGCAACGAAGGGCTTCTTGATGAAGGTGTTGGCATTTGACGGGCCTCCCAGCCCGCCAGGTTTGGGAGGCGCAATTGGGGGCGCAGCAGCCTTGTTGAACGCAGCAATCCGGTCCTTGAAGGAGCTCGAGCTGGGCTTGCCGGCAACTGCGGGAGGAGAGCTTTTGGCCGCCGGTGCAGGCGCCGGAGCAGGAGCAGGCGCAGGCGCAGGTGCCGGTGCCGGTGCCGGGGCCTCCGTCTGTTTCGGTGGTGAGGATGGCTCGGGAGCAGCCGGCTCTGCAGCAGGAGAAGCCGCGTTCTGGTTCGAAGGGGCCTCTTCGCTCGCCGCAGGTTCTGCTTGCACCTCCGGAGCAGCCTCGTGATCGTCTTCTGGCGCCGGTGTCTCCGCGACAGGTTCCGGAGGAGGAGGAGGAGCTACCTCAGGTTCCTTCCTGCGGCTACTAGGGCGCGTAGGCCTTGGAGGAGCGGGCGGTTCATATCGCTCGACAAAGTTCTTGGGAAAAATGCCGTCTCTTTTGACGCCCGACTCATCCGTATACTCTCCGAAATACCACTCCGCATCCTCCTCCGCGGTGACAGTTATGATCTGGCCGATGGAGAAATTGAGGTCATCCTCGTGGTCGGAAGTGTATTCAAAAAGAGCCTTGACCGTGAACGGCGGGCCGGACATCTGGGCAAGTTACGCAGGCCCGCGAGTAGAAGCGCTGTGCAAAGGTGGTGTAGGCGTCGGGAATATTTTGAATAATTTCAGGTGGGATGCCGGCGATGAGGGGAACGGTCGATGGAGACGCAGCTACCCCTGACTGAGAGACCAGGCTCGATCGGCAGACGCTGGTCTGATGCTCGGGAGATGGCAGAAGCAGCAGGCATACAAGTGGTGGACGAGAGAGCAGACGTTGGGTTCGCAATGAATTGAGCGCGGCCTGTCCACGTACGTCAGGTCAGTGAGCTGGCGGGACAGCCAAACACTAAGAGAAGACAGGAAGCAGAGTGCAGGCACACCCTATGAAGACCAGCTCCAATGCGGCAGGGGTGTCGTGGCCACTGCCCAATGCTCGACAGGAGCGCAGAACAGAGAATGGCAGGACAGGCGGTGATGGCGTGGCAGCGATGATTATTATAACGGAGGGAGAAGACGAGGGAGACGGCTGTGCTGGACAGGAGGCGTGTGGGGGGAATGCCTGAGGCTGCTCCACTGCCCGCCGATCAAGATGCACCAGCAGGCCTGCGGATTATTATTGCTGACAGGCCAGCGCCACCCGAGCCCAGGCGGAGAGCAGCAGCGACTATGGAGCGATAGTACGTCCGTCCTTCTCTCTGCTCCTGTTGTTGCGTGCCTGGCCTTGTAGCAGCCGGTTGACTGCCTGGGTATCTGTAGGGAGCCAATATTTTGGGCTGTCGCGGGTGGCGTTACTTAACCTTACAAACAGCCTCACCTCCAGCACCAAAAAAAGGAACAAAGGAGAAAAGATCGCCATGGCCAGCAGAGATGCTCCCCCAAAGCCCATCCTGAAGACCTCCATCCCGTCGACGCACGCGAGCTCTCTTGCGGCCGCATCCCCTCCGACGTCGGCCGCGAAAAAGCAGCCACCGCAGCAGCAGCCGCAGGCGTCCGGGACAACCTCGAAAGCACAGAGTCCGCAACAGCAGCAGCAGCAGCAGTACCAGTACCGCAGCAAGAGGAATCCTGCGCCTGATCCCCGCCACCTGGCGATTGCTCTGCACCATGCCCACCGCATCCAGGCGCAGAAGGACGCGGAGAAGCTGATCCTCGACCGCATCCTCGAGCTCGTCGCGTTCCCGTCATCGCCCGACGCGGACCCCGCAGCGCCCTCCGCCGACGATGCCAGGGCGTTCAAGGCGGCCCTCTTCCCCTTCCAGCCGTCGGACTACGACAATCTGATCCAGGAGCGCAACATCGAGGGCCGGTGCGGTTATGCGCTGTGTCCGAGGGAACACCGGAAGGAGGACCCCAAGGCCAAGTACCGTATCATATGGGGTCCCAAGGGCAGCGGGCAGGGCGGACGCGGCCGCGAGATGAAGGTCGTGCCCCGCGAGAAGCTGGAGATGTGGTGCTCGGACGAGTGCGCTGAGCGGGCCATGTACGTGCGTGTCCAGCTGGCGGAGGAGCCGGTCTGGGAGAGACGGCCAGAAGAAGAACCTGTCAAGATCCAGTTGCTGGAGGAAGCGAGAGCGCAGAAGGCGAAAAGCGATGGCAATAAGAAGCAGAACGAAGCTTCCAGCTCGAACCAGGCCCCTGTTGATCACAGCACCTCTTCCGCAGACGTCGTGGCGGACAGATTCGAAAAACTCTCTGTGAATGACCAGCCTGCTGCTCCTGCTCCTGCTCCTGCTCCTGCTCTCTCAGCGCAAGGTTCCAAGGAACTAGCGCTTGAAAGAGGCGACTCAAATCCCGCCTTTCGCAAGAAGGGCCGGGTGGACGTGCAGATCGTGGAGAAAGAAACCAACACGGGCAGCAGCTCGTCCGGTGCGAACGGCATTCCAGCAGCGCCTGTCCTTCGTCCTGAAAACCGCACAGGGGGCTCCATCGAAGGATACGTGCCGAAGGATCTCCACCGTCAAAAGGACGCTTCTCAGAAAGTTGGTAAAAATGATGAAGATGAAGAAGATGATGATGATGATGATGACGATGATGATCAAGATGTGCTTGACCAGATCTAAACGTTCACAAAAGGGAAATAAAAATAATTCCCTGTCTGTCTGTATTCTACAATCGCAACACACACACAAAAAGAGGGCGTCCGGTTTGAATCGTTGATATAAGGATGGATACATGTGAGAACGATACCCAGGCTGGAGTTTGTTTTGAAGTTTTAGTTTAGTTTATGTCTACTAGATAGAGATCTGCAAGGATTGATTTCATAAAAAACGAGCGAATCGAAGAAGATCCTCCCCTCCGTAGTAATTCTCTGGTTATGGAGACCGTACGGAAACGGACGGAGTCAACATGGTCAGAACCAGCCCGGAGGTGACTCAGGTAGTCTTGCATCGGAGCAGATTTCTTAGGTCAGGTAGGCTTAAGGTATATGAAACGAAATACTACCTGCCTGCCTACCTACCTAGGCAAGTAGTGTGATGCATAGATGTCTGCTCGTCTACGAACGAACCTAACCTTCCTGCATGATCATCTCAAAAATCTCTGCAGGTAGATGAGATGAGATGATCTTGCTGGAAGGGGAATAATAATAATAAAAAAAATTCCATCTTCCGCAAGGATGGAACGTTTTCCCACATGTTGGGAAAATAAAAAAAAGAAGGGAAGAAGAAAAGGGACAATTCTTGGCGATCAAGCCTCATCCCCCTCACGACCAGGAGAATCGGCGACACCTTGTTTTTCTGAGAAAATCGTGTCTTTTTTTTATTGCTCATCCACTCTTTAAGCTACATCAAGCCCGTGGAAAAAAAACCAGTTCCATGGACATGGGACACGAGGATAAATGCCATCATCGTGCCGGAGAACTAACTGCGGACGCCGGGAATCAATCCACCGCTAGAGTCCCTTTTTTGTTTTCTTGTTTCTTCATTATCGAGGGGATCTTTTTTAACGGAAACGACGAGAGCGCTCAGGCACCTGCTGCTGGGTAACGGGGACAACATTGACCTTGAGAGAGTCGAACTAGATCGGGTGAAAAAAACCAGGTCAGAGCAACTGAACATCCAACAGGAGCAGATAATACCGGCGAGGGGAAACTTACGCCCAGGCTCTTCAGCAGATCCTTGGTGTCGGCGTCGACATCCAGCTGGCCGGACTCGGTCTGGGAGACATCCAGGGCCGAGATCTCAGGGACGTACTGGTCCTTGCGCTCACGCTCCTCTTCCTGCAGCTTGAAGGAGATACCGCGCACAGGACCCCGTTGGATACGCTTCATCAAGTGCGTCGTGTAGCCGGCAATCTAGAAGAACCGAATTAGTCGAGCCGTTGCGCAAATCCCACCGCTACCCAACAACGGTGGAGGTAGTGACTTGTCCGGATTCTATCTATTCAATGCTAACCTTGTTGCGCAGGCGCTTCGACGGAATGATAGCAATCTCATCGCAGAGACGCTTGTTGGTCTCGAAGTCGAGCGTCAGCTTGGGGTAGTAACGCTCGATGATGACCTTCGCCGACTTCTTGACGGTCTGGATTGCGACAAGAGTTAGCTCTGTTGAATTTTTTTTTACTTCATCGAATTTGTATATCTCGTCCGGCAGTCATTGAAACTCACCTTAGTCCTGACGCGACCCATTTTGGCGGTTCTTGCTGGATGCTGTCGATAGAGGATCCGGCGCTGGTGGTGTTCCCGATCTCTTCTTTTAACGGATGGCCGCGCTCGCTTAGTCTTTGTGTGGTGGACGTCCTCGGTTGCCCTAGTCACGTGGACACCCAATAACTTAGTCACGTGATTTATCTTGATATCACAGCCTGTGTAATTCGGTCTCGATGGACTGATAGATGCACTATAACCTACGGAGTAGGTTCTTTGGAATGAGCTGTCTCTAGGACACATCATGTAAATAATGAAGTAACAACTTAGCTGGACTGCCAATCCCATATACACTTCTTGAATTTGCTTCCTGTAAAGATCTCGCATATACCGACAAAACTCTAAGTGGAGAGATGAGATAGTGATATCGATAAAATGAAATTATCCTTTAACACAAAAAATAAGTCCAAGTAGTAACTTTGCATCATCACGCTATTGTACATGCAGAGTACACCGTGCGCCCCAACTACCAGCAACGTGTAAGGCCCTATGAACTGATCGTCTTCATCAGATTCCTAGCAATATCCTCTGTCCCCTGAGCTGGCTGCGTCGTGGAAGGCGCATCCTCAGAATTGTTGAACCGTGGTTGCCGCGGGGAAAGTCGGTCGAGTCGGGGCACAGTCCGCTGCTCACCACGCGTAACGTCGGAGATGCTCGTCGGACCCGGCTTCTTGTAATCGCTGATGCCATACGGTGCCTTAGCGGTGGCACTCGCCCGATACGAGGCCAGCGAGATCCTGCCCTCCGAGTCCACGGATGCCCGGATCGGGGTGACCCAGTATTTCGCGCCACCCGGGATCGAGGCATCGAAAAACGCCAACCCTGGAGGACCGGTCTGGTCCGCGAAGGTCATGGCGTTGAGGTCTTCCGACGCAATACCACCCACACCCACAATGGCCCGGGACATCCGGCCCTTGTGTCTCTTCTTAGGGAGCAGAATCCGTGCCTCAACTGGGCGCTGGTAAGCCTGAGGGCCAAATTTCGGATGGTTGTAGAGCATAGCATGCGAGCGGGTGTACGTCAGACCGGCAGACGGGTGAGTCTTCGGAGGGCCGGAGATGGCATATTCTGCCGCCGACAGCTTGGTTCCTGGGGGCTGGAAGTATTTGGAGGCAATCCGGTCGCTCGGCACTGCCGGCGGAGAAGGCAGGTCCAGGAGATCAAAGACAACTAGGCCCATAGCGCTCGGGTCTGCTCGAAGACTCTTCACGTAGTTCCGGAACTCCTCTTCCGTGACCTTCACAGGCTGATCAAGTCCTTCGAGATCCTCGCCGTTATCCTGGGCCTGCTTTCTGCGCTCGGCAGTCCGCTTGGAGATGTATCGTTCTCGCAACTTCTGCAGAAGCTCCGGCTTCCTCTGACGAACTCTTTTCAGATACGCTTGGAATTCGAGCTCAGACTGGCCCGCAAGCCACGGTCCCGAGTGCCTAAACTGCTTGGCTCCTGGTTCCTTTAATCCTTCACTCTTTTCCGTGTTATCAACCAGGGTATCGAAAGGACTCTGGTGTCTCGGGATGATGGTCGTCGCGTAGTTGACCTTGGCGGGGAGAGACATAGGCAAGTGCAGCTCCTGGAACTTTTGCAGAGTCACCGTGTGGTCCGCGGCGGACTCGAAGTCGGTGACATGTTCGAAGGTATCAATCGCGTTAACTCGCACAACCGGTTTCGAGGACTTGTCAGTAGTCGACTTTGCCGGCAGAGGTCGCTTCAAACCCCAATCCCCGCGTGCAAGGGATGAGGCTGGAGTCTCAATGGCAGCTCGTATCGGGTGAGGGAGCGTTGCAGTGTCGGATTCAAAGACGGCCCTCGACGTCGCGGGTTCCTGGGGAGGTGACAATGCTGGCGGAAGCGCAAACAAACGAGACTTCCGCAGCAGGTTCGCTGTCGGCGAAAGCCGAGACGCTGCCATGGTTGCGTTGGATGCAGGTCAGCACCCCAGGCAGACCTCTGTCCAAGCGATGGGTGTTGCAAAAAAGTCGAGGTCGACAGCGGTTCGGAGCAGGAAAGTCGGGATACGGGACCCCACAGCTACAACTAGCGCACTCCGCTTCGCCAACTCTACAGTCTCTACCTTGGATACGGAGTACTCCGTAATCAAAATGTCGCCAAATTAAAAACGGAATATCGATCTAGGTTGATTCGTAAATCATTCTATCTCTCAATGTCTAATTGATATCTTGTCTTGTCTAAGCTCCCACCGCCAAGAGTGACTTGACGGTATCGCCCACGGACTCCTTCAGAGACTTGTACTGCAGGCCCAGAATCTCGCGGGACTTCTTGTTGTTATAGTCGTAGACATCTGCCGGTAGGTCGTCTGGGCTATCTTCAGGAGGCAGCTTAGGTGCCAGCTCAGGATGCGTCTCTCGGATTGCATCCACTATCCTCTTGTTGGTGTAGTGTCCAGCAACAACAAAGAACCTATTCCCACCGGCTTCGGGCACTTCGATCGCTCTCACATGGGCCAAGGCCACATCACGGACGTCCACCCACAGGTAGACGCCCGTCGGCGTCAACTTCTCCTTTGCCTTGCCCTGAATAAAGTCCCTTATCCGTTGATTGGATGTGTTGAGGGCGTCAAGATTGTTGAGGTAGTGCACAATCGGTCCAAAGACAAGGGGAGGATTGATGGTAACCAAGTCAAACCCGGGCTTCTCCTTCTCCACGAATTCCCAGGCTGCCTTCTCCGCGAAGAGCTATCCTGAATGTCAGTATGCTGTCCCACAACGTCAGGCGTTCAAAGATGGTCCTCACCTTGCTACCGCGATACGTCTGCGAATGATCCTCCTTCGCCTGTTCCCAAGTAAGGGGATTCCAGATTGTCTCATCGTACACTTTAGCGTGATTAAACGGGTTAATGATCGCAGCAAACGACGAGGTCACAACAACACGCTTCACGGTCGGGGCATATGCCTTGACCGCCTTGAGGATCCCGGTTGTACCCTTGATCGCAGGGTCCAGGAAATCCTTCACGGGGTCTTGGACATTGTTGTGGAATGGCGAAGCAGTGTGAAGCACATATTCCAAGCCAGGGTTGGATTTGACCGCCTGTGTTCTGGCCGTTAGCAAGACAGGACATGGATAGGACTCATGGCGATTTGATACTGCCAGCCAGTAGACAGAATCTGGAATCAAACTGGACTGACCTCGTCGAACGCGCCGTCCTTGGCAACGTCCTCGACAATGACGTAGGAGAGCTTCTCTTTCGGGACATTTGGGTGGGCGTCAAGGATCCTCTGTCCTTTTTCCTGGGATCTGACAGTCGTGACTACTTCGAAGCTGAAGAACTTGTCAGCTTGACCATTATTAGCATTTTATAAAGACTCGGAAACTTGCCCATGCTGCAGCAATATGTCCAGCACGTGAGCAGCAATGAAGCCGCTACCTCCTAGACACAGACATTGTTAATTCCGCTGTTCAAATCTATTCAGACATTAGGAGAGCATCCTTACCAGTCAGAAGAACCTTGACCATCTTGATTGAATTATTTTCGAGTTGTTTTCAGGGCTGAATAGTACTTAGTTGTGAAGCATCTGCTCCAGTGAGGGGTCCATGGGCCCCTCTTTTATGGTTCGGGGAGCCCCTCGGAGCCGAAGGTAAATCCCGCGTCCCTGAAATTGCGTCAGGTTGCAAGCCATAATCATCTTGCACGAGAGGGTTGGAACCGTCGTCCCTCACATCGGGTTATTGGATCGACCAGAACCTTGCCCCGACCAGACTTGGATAGGTTAAACTTTCTGCCTAAAGCATATCTCCGCTTGAGAAGTGGCATGATGAGTAATACCTGCTCTCAGTCTTGCTGGATATAAAGGGCTTAAAAACCGCCAATCTCCGGTTTCTTGACTTGATGTCATGCGGTATTTCAGCATTCGTCGCAAGTCGTCCGAGTCAACAAATGTGTATTCAATCTCCACGCTTTATTCATTTATTAGGAAGCAAGTGGATGAGAAGCCATGCAGGGAGTGACCTCAGTACACTACGTTCCAGCCTATATGCTCACAGTTTACTCTGTAGAGGGGTCATAATCTCTGCAAATTGGACGCTCACCCCAGAGGAAATACCAACCTACACCTTGCTCCGTGGGCTGTTAATAAAAATCTATAGAAAACAATGTTACTATCGGATCATCCACAGGTGATATCTGCCACCACTCTTCGATGACCAATGCGAATCGCAGGACGTATCGTTTTACTTTACCCCAGGTTGGGACCTAGGTATCAAGAAACAGACTGAAATTGCAGAGCTTTCCAACTTTTGCAATCGTGGTGGCCATCTCTATTCTGGTCGTTCAATTTACTCTCGAGTATTGCGCTGATATCGAAAATTTCTTTTCCCACCACTCAGAACCTTGGAACACCGTACGTGTACGTACAGGCCGGCTGAAAACACATCCTGGTAGAATAGTATCGTTGCAGGAGAATAGTGGGAGTGGCTAGTTGAAAGAGAGGAAAGCACAGTCAGTGAATGGAAGATGCGTCAGTGAATGCAAGATATAGCAGGGCAGTAAAGTCAGAGTTAGCAGAGAAAAGGACTTGGATCACAAAGTAGGCTCTAGGAAATCATTATTTGCTGTTATGTCCCTGCGTTGTTTCTCCTTACAGGAACTTTAGATAAACCTCATATAACCCTGGATAAAAATCAGATAGATCTTAGATCATTTTTCATCTAAGAATTGCATATTAGTTGATGTTACAGTGTCACATATAATATCATAGCTAGTTTCCATAGCTAGAGGACTTTCCTCCAGGATAGACCAAATTGGACCTCTTTTCCATGGCTTCCCATTAAGAATCCCTTGAATCTGGATAGACTATAAAACTGTCTGAAAAGAACTAGAACTTCTAGTTTGACAAGACTAAAGACGATGGAAGAAAGGTTCAGAAGAGAAAGTAGACTAATTATAAGCCTGCCATACTATGCTTTGTGCCTTCATTGATGAGATTGCTTTTTTTCTGGTGGCAGAAGGGACATGAGTAGAATTACTGTCGCCAAATAATATTATATTTCTGATCTCAATTAATTACCTTCTGCACCCATGTGGCAACCATAATTCCATTGTAGTATTGGTAAGCTGTGCGATCAGGAAGCTGCACAGCAATCCTCATCAGTCACAGGCATTCACCAGTCCAGAAACACCCGTCAAAGACATCCCTGTTGCCTAGTCATGTCGTATTTGCGGCTCTTGCGGTGGTCAAGTGGGTTGTCGGGCGCTGCCAGTGCAGGCTGAGGCTAAGGGAGGGCGTGGTCCGTGCCCCGACGCATTCTCCAACGCTCACACATCACTCCGCCCATCAGCTCCATAGCTTCCCTCCCATGCCCACCACACACTCGTGCGCCTATCCCTGGACATAGATATTCAAATGTTCGTTCTAGGGAGCTATCCAGCATGGCGCAAGCAGGTCCGGTGACGGACGTTGTACAGAGGCTCTTCGCAGAGCTCAAGTCCAAGAATGAGGAGACGCGGGTCAAAGCTTCATTCGAGCTCTACGACAATGTCCTCACAGTCTCACGAGGTACGTCCCCGCACCTGATGTGCCAATGTGATTCCGGCTCACAAATGACCTTTTTTTTAAACCAGACTGGCCTCCCGAGAAGTTCCTCGAGTTCTACAATGCTGTCAGCCAGCGCATCGCGCAGCTGGTCGTAACAGGCAGCGACGCAAATGAGAAGATTGGCGGCCTTCTTGCCCTCGATCGACTCATCGATTTTGATGGAGTGGATGCAGCTCAGAAGACCACGCGATTCGCGAGCTACCTGCGAAGTGCTCTCCGAAGTAATGACAATGCGGTATTGGTGTACGCTGCTCGGTCGCTGGGCCGACTGGCCAAACCGGGTGGCGCGCTGACGGCAGAGTTGGTGGAGAGCGAAATCCAGTCGGCGTTGGAATGGCTCCAATCTGAGAGACAGGAGAGCAGGCGGTTTGCAGCTGTCTTGATCATTCGGGAGCTTGCAAAAGGTTCCCCGACGCTGCTCTACGGCTTCGTCCCTCAGATCTTCGAGCTCATCTGGGTTGCTCTGCGGGACCCCAAAGTGCTCATCCGGGAAACTGCTGCAGAGGCCGTCAGCGAATGCTTTGAAATCATCGCTGCTCGTGACATCGGCGTCCGACAGCTGTGGTTTGCGCGCATTTACGAAGAGGCGCTGCAGGGTCTCAAGTCCAGCAATGTGGATTGGATCCATGGCTCACTTCTCATCCTGAAAGAGTTGCTTTTGAAGGGTGCCATGTTTATGAACGAGCACTACAGGAACGCTTGCGAGATTGTCCTGCGCCTCAAGGATCATCGCGACCCAAAGATCCGTACTCAAGTCGTTCTTACGATTCCGGTCCTAGCAGCGTATGCGCCTTTGGATTTTACCAACAACTACCTTCACAGATTTATGGTGTACCTTCAGGCCCAACTGAAGCGCGATAAGGAGCGCAATACCGCCTTCATCGCTATCGGAAAGATTGCGAATGCTGTGGGCGCCGCCATTGGGCAGTACTTGGACGCGATAATCGTCCATATCAGAGAAGGACTTGCGATGAAAGCGTGAGTTTCAACTATCCCTTATCGATATTGAGGGTCTCATCTGACTTTTTACGCAGACGTAATAGAGCAGCGGTCAATGAAGGGCCGATGTTTGAGTGTATCAGTATGCTCTCGTTAGCAGTGGGGCAGACACTCAGCAAGTACATGGAAGCGCTACTCGATCCCATATTTGCTTGCGGATTGAGTGAGTCGCTCACCCAAGCTCTCGTCGATATGGCCCATTATATTCCGCCCATCAAAGCTACCATCCAGGAAAAGCTACTTGACATGTTGAGCATCATACTTTGTGGGACCCCATTCCGCCCCCTCGGATGTCCAGAGAATAGGCTGCCACCTTTGCCCTCGTTTGCAAAGGATTTCGCAGTTCAAGAACAACGTTCGGATGCAGAAGTGGCTCTGGCTTTACATACGCTGGGTAGTTTCGATTTCTCCGGGCATATCTTGAACGAGTTTGTGCGCGACGTTGCCATTAGATATGTCGACAGTGATAATCCCGAAATCCGAAAGGCATCGGCATTGACGTGCTGTCAACTTTTCGTGCACGATCCCATCATAAACCAAACCAGCAGCCATTCGATACAGGTCGTCGGTGAGGTGATCGACAAGCTGTTAACGGTCGGCGTTGGTGATCCGGATCCAGAGATTCGACGCACAGTCCTGTGGTCTTTGGACCGCAAGTTTGATCGCCATCTTGCTAAGCCGGAGAATATTCGGTGTCTTTTCCTGGCTGTCAATGATGAAGTCTTCGCCGTCCGAGAGGCCGCGATCAGCATCATTGGACGTCTCTCCAGTGTTAATCCGGCTTACGTTTTCCCACCCTTGCGCAAGCTTTTGGTCAATCTCTTGACCGGCCTTGGATTTGCAAGCACAGCTCGTCAAAAGGAGGAAAGTGCCCAGCTGATCAGCCTTTTTGTTTCCAATGCGACGAAGCTCATCAGGTCCTATGTCGATCCGATGGTCACATCCTTATTACCGAAGACTACGGATCCAAATGCGAGCGTCGCATCGACTACGTTGAAAGCCATTGGCGAACTGGCTAACGTTGGAGGGGCTGAGATGAAGCAATATCTACCGCAGCTTATGCCTATCATCTTAGATGCCCTGCAGGACTTGTCTTCCCACACGAAGAGAGAGGCAGCTTTGCGAACCCTCGGCCAGCTTGCCAGCAATTCCGGCTACGTGATAGAGCCGTACACTGACTATCCCCATCTCCTTGCTGTACTAATCAACATCATCAAGACCGAGCAGACTGGTTCGTTGCGTAAGGAGACGATCAAGTTGCTAGGTATCCTAGGTGCTCTGGACCCGTACAAGTATCAAGTAAGTCATTCCATCGTTTTCTTTTTTGCCTGACATCACTAACTGTTGGACAGCAAATTAGCGAATCGTCTCCAGATATCCACCATATCAATGAAGTGCAGACAGTATCTGATGTCTCCCTCATCATGCAAGGGCTCACCCCCTCGAACGAAGAATATTATCCTACGGTGGTTATCAATACCCTCCTGCAGAACATTCTGCGGGAGAGCTCCCTGGCGCAATATCATTCTGCTGTCATTGATGCGATAGTCACGATTTTCAAGACATTGGGTTTGAAATGCGTGCCTTTCCTGGGTCAAATCATTCCTGCTTTCTTGTCTGTCATTAGGAGCTCTCCTGTTAGCCGCCTGGAGTCGTATTTCAACCAGTTTGCGATCCTGGTGAATATTGTACGCCAGCACATCCGTGTGTTCCTTCCGGACATCATCGAGGTCATTCGTGAATTCTGGGACTCGTCCTACCAAGTGCAGGCGACCATACTATCGCTCATGGAGGCGATCTCCAAAGCGTTGGAAGGCGAGTTCAAGAAGTACTTGGCCGGTCTGATACCCCTGATGCTGGACACGCTGGAAAAGGACAACACGCCACGGCGACAGCCGTCCGAGAGGATCCTGCACACATTCCTCATCTTTGGCTCAAGCGCAGAGGAGTACATGCACCTGATTGTTCCCGCAATTGTCCGACTTTTCGACAAGCCTCAGAATCCGGCGAGCATCCGGAAATCAGCCATCGAGACCCTAGGGAAACTGTCCCGCCAGGTCAATGTGTCCGACTTTGCATCTCTCATGATTCATTCTCTGGCTCGTGTTGTTGCTGGCACTGATCGGGCTCTGCGACAGGCAGCTTTGGACTGTATCTGTGCCCTGATATTCCAACTTGGGCAGGATTTCAGTCACTATATTCAACTCATCAGCAAGGTACGACAGTTTGCTTTTGTTGGATAGAACGATTGTCGAGCTGACTTTGTTTTAGATCTTGAAACAACACCAAATCACCCACCCCACATTTCAAACGCTGGTGTCGAAATTGCAGAAAGGCGAATCCCTTCCCCAGGACCTCAACCCCGAGGAGAACTACCGTACTTTGGCCGACGATACCAACTACGGAGAAATCGGCCAAAAGAAGATGCTTGTCAACCAACAGCATCTGAAAAACGCTTGGGACGCCTCCCAAAAGTCCACTCGCGAGGACTGGCAAGAGTGGATTCGCCGCTTCAGCGTGGAGCTTTTGAAGGAATCGCCCTCACCTGCACTGAGAGCATGTGCTAGCTTGGCCGGAATCTACCAGCCCCTGGCGAAAGATCTGTTCAATGCAGCATTCGTCTCGTGCTGGACTGAACTGTATGACCAATACCAAGAAGAGCTTGTGAGGTCTATTGAAAAGGCGCTCACTTCGCCGAACATTCCTCCGGAAATTCTTCAAATCCTTCTTAACCTTGCCGAATTTATGGAGCATGACGATAAAGCCCTGCCAATCGATATCCGGACGCTTGGGAAATATGCTGGCAAATGTCACGCCTTCGCGAAAGCTCTCCATTATAAGGAGCTTGAATTCGAGCAAGACCAGAACTCTGGTGCCGTGGAAGCTCTAATCACCATCAACAATCAGCTCCAACAGTCAGACGCTGCTATTGGAATCCTTCGAAAAGCTCAGGCCTACCGTGACGTTGAGCTTAAGGAGACGTGGTTCGAAAAACTGCAACGCTGGGAGGAGGCTCTTGCAGCGTACAAACGACGGGAGAAGGTAGACCCCGATTCCTTCGCTGTCACGATGGGCAAGATGCGCTGCTTGCATGCTCTGGGCGAATGGAAAGTTTTGTCCGACCTGGCACAGGAGAAATGGAACCAAGCATCTGTCGAGCACAGACGGGCAATCGCTCCCCTTGCTGCCGCTGCTGCTTGGGGCCGTGGTCAATGGGAACTGATGGACTCCTATCTCAGCGTTATGAAAGAGCAGTCTCCTGACCGGTCATTCTTCGGTGCTATCTTGGCGCTCCATCGCAATCAATTTGATGAAGCCGCTATGTACATCGAAAAGGCACGAAATGGCCTCGACACCGAGCTTTCTGCACTCCTCGGAGAGTCTTACAACCGAGCCTACGACGTGGTGGTCCGTGTGCAAATGCTTGCTGAGCTTGAAGAGATCATCACCTACAAACAGAGTGTCGGTGATCCCGAAAAGCAGCGAGCAATGCGCGAGACTTGGAACAAGCGGCTCCTTGGTTGTCAGCAGAATGTTGAAGTGTGGCAGAGGATGCTCAAAGTCAGGCAACTGGTCACCACACCTCAGGAGAATATGGATATGCTGATCAAGTTCGCCAACCTCTGCCGCAAGTCGAACCGGATGGGTATCGCTGAGCGCACCCTTGCCTCGCTGGAAGTTGAGGTTCAAGGCCCCAATGGCGTAGAAACAATTGCGCCTCCGGAGGTGAAATACGCAAGGCTCAAGTTCGCTTGGGCTCAAGGCCATCAGATGGAAGCCCTGCGGTCGTTGAAAGAATTTACTGCGTCCCTGGCAGAAGACTTCAACAAGTACAATGCTCTTGTGGGCGCGCACGGTGACCACAATGGAACAAACGGAGTGAACGGGGTTGCCGAATCCAGCAATCCAGACGTGATGTATTTGCGGCAACGTCTCGGGGACGTGAGCAAGGTCAGGAAGCTTCTTGCCAAGAGCTATCTCAAAATGGGTGAATGGCAAACGGCCTTACAACGGGGAGACTGGAAGCCCGAGTATGTCCGTGAGGTTCTCAATGCGTACTTGGCTGCTACGCAGTATAACCGGGAATCTTACAAGGCTTGGCATGCCTGGGCTCTCGCCAACTTCGAGGTTGTCACGACTCTCACTTCTCAGCAGAATCGGGATGGGTCATCGGTGCCTAGCCATATCATTAATGAACATGTCATTCCTGCCATCCGCGGGTTCTTCCGATCCATCTCCTTGTCGTCGACCTCTTCTCTTCAGGACACCCTGAGATTGCTTACGCTGTGGTTCACCCACGGTGGTGACCAAGACGTCAACGCTGTCGTCACTGAAGGATTCTCCTCCGTCAACATCGACACCTGGCTAGCAGTGACGCCACAGCTGATCGCACGCATCAATCAGCCCAATGTGAGGGTACGCCTTGCGTTGCATCGGTTACTCAGCGAGGTCGGCAAGGCTCACCCGCAAGCTTTGGTCTATCCGTTGACGGTTGCAATGAAATCCAATGTAGCTCGACGGTCCCAGACTGCCACTGCCCTCATGGAGAAAATGCGAGAGCACAGTGCCAAACTCGTGGAGCAGGCGGATCTAGTGAGCCACGAACTGATCCGTGTGGCCGTGTTATGGCATGAGCTCTGGCATGAAGGCCTCGAGGAAGCGTCGCGGCTCTACTTCGGTGACCACAACGTGGAAGGGATGTTTGCCACTCTTGCGCCTCTGCATGATCTCCTGGACAAAGGAGCTGAAACGCTGAGAGAGGTCTCGTTTGCGCAAGCGTTTGGTCGCGATCTCGCCGAGGCGAAACATTTCTGTCTCTTGTACCGCGAAACGGAGGAGATCGGCGACCTGAATCAGGCTTGGGATCTTTACTACACCGTCTTCCGAAAGATTGCCCGCCAGCTTCCGCAGCTGTCGACTCTTGATCTGAAATACGTGTCTCCGAGACTCAAAGATGCGGTGGACCTTGACCTGGCAGTTCCGGGCACCTACCAACCTGGCAAGCCGGTTATTAGGATCCTCAGTTTCGACCCTATCCTCCACGTTCTTCAGACCAAGAAGCGGCCGCGAAGAATGACGCTCAAGGGAAGCGACGGGAACTCGTATATGTACCTTCTCAAAGGCCACGAGGATATCAGACAGGACGAAAGAGTGATGCAATTGTTTGGTCTGGTGAATACTCTCCTTGACAACGACAGTGAAAGCTTTAAGCGTCATCTGTCTGTCCAGCGATTCCCCGCCATTCCGTTGTCGCAGAATTCTGGGCTGTTGGGCTGGGTTTCGAACAGTGACACGTTGCACGCTCTGATCAAGGAGTACCGCGAGAGCCGTCGCATTCTGCTGAATATCGAGCACCGCATCATGCTTCAGATGGCGCCGGATTACGACAATCTCACACTTATGCAGAAGGTGGAGGTGTTCGGCTATGCGATGGATAACACGACGGGTAAAGATCTCTACCGCGTCCTCTGGCTGAAGAGCAAGAGCTCCGAGGCCTGGCTTGAGCGACGGACCAACTACACGCGATCTCTCGGTGTCATGTCCATGGTCGGATATATTCTGGGGTTGGGTGATCGACACCCGTCGAACCTCCTCCTGGACCGGATCACTGGCAAGGTGGTGCATATCGACTTTGGTGACTGTTTCGAGATCGCGATGCACCGCGAGAAATATCCCGAGAGGGTTCCCTTCCGTCTCACCCGGATGTTGACTTTTGCCATGGAAGTCAGCAACATCGAGGGCAGCTATCGGATCACCTGTGAGGCCGTCATGCGTGTCATCCGAGAGAACAAGGACTCCCTGATGGCTGTTCTGGAAGCGGTAAGTTTGTTTGACTGTGCGAGTCGCTAGAGACAAGAAGCTGACATGACAACCTTTAGTTTATCCATGATCCTTTGATCAACTGGCGTCTCGGGACCCGGGAATCGCCTGCCCGGCCGTCGTTCTCGACCGTTGACCGTCGGCAGTCGATGATGGAAGATGCGAACCTTGAACACGGGATTCAACCGAGCAACTTCTCTCGTCCCCGTCGGCCATCCATCCTCGAGGGAGGAATCCTGGATGCACAGCAAGGGCCACCGAATGAAGCACGCGAGGTGCAGAACGCGCGAGCGCTGCAGGTGCTTGCACGAGTGAAGGACAAGCTGGTGGGACGGGACTTCAAGCCGAATGAGGAGCTCAGCGTGAGCGACCAAGTCGACAAGCTACTTGCACAGGCGACAAGTGTGGAGAACATCTGCCAACACTGGATCGGATGGTGTAGTTTCTGGTAATCGAGGCATCAGGATATGGGCGGAGTTTTCAGGCGCATGGGAGAATGTGATGGATTGTGCACAGCATGGAGCGGCTTCTTGAGATTGATATACACTCGTAGTTTTGTGGGAAGTACGATATTCAATATTTGTCTGTACTGTACAAATGGATTTCGTTGTATGACTTTACGCAGTTCTCGTAAGCAGTGGAATATAGGAATGCTTCGTTCGTACCTAGAGTATACTCTGTACAGTATGCTGTATGCAGTATTCTACATGATTGGTCCGTGGTCACGTTCCAGTCCGGGGTTGGACTTGGCGGGGAATGGACCAGCTTGGATGCCGAGGTCCAGCTGCTCCAGCGGGCGATCACAACAATAACATAGCATCGTCCAGCTCGGCGAGCTGGCCATGAGCTACCATTCTCAATGACCTGTCGTCCATCTGCCGATTCCTGTCTCTCGCTATTGTGCCAGGTCGACGGATGAGTATGTCGTCCGCTGCTCAACCCGCCCACGAACCTCCGGACCCCCAGGTCCACCCTCTGGTTCGCAACGCGCTTCGCGTTTCCCTGAGCGCGAAGGAGTACAAGCTGCTCCACGAACATGTCCTGAAACGCACGCCAAACTCGGTCCAGAGCCGCGTGCCCACGCCGTCAAGATACGAAGCCATCGTCCATTCGAAGGACAAGTACGGCGACGCTGCCATCCGCGCCTCGTTGCGCGTCTTCTTGTTGACCGCAGCAGGGTCCAAACTGGCCGAGCTTGCTGTCCAGAGAATCGGGGGGGACAGCGTGTCCAAGTATGCCATCGTTGTCCGCTTTATCATCGCTTGTGTTGCTGATGACGGAGCTAACGCTCGACGCGATAACAGGAGCAAGACTCGCACGGCTCTGATCCGTTCTCCGACGTTTCGGCTGGCGCTGTCGCTGTCGCTCGTCCTGTTTATCCACCGCATCTTGCATCGCTTCTTCGTTCGACTGCGAGCGAACCTTCGTACGGACGATGCGCGGCCGTTCCGCGAGCGCAACCCGCGCATTTCCCAGGCGCTGACCTCTCGATATGCGCCGGCTGTCGGGGCCAGCGTTGCCGGGTTTGCGCTGGGCATCTGCCCGCTGAGCCGGTTGCGGATCACGGTTGCGATATACACGGCCACCCGGAGCTTGGAGTTTCTGTACAATGTTCTCGATGAGCAGGGCTGGCTGGAACAGAAGCCCTGGTGGTTTGGCAGCTGGCTACTGATGCCTGTGTCCTGCGCACAGCTGTTCCATGCCTTTGTCTTTGACCGGGAAACTGTCCCCAAGGTTTGTTGGACCTCGAGGCAGATCCGGTTGAAATCAAATTGCTTACAACGTCTAGTGGTTTGGGAATGTGATTTTTAGACTTTCCCCTAGCTACATTCAGAGCCGGCCGGCCGGTTTCCCAGAGAAGCTTCACTGGCCAGACAAATACGAGATTGTTGACTCGCTGGCCACTATTGCTGATTTGAAGTGGCCGTAAGTGTATATCCAGTTGTTTGAACTGGTTGTTGAACCGTAGCTGACGTGCGACAGAGCGTTTATCTCCCCTATTCTCCATCCCACCAGACCGGATACTCTACCCCGACCGGTCAAATCCATCTCGCCGGTGACCTCGCCAGCGCACCCGTCGATCTCGTCTCTTTCGTGCGCCTTGCTGCATCCCAATACCCCGAGCTGCAGCACTGCATTCCTGCACCATCTCCTTCTCTCGATTCCTCCACTTGCGAGGGTGCTGGCCATTGCGACTCTGGCGCTGACGGCGCTGAAGTACAAGAAGTTCCTGGCGAGCCCTGTTTCTGCTACGAATGCGGCGTCCAAACGCGTGCTTGCCTTGACGGCCGTGTTGTCCACCTCGGTAGGGTCCGCATGGGGAAGTCTGTGTCTGCTGAATAGCCTCCTGTCCCGTTCGACGCTCCCGACGAAGCGCTTCTTCATCAGCGGCGCGATCGCAGGGCTGCCCTTTGCATTCCTCCGCCAGGGCCGGGGGACATTCCTGTACATATTCCGGACAGCGGTCTACTCGGCCTGGACGACGGGAGTCAAACGGGGCCTGTGGCGGGGGTGGAAAGGAGGAGAGCTCTGGGTATTTGTGCTGTCATGGGCACTGATGGGGTCCATTCTGGAGGGCAAGCCAGGAGCGGTTGAGGGAGCCGGCATCAGAAAGGGACTGGCATGGCTCAGGGGGGAAGGGTTTGTAGATCCGGTCGAGGTAGCGGCACGGCGGAAGAAGAAGGCTCAGGCAGGGCAGAAGAAGGCCCAGGCGGGTCTGGAAGCCAAGCCATGAAGGACTATGAGTGTCCAGCTGACCTGGAGCAGTAATAGCGTGGCAGTTGTTGCTATGGGTTATGCGGCTGTAAACAATTCGTCTAATCCCTAGTTTGAGATGCGTCGGCCTGCATGTTGTATCTTAATATCACAGTGATATAGCCAGTGATATAGCCAGTGGGAGATTGACACAGTATACTCCGTAGGTAATGCGAATAATACAGAGCAATAATACAGAGCAGTGTGATAGAAGATTTGTTTTTGTGTTTTTTTTTTTTCTAAACCTAGAAAAAGTGTGTCCTGTGGAGGAAATAGAGTACACCCCTTAAAAGCTTGTTGGTCATCTGACCTGGAAAAAAGCAACGAGACTAGGGGCGATAAGATCTATTGAAATTTTTTAAGAAAATAAATAAAAGCAAAATTAGCAGATGCTCTATAAAAGCTTGGTGGTCATATGACACCGTTAATACTAAGGTCGCATAGGGGGAGCTGCCAGGTGCCAGACGGCGTTCTGCTAGATCGCCAAGTGATGACTTTTAACTGACGTTCTAGAACCCCGCGAACGCATTCCTGAGCCAGCTGCTTATTCTGCCCGCTCCAACGGCAAACCCCTGCGCTGGGCTCGGAGCTCCCTGGGAGGCTGAGGAGCCAGAGTTAATCTCGACATTATTAAGCTGAAAAAAAGATAATCGCTCCGTTATCGCAGCGACCAGCCGCCACGCTTCTCTCTCTCTCCGCACTCCCCAACACAACGCCAACCGTAAGCAAACAAAACACACGTGTGACGAGTGTCCCCGGACCTCGGACTCGACTGGAAGCCACTTTCCGATTGTCTTTCCCTGCCCGGGGGACAGAATCCGGAGACCGCACAGGCATGGCTCCATACCGCGCGATGGGCGAGCTGGGCCTCCCACTTAGCGCGCTTCCCACGGCGCTGGGCGGTTCGTGCCATTGGACTGGATCCACCGCTGCGGAGGCCAGGCTGTTTTGAAGCTTTTCGCTGGTCTCTTTGCTCTCTCCGCGACCAACTCCCGCATGATCGCTCGCCCTCACCGCCTTGCAGCGCGCTCGCCAATCACGCCCGCGGTCGGTTTTTAATTATAGCACGCGGCCTCAGGCTGGTGCTTGCCTCTGGATATAAAGGCCTGGCGCCTGCTCAGATGTGTTTTTTCTCGTTGTTGTACGTTCGTCAGACTGATACCCCCGTGCGTCCCTCCGTCTCTTGCAATTGCTTTGTTGCTGCCTCGGTGTTGTGTTGGCGATATCGTTTGATTGAATTTTTTGACTGTTGATTGCATCGAGTCCATATCCACGCTGTTCGTATCCATTCCCTTTGCATTTTGCATTCTGCTTGTGTGCTGACCTGGCTAGTTCTTCCTGCCCTCGTTGAGACCTCTCCAGGCTCAACCTGACCCTACCAGTCGGCCCCTGCACTCTCTCGACCGACCCGACCGACCTGAACTGAACGACAGACACAATGGCTCCTCCAAAGCTCAAAGTAGGCTGCGCTGGCCTGGGCCGCATGGGCAAGCGCCACGCCATGAACTTCGCTGAGCGAGTGCCTCGCGCGCAGCTGGTGGCCGTCAGCTCGCCCGATGACGAGGAGCTGAAATGGGCCAAGACGCACCTCGAGCCGCTGGGCGTTGCGATCTACAAGAACTACGATGACATGCTGAAGCATGAAGGCCTGCAGGCAGTCGTCATTGCCTCTGCGACGGCCGTCCATGCCGAACAGGCCATCAAGGCCATCGATGCCGACAAACATGTCCTGTGCGAGAAGCCTCTGTCCACCAGTGTCGAAGTGGTGAGTATATCTCCTGTCTTTGTTTTACAATATACACATGCTGATAATGTGCAGTCGCAAAGCGTCCTCGAAGCCGCCCAGAAGAAGCCCCATCTCAAGGTGATGTGCGGCTTCTCTCGTCGGTTCGATGCCTCGTACCGCGACGCCCACAACAAGATGCAGAGCGGCATGATCGGCCGGCCGTCCGTCTTCCGCAGCCAGACGTGTGACAAGCTCGACCCGAGCGGGTTCTTTGTTGCGTATGCCCAGTTCTCGGGCGGCATCTTCGTCGACTGCTCGATCCACGACATCGACCTGGCGCTGTGGTTCTTCGGGCAGGATGCCAAGGTCAAGTCGGTGTCGGCCGTGGGTATCACGGCCGTGGAGCCGGACCTGCGCAAGTACAACGACCGGGACAACGCGGTCGGGCTGGTCGAGTTCCAGGACGGACAGATTGCGTACTTCTACGCGTCGCGCATGATGGCCGCCGGGCAGGAGGACTCGACGGAGATCATCGGGACGAAAGGCAAACTGACCGTCAACACACAGCCGGCGTCAAACCTGGTCAACATCTACGAGAGCACAGGCATCCGGCGCGAGATCCCGCAGCACTACTACGACCGGTTCGAGATGGCGTTTGTGGAGGAGGCCAAGCACTTCACGGCGTGCTGTCTGGACGACACGCCGGTGCCGCAGGAGCTGCGGGGGGCGGTCGATGCCGTCAAGATCGGCTGCGCGTTGCAGGAGGCGTTGATCACGGGGAAGAAGATCTACTTTGACGACGACGGCAACCGCATCGAGCGGGCGAATCTGTAGGCTGCTGCAGCCTGTCTTGCGAGTTATCTTTTATTCTCGTCTCTCTCTCTCTTCTTTTTTTTTTCTCTTTCCTTTTTTTTTTGTCATGAACCGGGATAGATATGATACACAGCTACATGACGGAGGGTGATTCTTTTTTCATCATCTTTTACTTTTCTTTTTACTTTAATTTCTTGTTTCTTCTATCTTGATGATGATGAATCGATCATCTATATCTCAATGATCGATCATGATTAATGATCAATGATTGATCAATTAATCAATTAATCAGATAGACTTGACTTGAAGGTGAGCTTCGTTCAGAGGATTGTTGGACACACACATGTGCTCGCAAGGTGATTTATTATTGCGATTGCTGATGCTACTGCTTTACATATAGGTATTATTTATCTGCTAGTATTAGCTAGGTAGTGTTTAGATCAGAGCAGCACCCTGCCAGAGATATCCTCCCTGTATATATATATATACTACTGTATATATGTAGTCTGCACCTCTACTAGCATTGTCGAGATGACATAATCGACTAGATAGGTAGATAGACAGAGAGACAGACAAAGAGGGAAGAAAGAAAACCCCCAATAATAATAATTATTCTAATTATTAATAATGAATTCGAATAAATAATGAATAATAAAAATAAAAATAATTCTCTCCTCAACTAATAGACATTACATTATTTAAATAAGCATTATTATTATTACCGCAAGTTGATGTATGTATGTATACTACGTATTCTGAAGTCCTCCGAAGTACTCCGCAGCAAAAAATAGTTCAAAAAAAAATAATGCATATAATTATACTCCGTAATGCATTCATTCATTATTATTTTAATAATGAAATAATAGAAAGCATGGAAACGGAATCTAGTTTCCGAGACCGGCTAGCCACGAAGAAAGAAAAAAAAACAATCATCAACACCATCCTCAAGAGTCAAGAAATATAACAAAGGATAAAATGATTTCATCATACATACGTATACGTATACCTACCTACCTACCTAACTAATTGAGTCCTCTTCGTAAGTTGTTTTGAATCGTCATTCTCAATGACGAAAGAAAAAAGAATAGTAATATTAGTCGGTATTTTTTTTTATTTTGTTGATGTTTGTTAGGGTTATGCGAGATACTCCGTAGATTAAGATATTCCCGATACAACATTACAAGTTACAGCAGGGAATAAATAGGGAATAATACTCTGCGAACAATGCAAGTTTAACAGGGTTGTTTCTTTCTTCAAAAAGGGAGGGAAATGTTGCTTTCTTCTAGCTAGATTTTTTTTTTTTGAATTGAGGATGAAAAATTCTATTTTTTTTTATTTAGCTTTTTTTGTTTTATGCGGGTAGCGAGCGGGTTGTCTCAAGTTTGTTCTTAGGGCTAAGGCTATTAGGTAGGGCTGAGTACCTACCTAGTAGACTCTAGAGGTAATACGGAGGTACTCCGTACTCTGTAGGGCTAAACCTACAGAGTACCTTCCTACCTACATCTACCTACGTATCTACCTACGTAGAGGCTACAATACCCGTCAACCGAGACCGACAATGGTCTGAGACAACAATCATAATGATATAATATTGTCCTTGAAAATCATATCTTGTACGCGATACGCAGTTTGTTTATCGTGTACGGAGTATTGTTATTGTCTTGTCTGACAGTCAACTATTTCTCGTTAATGACGTCATGCTCATTTATCTGTTTATCTATATATAGATTTCGTCTGCTTACAACATCCTTTGATTTCTTTTCGTTTTCTAGAATACATGTGACGTCATCTTAAATTAAATTATCTCCGCGCAGTTAGTTCTGACTGTCAAAGTTCATCGGATCCCGCAACTCCAGAGTCAGATCCGGGCTCAATCCCGACAGGAATCTGAATCTGATTGCTGCGTCGAGGGCGGCCGCTGACCACCCGCACAATCTCCCTCGCGGCGACGACCCTCCCCGCTTGCTCCCTCGACGGCGTGGCTAGCGCTCGCGCCTTCTGCCGATACCTGCTCGTGTGGAGGACCTCCAGAATCGCCTGGCTGACTTCTCCGCCTCTCCAGGCTGGCGCCGCGTGCCGGTTGCCCCAGATTCCGACTCCGAGCCATTCCGCTCGTATGGCGTAGTCGTAGGTGTCGACCCACATTGGGAGGAGGACTTGGGGGTTCCGGTACTAGAAAAACGTTAGAAGGTATGATATGGTATGGTATGATATGATGTGAGATGATATGACGACAAACCCAATTGCTTCGAGAAAGGAATTCGCCCCCCCGTGGTGCACGTAGCAGACGATGTGTCCGCTCTCCAGTATCGATGCCGGATCGGCTGTCAGCCAGGACTGGATACGCACTCGGCCTGTGGACAGGAGCGAGGAAACCTCGTCTGATACAGTGCTGTTCGTGCCACTGAACAAGTACCCTTCGGAGGCGTCGATGTTGTTACTGTTGTCCTCCGTCTTCAGCTTCCACAGCACCTGCACCCTCTCATCCCCATCAAGAACCGTCCGGATCGCGCGCATCATTTCCGTCGCGTCCTCCTCGTTGTAGAACGTATGGCTGCCCAGGACGATCAGCACCGTAGGCGCCCGCGCCAGCCAGGCGGCGAGGTCAGCGTCCTCGTTCTCGACCGCGTCCAGCGCCATGTAGATCGGCCCGCATGACGTGACGTGCTCCGGGAGCGTCATCGGATACTCGATCTCCGGGGACGAGGCGAGCAGGTAGGGGATACGGCTCTGTCTGTTGTACTGGAAGAAATCCGTCGGACTGGGGATGCCGTGCGCCTTCACGTAGGTTGCCAATGACCGGGCCTGCTGGCCAAAGATCGTTACCCACGTTAGGCGCAGCGTGAGATAGATGTTCGCCGGGATGAGATTCCATGGGACTGGATAGGCGTAGGCAGAGGCCAGTCTAGAAGATTTCAGTATATCATAAGTATATCATAGGGAGGAAAGAAAACATAGAAGTCCTTTCTCACGCTGGATAATGCCACCATATCCTGCCCAGCCCCTGCCCCGTCGCAAAGGTATCCTTGGCCGAGTTCGGCGAGAGGAGGACGTGCGAGCGATCCAGCGCCTGCACAGCGCCAATCCCAGGAGCGAAGAAGGTGTCGACGACGACGAGGGCCGGGTCGACCTCGGCGGTGATCTGTCGGAGGCTGTTGCAGACCTCGACGTATTCAGGACCCGTCCAGGGCACCATCGTGTGCTCGATGATCCAGAAGAAGGTTGCGGCGCCGCGCAGGCCCGGAGCGTGGCGGATGGTGGCCATGGTGACTCCATTGCGGGTCACGGCGTCTTTGTACGACGTGGCCCGGATAGGATGGAATGTGATGCCTTGGACGGCGGTACCGGCAGCAGCATCTGAACCTGAAATATTTCTTATTGCCTGACGGGAAACGCGGTCCACAGCGTCTTCGAGGGCTGAGAAAGAGGCAAAATGGACTTGTATCGAGTCGTGGTGGTTGACGATGAGGGCGTGAGCGGTCGCTAGGTGGACATTGGCCTGGCCGCGTTCTGCATTGGCGATGAAAAGCACCTTGGGAATGGAGTCATTATGGCCAGAAGACAGCACGACAGAAGAGATGAAAAACAATAGGACCACCAGCAGAGGCAGAAACATGATGTCCAGTTGAACTGGCTAACTAGACGAACTAGCTGTTGAAGTTGAAGGACGGCAGAGAACAGAAGATAATACAAACCCAGGCAGAAGGGATTCACGGCACTATTCATCTTGAAAAGAGGACAAAGAAGAATCACACCTACCTTCCCCTCCATTATTGCAGGTAATACATACACCCGTAGGTATGCACATGCATTCAGGTATACGGGACATTCCATGAAGAAGCAATCCACCCTGCTCAGTCCACGTAAGTACAGTACGTATATGCAGAGATGTTGTGTAACTTATCCTGCCCATGCCATGACTCTGTGCATTGATCAGATAATACAGCAGACCTGGTGCTGATGATTATTGACAAGAATGGAAGCTGTCATTCTTTCGATTCCAGATATGGTAGTCCACGACCAGACCACTCAGTTTCAGTTGAGAGATTGCAGAGAGTACTCTTCTTCTTTTCCTCTTCTTATCATCACCATAAACGCAGTTAGTTGGTAGATACTTTGAATAATGCAGCATGCTGATCTTTCCTGAGCTTTGCTACCAGGCCGTTTTATCCATTCCTAAGGTTGCAATTAATTACCTTAATCAGGTAGTAAAGCTTCCCGATCTGTGACGCCCCTCATATTATTGGTTAATTTTTGCTTCTCCACCTGCTTTGATAGGTACCTAGGCATTGGAGAGTGGACGAACAGCACGAATATCCACGCAAGTGGATTCAATTGAATTACATACGTTGTAGGAAGGCTACTTACCTATCAGGATTGGTCAAACTGGTCTTTTTTCTTGCTTTCTTTTGCTAAATTTATACTGATCAAACACTCTGGTCTAAATAAATAAATAAATAAATAAAAAAATAAAAAAATAAAAGAATATATTTCGCTCTATCTACATGTCGTCACATCTACAGTATTTACTTGCTCCATTCATCATATTTCTTCATTCCGGTCCAGATCCAAGCTGGATGACGTGCTCACCACGACTTGTCCGGAAATCCAAAGTCGACGCCGAACGGAGGGTCGACATACCGTTTGAAGGCCTTCTTGGCTAACAGCTCGTCCGAGTACTTGGCGATCGTGGCCATGTCCGCCTCGTCGAGTTTCACCAGGTTGCGGTTCGCTTCGATGCGAGCGGGATTCACTGACTTGGCCAGGACGGAGGAGCCGCGGGCAACTAGGGAAAAATGTTAGCAGGTATCCTGACGTTTATTTGGATATGACGATACGTACTGTGCCAACTCAACAACACTGTTGCCGGGCTCACACCCTTCCGGTTGGCCACCTCGACGACCGCATCAGCCGACATCAGCGGGCTGCCCGTGCTGCCCAGCGGACTGTACGCCGTCACGTGGATGCCCTTTTCCTTGCAGAAATCGACAATCTCCTGCTGCGGCAGCGCCGGGTGGTTCTCGATCTGGTTGACGGCCGGCACGACGGACGCGTGCGGAAGAAGCTCCTCCAGGTACCTCTTGCTGTAATTGGACACGCCGATGGCCTTGACCTTGCCCGTGTCCAGGAGCTTTTCCATGTCCTTCCAGGTATCGACGTGGTTGTGGGTGCGGATCAGGTCGCGGGAGCCGTCAGGCAGCTTGGGGAAGAGGGGGTGGTTTCCTAGACAATGTCAGGACTCGGTTTGCAGTTCGACGGCGAGTAAACAGACGACTGTACCATTCGGGTTCATGTACACCGGCCAGTGCACCAGATACAGATCGATGTAGTCCAGCCCCAGATTCTTCAGACTCAGCTCCAGGTTCTCCTGGACCCGGCGGGCGTACGTGCACCACAGCTTGGTCGTCACGAAGAGGTCCTCCCGCTTCACGATGCCGGCGTCAATGGCCTGGCGGATTCCCTTGCCAACAGCCTCCTCGTTCTGGTAGCAGAAGGCCGTGTCGATGTGGCGGTAGCCCACTTTGATGGCGTGGAAGACTGCATTCTGGACTTCTTCGGGGGACGACTGCCAGGTTCCTAGGGAGCGTCAGCATGATCGGCCAGATAGGTAAATGAAAGAACGCTCTTACCGAGTCCCAGGGCGGGGATTTCCGCGCCCGTGTTGAGCTTGAAGCGCGTGTCTGAGACAGCCATGGTGGTATATTCTACTGTTAAGGAACACCAATCAATGAAAGCTGGCAAGAGGAGGAAAGAATCAGAAACGAGGGATAATTGTTCGAGATACTGCTTATGTGAAGCCTTTCCCCTCTGCCCCGCGTCGCGGTGGTCTACATCGGCTACTGACCCCCACGCCCCACGGAGAGTCCCTCCCACGGAGTGCGACCCCCACGGATGTCCACCTATGAAAGGGCCTGGCAGGGGTACTCCGTAGGGTTTCCGTAGGGTTCATGGGGATTATCCGTCAATCAGAGTCAGGTCCGGAGGACGGAAAAATTGTGTACTCCGGAGTATAAAGTGCTGACGGAGTAAACCCCGAAAGGTGAGCAGTAGCCGGCTTTTTTAAAACAAAAAACCATTTTTTGACGGAATTTAAGTGTTTTTTTAACCACTTTGCAGGTTTATAAACCGTCTCATTACAAAACAATGTCTAAAAATAGTTATTTGATGGTTTTTATTACGTAATTTTAGATTTTTGTAAAAACGTTAGACTTTAAGAAATGTTAGATTTTGGCAGCACCAGAATAAGCTTCATAATATCTCTTAACTACAACCTCAAAAATTTAGACAGTTTAGATCGCCTAGTTAGAGCAGCATAGAAATAATAATGAAAACCTCATTTTCTTCTTAAAAAGTACTCCGTAGAAGCTGTACTTTGAGTCCAGCCGTTCTCAAATAAATCATTCATTGTGGAAAATTACTCCGTAGTAGTCAAATATTAGTCAGGAGAATAAGGGAAAGGTTATTTTTTTTCAAGAAAAAAAAGTCATGATTTTTTTCATATAGTATAGCGAGTATATTTATTTTCTCACGTCTAGACCGTCGATCAACGGTAGTTCCAGAGTCCAGACCCCGGGGATCCGTATGGTACCTGAGCAACTTCTGCCATGTGACCATCTCCGTTCCAAATACGGAGTAGTTTTTTTTCCAGAAAAAGGGGTAAGTCAGGTGACTACTCCAGATCAGCTGACTTTACTATAAATAGTACAAATTAAGTTCCGTCATTGCGTCGTCACGTGCCTTGTCATCCTACGAAAATTATGGGGAAAAAGGAGGGAAAAAAAGGAGAAAAAAAAGATACAGCAAGGAATACGGAATTTGTTGGCCGGCCTACTCCGTACAGATGAGACTACCTACTGCAAGAATATGATGAGGAATGTAGTATGGGAGAAACCCGCCTGGGAAGTATATCGAGTAGATAACGTAGGCTCCGACGGGACGGAAACCCGTAGGGCTTGACGGGATGAAAAGTTACAACTTACATAATGGAGACAAACTCCGACAACTCCTACAGTGAAACACCGCCAGCAGAATCGACTTGTCCACGTCAATTGCTGACAACACAGCAGTCAGAAACAGCTCTCCCACCTGTTCAATCACATTCCAGTCGGAAATTGGTGACGGATCGGGTAATGCCCAGCCCAGGCCCTGCCGTTGCCGACGAGGCCAACTGATTGGCGGTTCGGAAACCATTTTACCTTCAGCCCCAACTTCCCCAGATCTCGCTGTTTTTTCCTCCAGATCGGTCTCGACGCGGATTCTTGCCATGCCATCCAGACAAACTGTCGGTCACGACCCCAGTCACACCGTATGTCTCGGGTTTTGGCTCGCCTGTCAATGATTGCCACCGGGTCGATCCTTCCTGGCGGGAAGGGCATTCCATTCACCATGGATCACGCGGAGTGACCCGTCGAGAATAGCAAAGGTGGATCGATGGAATCTAGGTTCCGTCGATGCCAGCGTATATAAGTCGAGTCCTGCTCAGGATGTAGCTCTGTCATCTTCAAATCACCAGTCCATCGCTTCTTGAGCGCATTCGCCTCTCTGCTCAATCATCCTTTCACTTGTTTGATACCCTCTTGACATCTGTTTGCTAGACAGTCTTTCGCCATTACAGTCGACACCATGGCGCCCGTTGCCATTGAGCCAACCTTCCAGAAGCGCGATGGCCACGCCCTAGAGGACATCTCTGAGAAGATTGACACTGTCAATGTCCTCAAGGCGAACATGCAGAAGGAGCAGAAGGAGCGAGGCCTCTACGATGAGACCGAATTCGACAAGAACAAGGACAAGTCGCAGTTCCGCCAGTACGAAGAGGCGTGCGACCGTGTCAAGAACTTCTACAAGGAGCAGCACACCAAGCAGACGGTCGCCTTCAACCTGAAGGCTCGGAACGAGTTCCGCTCCAAGACTCGCGCCGAAATGACCGTGTGGGAGGCGATTGAGAAGCTGAACACCCTCATCGATGAGTCGGACCCCGACACCGAACTGTCCCAGATCGATCACGCGCTCCAGACCGCTGAGGCCATCCGCCGCGACGGCAAGCCTAGATGGATGCAGCTGACGGGCCTGATCCACGACCTGGGCAAGCTGCTTTACTTCTTCGACGCGCAGGGCCAGTGGGATGTCGTTGGCGACACGTTCCCTGTGGGCTGCGCTTTCGATGACCGGATCATCTACGGACGCGAGTCGTTCAAGGACAACCCCGACTACGGTCACCCGATCTACGACACCAAGTTCGGCATCTACACCCCAGGCTGCGGTCTAGACAACGTCATGCTGTCGTGGGGCCACGACGAGTACCTGTACCACGTGGTCAAGGACCAGTCGACGCTGCCGCCGGAGGCTCTGGCCATGATCCGCTACCACTCGTTCTACCCGTGGCACCGGGCGGGCGCGTACCACGAGCTGATGAACGAGCACGACAAGGAGATGCTCAAGGCGGTGCAGGCCTTTAACCCGTACGACCTGTACAGCAAGAGCGATGACCCGCCGAATGTGGAGGAGCTGAAGCCGTACTACCAGGAGTTGATCGACGAGTACTTCCCGAAGAAAGTCATCAAATGGTAGACGGGAGTTGGGAAGGAAATGAGATGAAGATTGTTTACGATACCCAAACTGCTGAATTGTGCTGAACTTTTGTTGTTTTCCTTTTTGCCTTGTTTGTTTTGTTTTGTTTTTCATGTTTCGGGCATGCATTGCTACGGTCATGGGATAAAATCATTCGACACGACAGAAAAGTCCTAATAATTGAGTTTTCATCTGGCATTCGTCCATACATAGGTAACCACGTAGACTGTTGGGCACTGACCTCTCCTGTAGAATTCACTTCTATAATTCAACTTGATGGCACAGTAGTGATAGTACTATTGGCGTCCCAACAACCTGGTTAGCAGCTACAGCTACCATAGGTACTAAGCAAGCCACTTAGCCACCTAGCCGGTACTATGAAGCCACATGACCAAGGTTTACGCGTAAGTAAGTTCACCGCCAAATCGGCAATTGCGAACGGTTGGTCCCTTGGAAGACCCTTAGTTAGGTAATTACCTAAGGTAGGGAGGTAAATTATTAATACCCGTTACCAGGGGAAAGGAACCTACCTTCCATAAGAGGAAAGGGGTCTGTCTTTCCACGGGTTCTTTCCTTTCAAATTCCCACGGTTCCGGGGTTTCGGATCTCGGCCCGGAGAGGAGAATCCCCTGGATCAGGAAGGAAGGACCACAGGTTCGGACGGTGTACTGCAGATTACATGTATGTACGTACGTACTACTGACATAGAATTTCAATTATGCAATCTCCTCCTAGCTGCTGGAAAAGCGTCTCATGCTGTCGACTTTGAGTCCCTGAGTCAATCAATACTGCAGGTTACACCCCTTCTACTAGATCGACCGTTGATTTTGTCAATCGATTCGCAAGATGAAAAGAAAAAAAAAGAAGTGATGCGGCAGATTCTACCTCTTTCGTAAGGCAATATCAGCAATGTTGCAGATTGGGAGACCTGTCAAAGTGCCAACTGTGCTTACTGCTATCCGTATACGGAGTACTCTGCACAATTGGACTAGGAGGTCAAGAATCGGAGAGTGGTGGGCACCAAAAAAGAACTTATATACGGAGTACGTAAGGAAAGTACGCCCCTATTTACAGAATAATATTTATATCTGTTTGTTGACTAGCAGGGAGGTGTGCTTACCTCCCTACAAGATAAGCATGATATGGATTAATAATAGAATAGTCCCCATACTGCTGGTTGCCATGTCACACTATGCTGTAGGTCAGAGTCCTACGGCCATGTTTGCATAACGTAGCTTATAGAATAGCCATACGGAGTACTGTAGCTACAGGATAGGTAGGTATAGATAGATATCTACTCCGTAGTGGACGGGTATGATTTCCGCGTGATCTTGGCTTGGCGGCCCGCGACGATCCGCCACTCTTTGTGAGTGGAGAAGAAGTCCGCACCCCATCTCCGTCCTCCATCCTCCGTCCGCAGAGGATACTCCGTACAGTGGAGCGGGATCATCTTATCATTCGAGTGGAGAGATGATCTGGTGGTGACAAAATTGAAGCATGGCAGGATTACGGTATTATCTCTTGCAATGTTGATTTTGTCAATTACTGATCATTCTGCTCCAGGCCCCTTTCTTCGCTCGTCCCTTTTCTTGGATGTCTTGCTCGCGCTGATCAGCGATCTGATTGGCTGTTGGCGTGGTAGGATCAAGTCAAAGACTCGACTCCGTGCTCAAGTCTTGCTCTCCTGTCTCCAACATGACTATGCCCTTCGATACAGGCATCTGGGTTGCCAGGCATGTTTATTTCCTAATACGTGAAAATTGTTGGAAAGGAGTCTGTCTGATCCTGGTCGTGTTGTCCTGTTAAGCTCCCTGGACCGTGCATGCGCCAAGGACATGGCGACATGCAGACATGAATCGCCTAGACGTGCACTAGACAGGGGTCTAGTCTTGTCCTACACCGTGCCAATTCTTGTCACGCCGGGTTATGATTGCCCCGATCCTGCCTCATGTCGAGCGTCGCTAGCCCCTCCTTCGCGGCACTAGCCAAAGATCAGATTCTGCATCTCTCCTAGCTCCTCAGATCTTACTTGCATTACTCTCTGGTAGCCTCGACTCGTCTCAGTCTGCAGGTGCATGGCGGAGCAGTCGCTTTACTGCAGATAAACTACAGTGCTTATTTTGAACGCGCGGTTGTGAGGCTCGCGACATGGCGCTCGACGACAAAGACTATCCCCGCGTGCTGCATCTCGAGGATCTCCCCCATGGCTACTACCGCAGCGTCAAGTTCATCGCGTCGATCGCGGGCGTCTGCTTGATGGCCATCAGCTTGTATCTGGGGTTTGTGTTGCCGGTGCGTCCTCAATTTCTCGAGTGCGCATGGCGTCAGGTTTAATGCTCGTCTAGGCCAACACCTTGTCCATCATCAACGAGGATATCGGTCCAGATCCGAATTACGTTCTCATCTCGACCGCCTACACCCTTGTCAGCGGGGTAAGTATGTCGAATCATCGAATAGAATGCGGCTAATCGACTGCAGGTCGGCCTCCTCCTGGTCGGCCGGCTGGGCGATGTTCTCGGACGACGATACTTCCTCATCGGTGGCCAGACGATTGGCTTTGTCGGTGCCCTCGTTTGCGGCCGCGCCCAGAACATTCCCACTCTGATCGGAGGCTCCGTCCTGACGGGACTGGCCGCCGCAAACCAGCTCACCTTCACCTTCGTCGTGTCCGAGCTCGTGCCCAATAAGTACCGGCCGATCGTCAACAGCGGCCTGTTCGTCGCCGTGCTGCCGTTCGCCGCCTTTGGGCCGCTGATTGCCGAGCTGTTCGTCAAGAACACGGCGCAGCGCTGGCGCTGGAACTACTACCTCAACGTTATCAGCTGCGGGCTGTCGGCGCTGCTGTTCTTGTTTTTCTACTTCCCGCCGGGGTACAGCCAGCTGCAGCGCAACGTGTCGCGCTGGGAGCAGGTCAAGAAGATGGACTATGTGGGTTTCGTATTGTACTCTGGGGGGCTGGTTCTAGTTATGCTGGGATTGTGTAAGTACAGCACATCGTTACGATCTGCTTGAGCGACTCGCTGATGATGACAGTATGGGGCGGGAATTCCTACCCGTGGGATTCGTCCCATGTCATCGCGACGCTGGTCGTAGGATTCGTATCGCTGGTTGCGTTCGTCCTCTACGGTAGGCTGCCCGTGCTTCCTTTTTGTCAGCTGCTAACTTGAACAGAGGTATTTGCCCATCCGGAACAACCGCTGCTGCCGACCAAGATCCTCAAAAACAAAAACTACCTGGCCGTCAGCGTGGCGTCCTGCGTGGGCACCATGATCTACTTCTCCATGAACGTGCTGTGGCCGCAGGAGATTGCGGTCCTCTATCCGAGCGACGCGGTTGAAGCGGGCTGGCTTGCGGTGAGTTTAGCATATCCGTATGGCCTGTATACATGTACTGACGATGTAGTCCACCGTCGGCTGTGGCGTCGTCCTCGGAGAGATCCTGTCTGGCGTGTTGATGAAGCCGCTCGGGCATGCGCGATGGCAGTTGTTTGGCGCGACCGTGTTCATGACGGCGTTCATGGGCGCGATGGCATCGGTCAACCAGCACCGGCGGTCGTACGGAGTTGCGGTGAGCCTGGCTTTTCTCTCACTCACTCACAAACTCTCTTTTTCGTTGGTTTCTGCTGACATTGATAATAGTTCACCTTCCTGGGCGGCCTAGGCGTCGGCTGTCAAGAGATGGTCTCAATCATCATGTCCGCGCTGGTATGCGATCCGCAGGACATCGGTCTGGCGAGTGGACTTCTCGGATCGCTGAAGCAGGTCTCCGGGACGATCGCGACAGCGATCTACGTCTCGATCCTGCAGGGGCGCATCAAGCAGGAGCTAGCACCGACAGTGACGGCGGCAGCACTCAACGCAGGCCTGCCGGAATCCGACATGCCAGCGCTGCTGAAAGCCGTGACGGCGGGGGCCAGCACGGCGCTGGAGTCGGTGCCGCACATGACGGCGCAAATCGCGGCAGCTGTGGGTGACGCGCTCCAGACGGCGTACTCGAGGTCGTTTCAAACGGTGTACCTAGCGGGCATTGCGTTTGGCGGCGTCGCCACGATCGCGGCCTTTTTGACGCGCAGCATCGACGACCGCATGACGTCGGAAGTAGCGCGGAAGCTGCGCCATATCGATTCGGATGGAAGTTTGGCGGGGGTGGAAAGTAATGCAGCGGCGGCAGCTGCTGCAAAGCAAGAGAAGGAAACATGCTAGTAGTGGACCTATTTGGTGACTCTGTTTTGATATTGAAAAATCCCTTCAATTCGCTGTTTGCCATATTTATATTTAGGTTGATATTACAAGTGATATGTAAGGATATTGTACATATATTTCAACAAGTCAACCGCAATCAGAACTGAACATCCTCCCTTTCTTTCTTTCTATCTTTTTTTTTTCAAAAAAAAAAATCCCCTGCCTACGTTCGGTAGGTACCTAGGTAGATAACCTAACCTAATCTAATCTAATCAATCGAATCAAATAATCAATCATCGCATCTCAACTCGATTCATGCATGGGTCGGCGATTCGATCGATCGTCTGTTTCCATTGACCTCAGACCTGGACTGGCTGGACACTGTCTACCGTCTATACAGGCGTCTAATTATTTATTTACTGTCTACTGTTTACAGTTTACTAGTAATTTTACTAGTAATAGTCCATGGGCATGGACTGAACAAAGCCCAGCAAAAAAAACTGAAAAAAAAAAGCTAAAACTAATAGTAATCAGGTAGGTAATACTGCAGATGCTGGACGTGCGTCTCTCTCTCTCTCTCTCCCCTCCAGGTCAAGATCAGCATTGCAGCAACCTGATGGCAGGCAAACAAACAATCTGCAGGCGGAGCAGGGCGCGCAAGTATTCCCTAGGTAGGTAGCTAGGTAGGTAGGTAAGTTGCCAGTGAGTGAGTGAGTGACAGTCTTATTATATATTATTATATATATAGACAAGAGAAAAGAGAGGTGCATGCAGCATGTCATAGACATAGATAAAGATTAATAGATAGAGATAAGTATATTTCCGAATATGGAAAATCACTCATGTGGGTCTATCTATATTATATATACAGTACAGCAAGATTGTATATACAGTTATGCACAGAAAGAAAGAAACAATAATACGAATGAACATGAACATGAACTTGAATTTCGATAATAAATAACTAATATCAGAAAAAAAAAACACAGTCCGATAGACCGATAGAAAGAAAGAAAAGAAAGATCGACGTCCTTTAAATAACCAATAACCACTATAGGTACTCCGTACCTATGAGACGGCCACGAGTCAAGTCAGCAGTAGCATTAATATTAATAATTAGCTATTTATTCCGGCCGACGTCCTGGTCGGTCGATCGGTTGGTTGGCAGGTATAATACTTAGTAGCCTGTGCAAAAGCACCAACTAGGTACCTAATAAGTAGCCAGGGATAACCCTGTATATTATTACTGTATATGGTATACGGCAGGATACTTACTCTGTACTACTACTGCAGGCAGCTCAGCTCAGCCTGTTCAGTAACAGTACTACTGTCTAGTATACAGTAGTAGTATAGACAATGAATACCTCTACCTACGTACCTACATAACTAACTACATCTATGCCATCTGAATAGTCTCGCTAACAGATTAGATTCATTCGCTCTTCGCGTCAAGTCAGTCGAGTCAGTCGAGTCAGTCAAGTAAGTCAAGTCTGTCAAGTCTGTCAAATCAAGCAAAACCCACACCGGGCAATCAACCAATTAATTAACTAATCCATCAATAAATAAATAAATTAATTAATTATTCTCTCTTAAATGCACCAGCTGTATGTACAGTACATACAGAGTAGAATACACAAATACAATACTACTACTCCATAGAAAGTAGATTTTTTTCTTTCTTCAAGGTAGCATAGCAGGATAATACCGTACCTATACCATATCATCATACCTGTAACCTACCTAGGTACCTACCTAATGAACCCTAATGAACCCTAGTACATACCTATGGGGAAGAAAAAAGAACTGAACTGAATTCATCACGGCATTCCCTACCTAATTACCTGCATAACCTAGCTAGTAATCACTCTGTAGTCATGTCGTAACACTACCTGTATACCCATGCCAAGCGAAACAGATTGTTCAAACTCTTACAGACCTGAAAAGAGAAAAAAAAGATCAAAAGAAAGAAAAAGAAAAGAGCAAAGCAGAGAAAGAAGATCGTGCCTGGAAAAAAAGCAGATAGTACAAATCTCAAGAAAGAAAAAAACACGAAACAGACACAAGACAAGACAAAACAGACCAGAACAAACCAGAACAAACCAGACAACCAGACAATCAGAACAATTCAGAACAATTCAGAACAATTAAACTCCAGCTGCAAGTGAACATAATATACTCGTACACTCGATCGATCATGCCTGACAAGTCCAGGAATTGCAAGAAATGAAATGCAACTCAACGCCAACGTGCCTATCTGTCTGTCGTAGGTCTCGTCTCCTGTCGTCAATTGTAAACGTGACATCTCCCTGCCAATCACTCAACTCCCCCTGGATACATGTATTCATGTATGTATGTATGTATGTATGTATGTATTAGGTCGACTTTTTCCTCACCAGTCGATCGGCTCGATCCTCCCCCGCTGTCGCAGCCACCGTCCACCCGTAACCTTTCCACTCGCGCTCGAGCGAAAAGTCGTGGAAGATGACCACGTCGCGCAGCTTGTCGCCCTCGCGGACCTGGCTTTCGCGCCGGACCACGTACTCCTCGTATCCCAGCTCCTTCAGCTCGGCCGGGTAGTCTCCTTCGTTTCTTATTTTCGGGTTTTTCTTCGCGTACGCCTGCAGCGCCCGTAGCCGCCGCTCCTCGCGCTCCTGCAGAATCGCTCGCACCAGGTCCAGCCCTAACACCCGCCGCTGCCGCATGATGCCAAACGCCTCGCGCAGCCGCTCAAACGGCAGCGACAGAAACACGGCCGACGCCAGCGTGCACTCCCGGCTCGGCTTCTGCTCGCTCGCGGACCCCATCGACCCGAACTTGACCGACGCCAGCTTGGGGTTCGCCAGGATCGACCCCGGCACCGTGCGCAGGTCCGCCGGGATGCGGTCCGGCATCGACGTCGCCTGCGCCAGTCGGTCGAAGTGGAAGACTGTCGGCAGGCTGCGGATCATGAACTGCAGCGCGGCGCTGACCACCTTGGGCGCCCACACCTCAAGCACCTCTTTGTTGAGATTGTCGTGAATCGGGGGTGCCTTCACGTCCGGCGCTGTGTTGGCCTTCTTGCCCCGGCGATTCGTATTATTATTATTGCGCTGGGGAGGACGCTCAGAAGAGGCATTGCTGTCGTAGCTGACGAGAAAGTCCGCCGCAAACAGCCCGAATTGCAACGCCAGCTGCAGCGTGTCCCACTCGATCAGCTCGATCACCAGCTTGAACCCCGTCTCGAGGATTTCGCGGTTGTGTAGAAAGGCGCCCGATACGCCGTAGCAGATGGCGAAATCGATCGTCGCGCCCTTGTTCTTGATCGAATCGATCTCGACGGGGCAGCCCTCCCAGCCGAGCGCCTTCATCGTCAGCTGCTTCAGCCGCGGTCCGTCCACCAGCGGCAGTCCGTACAGGTTCTGCAGAGCCGTCTCGAATGCTCGTGCGAGACAGAATTTCCTCCCGGAGATGACGTTGATGGCGTTCTTCTGCTCGAATGCGGCTTTTCTCTTTAAGATCGACGCGAGCACCGGGCTCTGCGCCATGAGCACCTGGTGAACCCGGAACGTGATCGGATAGAACATGTTCTCCATCGACGTCAGCACGATCTGCGCGTCGGTGAATTGCTCCCCTTCGAAGGAGCGGAGGAGGTGCTCCGTCAGCGGCAAGACCTCCAAGAAGCTGCACAGAGCCAGGCGGATGTGAAAGGGAGAATCGGTCTCGTCAGCGTTGGCTGTCGCGTTAGCATCAGTATCGATACCAGCAGTAGCATCAACATCAACATTGGTATTAGCGACAACATTAGCGACAGCATCAGCTCTGGCATTGTCATCAGCTTTAGCACTAACATCAGCGGCGACATTGGACTGAGCTTCAGCTTGAGCTTCAGCTTCAGCAGGGTTAGCGTCAACACAAACAATCGCATCAGGAACAGTCTCTGGGACCACAGCTGCCGGCTCAGCTGCCACTTTTCCGCCGGCATCGTCTTCCCCCGTATTGTCTCCAGACGAGGTTTCGGCCGCCTCAGTCTCGCTGGAGCTCGTGTCCGACAACTCTGATTCGTCATCAGACTCATCCTCCGGCTGGTTGCGCTTGGGAACGTCCACGGAGTGATTCTTGCCGCCATGCTCCGAAGACGGGCGGCGGCTTCCGTGAATTGTCTGTGGAGAGATATTCAGGCCGTAGTTGGCAGGCGGAAAAGTGGAGGGCTCTGCACCGCGATTCTCATACCGTCCGTTCTCGTGATACGGCATATGAGGACCCGGGCTCCAGCTACTAGGCGGAGGGCCGTACGCAGGAAAGGAGGAATGGTATGAAGGAGGACCGGAATAGGGCACCGGACCAGGCATCGCATGCTCATGCGGAGCGTGGTATCTAGGCTGATACGACATGTAGCCATGCATTGGGTGGTACGACGGACTATGAGGATACGACGGAGCCGAATACCCGTTCGCTGGTGGATTCGATGGGAAGTACGACGGTGTATAGCTCCTGTGCGGGGAAACAGGGTTGTGATGCGCGTAGGAAGGACCAGGAACGCCCAGGATATCGCCGCCATTCGAATGAGCGCCTTCATGATGATACCAGTATGGCCCTACGCTCGGCTCGGGCATCATGCCATGACGATTGGAAACGGCGTAAGAGCCATCTGAACTGAAATTGCCGTCTGCGTGGCGTGGGTAGGCGGGATCGGTAACTGAGCAGCACACAATCAACTGTCAGTCAGGTTGCGCAAACATTGAACTGAGAGGTTTCAGCAGGGACTTCGAACAGTATTTACCATATCCAGTCTCAGTCATTGCCGCAGTATAGATAGGAGACGGGCGTGGCCCATTCACACCACCGAGCCCGTTCGTCCTCCGATTCTCGTACGAAGTCGCAGTTCCTGCACCATTGACAATCACCAGCTGATTGTGCCTCGCGGGCGTAGTAGTAATCGTATTGCTGAGCGCATTGCTGCTCGAGATGGAGACGCCGTTGGATCTGCGCTTGGGCTTCTTCTTGTTCTTGCGCTTGAACTTTTTAGGAGGCTCTTCTTTATTGTCATTGTTATTATTATCATTATTTTCAGGCGCTCGACAGACAGGGGCCTCGGAGGCCGATCGCAGAGTAGGACTTGACTGCGTCCGCCGTAGGTCAGAAGCGACGGTCTCGTCAGGCATCGTTGTGATATTCAGTTCAGCGAGTGCTATCTCCACAAAAAAAAAAAGGTCTGTCAGTGATTGAAGATAGATAGATAGATGTAGACTGATCCAAGTCAAACAGACCTAAGTAAGAATAAGCAGAAGAATCCCGGCTATGTGCAGATGAAGTCACTGTCTCCGTTGAGCAGGGGACTGACAGCGGCGCGCAAGAAAGAAAACACAAAACAGAACAGAAAGGACCAACGAATGAATGGACAAGAAGAAGAGGTCTACCAAGTCGCCTTCACAGCCAAAGACACGAAGCAATAGGCAACGACGACTCTGTGGAGCCGTCCCAGTAAGGAGGAGACTGTTTCTGCTCACAGACAGGACAGACGTCCCCCAAGACAGGAAGCAAAAACAGTGCTTTGGCAAAGCAGATCCTGTAGAGGAGAGTTTTTAACGAGAGAAAGATGGGATGGATGTCTCACGTGCTCTCGAGATGAGATGAAATGACAAGAGAGAGATAGGGCAGTGAAGACACGTGACAAGAGTGAGGTGAAGAGTGAGGTGAAGAGTGAGGAGTGAAGAAGAAAGAAACAAAAACAAAAACATCCACGTGGACGAGAAGAAGATTATATACTCTGCCATAACAGCTTGATCAGTCAGCGACACGTCTGTGTCCGTGTCCGCAGGAAGACGTGTTGTGTTGTTTTGACCGGAGTGCGCCGAGAGAAGCTGAACCAGGACACATGAAGGAATGGTTGTTACTGCGTCAACCATGATTGATTGCAAGGAGTTCCATGTGGTGGTGAATTGGGATGATTAATCTGGTAGCAGTGATGACAAACCAGATGTATATGGAGGATATGAGATGAAAGCCATCAGACAGAAAATCTCATCACAGTCAACAGGTCTAAAGTAGCAAATTCATAACTTGGCCTAGAACAGCAAAATACAGCAACTCTATCTGACTGACATTCAGGTGAAAGCAGAAAACCTAAACGAAAAATCTAGCTAGTGAATTTCTTCGATCATCTAAGATAAGATATGCTCCTTCAACGTCGACTTCGTACAGACTACTCCACTCGAGAACAAGTATCATAGCCTATACACTTACAAATGGCTCTTATCATTACATTCCTTCCCGCACGACTTGCAACGCCACCACCGTATGCCAGGCTTCGAAGTCCTGCACTTGGCGCATACGCGTCCAGAAGGAGTCCGCCTAGCGGGGTCTTCCTTCGAGATACAAACACAGCTAGAACACACTATGTGGTCTGTCTTTGAACACTTGCAGTAGGTATAGTATCGACGCGTCGGGACCCGGACTTGACCGTTGTTGAAGCACTTTGAGCAAAATGGCTCACACCCGGAAGGATGCTTGATATGCCAATAGCGGCGATTCCCAGCATGCAGGGTTACCCAGCATGCCTGCGTTTGTCGTCAGAATACAAAAAAAAAAAAGTGATATCAAGCAAGTACCGAGATTCTTACCTGACAGACTTTGATCCCACAACCAAAGCAGGACGTCGTGTATCCCGGGCATGTTCTTTGAACGATGTATTGGTGATCGTTGCGGGTAAATCCCAAGACTTTTCGGTACGCCTCTTTACAAGTCAAGGCCAGATTCAGGATATCTACCTGGTGACTGTGCTCAGCGAGGCAAACGACAAAAGGATACGCGGATAGCAGGCGCACGAGGCGCGACTTGGACTGCGCCCTGGTGACCGCTAAGGCTTCCAGAGATCGGGTCACCGTGATCGTGCCAGACTTCTGTAAATCAGACATCTCATAATCCCTCGAACATACGCTACCACGCGGCTTCCTTTTGGCACGGTGTACGACTCTCTTAAGCCGATCATGCGCTGCCCGCCAGAGCCATCGTCCATGCCAACAGCTTGGGCAATGCCCCAGGAACGTACGATCAAGTTCCGGCCTGCGAAGATCGTAGCGTGTTGACTTGCTCAGTATCTGAGCTATTCCCAAGAAAGACACGACTACCATTATGACCCTGTCACATCCATCTGATGTCAGTAAAAAAAAAAGAGGCTGCTTCCGTGGCGAAACGCTCACAGGACACAAGATTCCATAATCAGCACAAAGACCGTCTCCCGACAGAAAGCTTGAGCAATTTTGCTGATGGCGATCGATGGGTCGGGTGGCTCTACTAAAACCGCAAGGGCTTCAAATAGAGTCTTGTGGTCTTTTCTTCCATCGGAGACTCCCCACGTCATTGCATCCTGACACTGGTGCATGGACTTGGGAAGATAGCGTGTCCGTGTCGCGAAGGAGAAGCAGATAACTGCTGTTGCGATGAGATCAATAATCACAAGTAATACCAGCAGGCATTTGGAACGGATCAATCGGAGATACCCCCCTATAGTAGACCACGCGAAGAGGAAGAATCCCTGCCCATTATTCACGTCTCTCTTATCAGCGGCGTCTTCTATGAAATAGAACTAAGACTAGTCAAGCATACCACGACTCCCGCGGCGTGCTGTGCATCTTCGAGAATGCTCAGGTGAGGTATGGTTTGAGACCTGCTCACTGCTGACGAGCGAAGCTCCGTCAAATTGTGGAAAAGATGTAGCGCAAGCAATCCATATGTGAACGCAAATGATCCGAGGAGTAGCTGCAAAACCAGAAGCACGATAGTTTCTGGAGGCCACATGAAGAAACTGTAGGGGAAGGGGGGGATGATATCCCACCCAAACGTCAGCTCTGGGATGTTCTGGTAGCAGAGATCCACGGGAAACAATAAGTAGAAAATATCTTCCCAGCTCTGTGCAAAAGCGTACATCGACATCAGGATTTCGTGAGTCGGCTTGGACTACGCCAATATGATGTCGACTTACCGAGTCGCTAATGGATGCCTAGGCAGCGACGCACACCAGGCTGAAGTTGGAACTGCTTAAGAGAAGCACCTGTCGTGGGAATCAACTTCGACAGCATAACAGTTCACATAAAATATTTATATTTTGAATAATGATAACAAAAAGGATATCCTATGTATTCGCTAAAATAACAGGTCCAGGTATATAACACCGAATCACAGAGCGACTGAACCCACAGATATCCGATACAAGAATCAACAAATCGAAACTCTTGAACACGCAAAGCATGAAGAACCAGGCCATGAAGGACAGTCGAACTGACAGAGATAAAAGGAAAAAGCGCAACGACGGACAGAATTCCCCCCCAAGCTGTGGCCGCCACATTAGATCATTCCTCCTTCGGAACGTTGATGATCACCGGACGTTTTTCGCAGTCTCTGCCGCGACAAAAACCGCCTCTCATCGTCGTCATCCTCAAAGGTACTCCGCTCCTCCGCATTGTCCTTGCCGGACGATGCAGAAGATTTGTCGCCCTTGAGAGCATTGAGGATGGTCTGTGTGGTGGTTTGACGTCTTCGTGGGTTCATTGGAGGGACGGGAGGCGCTTCCATGCCATTGCTGAGGCTGGCCCCCGGGGGTAGACCAACGGTAGGAACGTTCGAAGTGCTCGAGACAAAGGTGGGTTCCGATATCTGCGACTTGTCTACCGTTTTCTTGGGAAGGCCGTTGCTTCCTGAGCTACGTTGGGCAAGACTGGCAAGCATAGTGGACGAGGGAGATAGCCGGGAGGGTTCTGTGTCGGTCTCTGGCAATGGCGGCGTCGTATTCGCAGCATAAGGAGTCACGGGAGAAGGCCGGGGAGACTCGCCAATGAAGTCGAGGTCGAAATAGCCCGGGGCTGCGGCGCGGCTGTTGCTCCGGTACCTTCCAGCTGATCGTTCATAGCTAGTCCGATCGTTGGATTCCAGCGATGGACGAGCCGACGCCGGAACGGACGGCGGCCCACGGGGCCCGTGTTGATGATCTTCTGGCTGATGACCCTCATATTGGCTGACTGCATCCTCTGCGACCATTCCCAGATCGTCCCGAGGCCTCGTCCGACTCTTGGATCGTCCAGACGCGGAATTGGACCGATCTCTTCGGCGACTGCCAAAGGAATTCGGAGAAGGACCTCGACTTGAACTGGATTCTCGAGTCTCCTCCCGGCTGGACCGCACTCGGGACGAAATACCGTGACTAGAGGCGATATGAGGGGCACTGGAGTTGGAATGTTTTCCCAGGCTGTGCGCCGGCTCTTCTTCCCTCGAGACGAGAGACGGAGTAGACGCATTCATCGGCGTACTACTGCCACCAAGTCCGAACATCTTCAAGCCCTTTGGTTGAGCAGGGTCCTGCTTTGAGTCCTGCTTGCCAATTGGGCTGTGCTTGACAGACCGATTCTTGAGCATGGCAAATGCGTTCCCGGGCTTACCATGGCTGAGATCGGGGGTCTGACGCCCGGGAACAGGGCTGCTTGACCGGCTCTCGATGTCCCCCAGGTTCCTCAAGTTCTCCTCGACCCGCCTTCTTCGCTCTGCTAGCACGCTGGCAAATTCCTCCCGCTCCTTCTGTGTCTCGGTACTTCCGTCTCGCTTGTGCATGTGCTTGAGCTCATCCTGCCAGGACTGCCCGTGGTTTTCTGCCCGAGAGCCGGCCCGCGATTCGTTTTGTTCGCGAAGGGCAGCAGCCTGATCGCGTAGCTGCTTTGCCCTCATGGAGAAACTCGAGGCTGCTGATTGGATTGCTGGTGCCGGAGCAGGGTCACAATGCTCTTCGGCAGCCGCCGGTTTCTGGCCCATTGAGTCATCAGACTCGTTGCTACGGCTGCTCGCAGGGGGGTGCGGCTCTTGAGAAGGCGGCTCCGGGTGCTGTTGATCCGGCTGGCCTGGGAGTCTCGGCGACGGGGGAGGATAGATGGACGACACATTACTGTCATGCCGCAGGTGAGTGCGAATCAAGCCACTCAGTCCCAGACCCGACGGCCCTAGCGTGGGGGAATCGGGGGCCTTCTCATCCGAAGCCTCTTCCGGGATGGGGGATGGCAGACCATCCGTCGCCTGGTTCACTGCAATCGTATTCAGATCAGAAAGGTCCGAATATCTCACTTCCGGGATGTCCTGGACTTCACGGGCGGATTGCTGGGAATAATTCGACTCCCTTGAACCAGGGCGAGACCGGAAGGCTGGATGGATGCCATCGGGTGCCTGGGATGAGGCGGACGGTCCCTGTTTCGCTGGACCGTCATCATCCGCGTCGCCCTCCGAGTCGCTGCCACTGAGATTCATCAAGAAACTGTTATGCGTGGCTCGGGTCGGAGATGGGTCCCTCACGCTCGACGCCCTGGAATCGGGACCGTTGTGGTGAGCTTCACTGCTGTAACGAGACGAAACCGACTCGGCCTTCGATCGATAACTCGTGTTCGAGAGGCCCCTTGGCCGGGTAACACCGTCCGGCTGGACCACACTGTTGGTAGGCGAGCGCCGTCGCAAGGGAGGGGTGTTCCGGCCCTCGTGCATTTGCAGCTGACGACGGCTGTACTGCTGCTCATCAAACGGGGTACTGGGCTTATTGAAGAGCCCCATCGCCGTCGCCTTCCCCCTGTCATCGGGGTGCAAGGCGGCTGCGAGGGTGGCGGCCTCCTCTGTTTCGCTCATCGGGGGACTCAGCGGAGGCATCGAACCGTACCCGGGATTCGAGCCAGCAGTGCCGTTCGTACTGTCTTGATGATGGGCATCATTGGATTTCTGCGAGTTCGCAGACAACGGAGGACTGTTGCCCTGGTAAACCGGCGCTGCCTGGACGGGCGATATTCGTGACGGCCGCTCTTGAAGGTTGGTCGTGCTCTTCGAGAACGAGCGGTTCAATCGAGGAACTTCGGGGGTTCCCGCTCCAGCCCGTTGTCGACTGATGCTTTCCAGTCGACTCAAGGTGGAGGATTGTTGGTCCTGCACCGCCTGAGCGATACCTTGCCCGTAAAGGCGACGAGCCTTGGCTACATGGTTCGGGGGCGGCCAGCTGGGTTTGTTAGGGGACGTGGGAGTATTATTGCTGGTGCCCAGGGTCGAAGATGCCTGCTGGCTTCCTGTGCTCGACTGCTCATCGATCGAAGTGGCCGCGGTTGAGGTACGGCGATTGGAATTGCCCGAGGTAGTAGACGACGAGGTCGTCCGCTTGGTCGAGAATGCGGGAGAGCCCTCTTCCAAATCAGGCGACGTCGAGTCCTGCGGACTGTCGGCAGTCTCCTCGGCCAGCTTTTCTTCCCTTTCTTTTAGCCTCAGTCTCTGGAAGGCCGAGAGAGTGACATCATCCTCATATACTGCGCGGCCCCTCAAGCCTTCGGAGCTGGAGGCATTGGCTGGGACCTTGTAAACCTTCTGACGCCCTCCGAAGAGGATATTGCCCTCTCCCGTCGGTCTCTTTCTGTTCATGATACTGCCAGTATAGGACTCGTCATCTTCCGTCCCGTCCGACACATACGAATCGGATCGCCCCAAGGCCAAGGAAGGTCTACCATTGATCGAGGATACTTCTTCGATATCAGACAACAGGCTGGGGTTGTGACCAAAGAGGTTCAACCGGGAAGCGCGCTTCGGAAAGAGAACGCTATCGTCATTGGCTTTTCCAACCTTGGTGGTGGGATCATCTTGCTCTCTTAGCATACTAAAACGGGCTGACAGCTTGGGCATGAGAAGACTGGTCCGGAACTGGTCCGTTGAGGGCAGAGCGTTTTCCAAGTCAAACTCGGGCTTAGGCTCCGGTTCCTCTTTCTTGCTGTTCTTCTTGAAGGGGTTTGGCATCGAGACAGGGGAAGGAACGGCATCGACATCCTCCACGGTGTCCTTCCCCTTCTTGTTCTTTCTGAAACGATTCATGATTGTAATCGGATAGTCGTTTTGGTCCAGTTGTGATTAAAGTAGTCGCAGGTCCGTAAAAAAAAATAAGAGCAGACAAAGGAAAACCAGGTCTGGTGTCTAGTAATCGCCAACGACGGCGGGAAAGGAGGACACAAGCGAGTGACTAAATCAATGAGCGGTGCATTCGAGAGATAGAAGCAGGTCCAACAACTGACCTGTAGAAGAGACGACGATGACGAACCAAGGGTCCCGCTCTGGAGGAATATAGGTCGCACGCCTTTCTCAAAGCCTCATACTGTATAGAATGCACATGGCGGGATTCCACAAAAATAGGTTTCGTCTCGAAAGCCGCTCTCCAACTGCGATGATACGAATACGATCGAGAAAGGAAAGAAAAGGAAAGATTGGGGCCGGACAAGAGAATATTACAATGCGCAAGGCGCGGTGGAGTAATTGCCCAGACTGGGATATGACCCGGCGGAAACGGGACGATAACGAACGCACGAGATAGGGAACGAAGGAAGGGCGGATAACAGACAGAGGAAAGACGAAGACTGCGCAGAGGCAGCAAGCAAAGGAGTGACAACCGTTCTCGAGCGACGTCGAGGGTCGGGGGGGCAGGAGAGAGGGAGCAGAGGGGGAAAAAAAAAGGAAAAGAAGGAACGAGGACGGAGACGGAGAACTGGAGAGAGATCGAGTCGGGGCGATCGAATGAATTGGGCTCGGTCCCAACTGTTTGGGCTTCGTTCAGGAGCCAGGACCAGCGGGTGCGCGCTGCGGAACGACAAGAGACCCAGGAGGCCGTCGAGCTAGCAGCGGGACTAGCGATGAATTATGATCTCGGGTCGAGAACAGGACGATCTCGCCACGCCGCTGACGGGCTAGGCGAAGGAAATTGGCTCTGACAGGAGTTAAGCAGGCAGGCTTTGGGCGCCGTTTGGTCGTTAGCGACCGGGGGACGGCGAGAGGGCGCGTTAGGGGCTCCGAGGACCAGGGACGGGGGCCCCTTGCTGCTGTTAGGCCGCGTTAGCGCGGGCGCCGCGGCCCCTGGGCTGGATTATTATTGTGGATAGTGTGTTCGCGCTGGCCGGCGCTGGCTTGCTCGCGTGTCCGGGCCGGCAGTGGACCCGAACGATCAATCTGGGGCTGAATAATAACGCATGGAAAAATTCTGACGCCTGAGGGCAGAGTGCTGGCAGATGCTGGTTCAGAATATTAAAGAATAAAGATGAATACGAAAGGCACATTACGCGGTGGCGCGGGCGGATCGCGGGGTTGGGTGGCCGCTATTGGCCCATCGTGCTTGCAGACACGGAACATGCCGATGGAAGTCTGGTAAGTTGTGAATATGCCAGCTGAAGTTCCAGCGAGCATGCGGAAAAACAGTCCTCCGTATCTGAACCATGCAGGTCAGAATGGTCATGGCTAGCGACGCCGATCAGCAGGTGTTTGCGAACTACGAAGAACCATGACACACAGCAGATCCGTACGGAAGACTACGTTCCTTTCATCATATTGCAGGATCTTGCTGATGCGGGCTGAGGGCGGGTACCGGCCCGCATGGCGTGCCCATTGGCCGGGGCTCCTTGCAGACGGTACAGTAGCAATGCAGCCTGCTCAGTCAGACTTCAGTGGGAACTGGGAGGTTCTCTCTCCCACTGATCGGAATGCGGGTGGAGCGAGCTAATTGGATGGGTGCTAAAAAAAAAAGGGTGAAATATTCCATATAGCGGCAGGTGTTGAACTGTTGATACGGCCAGCAGAAACACACCCAGACTGCCATCCATCGGCATTCGAGTCGACGTCAAGACGACGTCAACGTGCAACGTCTTGGACAGCCCTGTCTTGACATTGCGACTGGCTCGTGGCATGCACGAAGCATGCAGCATGCCACGAGATTATTTGACGAGTCGGGCATTAGAATTCTTCACGAAATAGGCGGCGCCCCTGACTAGGCTGCATCAGGCAAGGCGGGAAGCGAGCTGGTTGGAGGCGGCAACCCGCAGCAGAATCCGACTGGGCGAGCCGTCCCAAAGACAGAGATGGCTGCTTAGCTAAGCTAAGGCCGGCGCTGCCCGCGGGCTCTTCGTTCCTTCCCTGCGCGGCAGTCGGTAATTTAGCAAACTCTGCTGCTCCGTGCTCCTTCCTGTCCGGGATGAACTGTGGCGTCGCGGCAGTCGCAGCCGTGGCGCAGGACCATGCCCAGTGTTTCAGGTGCCCGCCTGGCATCGAATCACGGTGCGTGTCTGCCGAGATCAAACAGCATCTGTTTCAGCTGCTTCAGAGATTATTACGGTGTATTATATGGCTACCGTTGCATCATTATTATGCCAGATCAACAGGTGGATCGGACGAACTGCAACTGCAATTATACACTTACTAACCTACTACTGGGGTTGTCTACGGAGTATAGAGTACAGAGAAATCGAGGAATTGTTCCTTAAATTTATTCCAGAGCAACAATGAAGCTTAGCCAATTCGATATGTTTACGTAAGGTCCAGCAAGATGAAAGTATTATCGTTTCAATGATTCCAGGAAATACTGAATCTTCACTCGCTCTTACCTGTTAGGTATGCAACCAATTATATATTATCGCTGCTAACTACCTAATTAGATTAACACATTTCTACAGAGTTTATACTTGAGAACCAACAATTGGTGTTGTATACTTTGACTATTTTTGAGAAAATATATTCCTTCTTTCTTCTTCTTCTTCTTTTTCTTTCTTTTTTTTTTACTTTACTTTACTTTTCTTTTACTTTTCTTTTTTATTTTTTTTAATTAATTTTTCTTTAAAAAAAATACAATGAACTGAAGCTATAGTTTGCCTCGTCTAGTGCTCTGCTGCATCCAAGCTTGGGCCACATCCGATCGACCACACTCATGACGCCATGCCATGCGTCACTGTACGACAGTGTTGTACCCCGCAAAGGACAGTGTCCAATATAGCATTATAATTATTAATCAATCGCACGCTACAAGGCTATTCCCTCGTTTCTAATTTCATGCTCAATTGAAGAGATCATTACTCAATCTGCTACCTACGATTAAATGAATTGTTTTTTTTCTAATTGACTCCCTGCTATGCCACCGCACGTCCTCCTCCTCGGCGGCCATGGCAAGGTCGCCCTGCACCTGACGCCTCTGCTTCTGGCCCGCTCGTGGAACGTCACCAGCGTGATCCGCAACCCGGAGCACGAGAAGGAGATCCTGCAGCTGGGCAGCGGCCACGGCCTCCAGGGCAAAGGCAAAGGCAAAGGCAAGGTGGAGGTCCTCGTGTCCAGTCTGGATGACGTCAAGAGCGATGCCGACGCCCAGGCCATCCTCGACAAAGTGCAGCCCGACTACGTCGTGTGGTCTGCAGGCGCGGGCGGCAAAGGCGGACCGGAGCGAACGTATGCCATCGACCAGAACGCCGCCAAGCACTTCATCGCGACGGCGTTGGCGTCGCCGCGCGTGAAAAAGTTCCTGCTCATCTCGCACCTGGGCAGCCGCCGCAACAAGCCCGCGTGGATGACCGACGACGACTGGCGGCACCTGCAGCACGTCAACCACGACCTGCTGCCGACGTACGCCAAGGCGAAGCTCGAGGCGGACGAGTACCTGACGGCGCGGGCGGAGCTGCGGAGGAGACAGTTCCCCGACAGCCCCTTCCAGTACATCCTGCTGCGGCCCGGGTGGCTGTCGGATGAGCGTGCGACAGGGAGGGTTGCGCTGGGGAAGACGGGTGCGCAGGGCAAGGTGACGCGCGAGGACGTGGCGATTGTGGCGGACCGGCTACTGGCGAGGGACGACACGCATGGCTGGTATGACCTGCTGAATGGCGACGAGCCGATTGACGAGGCGGTCGAGAGGGTTGTCCGGGAGGGAGTGGATGCGGTGGAGGGGGAGGATGTCGAGGGGATGATCAAGCGATTCAATTTGCAGTAGAAGCAATTTGTGTACAGACTAGGATACCAGTGATGCAGAGTAATAATCAGAATTATACGTAACCCACATACCGTCTATCCATTCTCCTGGATTACGTATTATCAACTGCAAGATAGTGTTGAGTATGCAGTTAAGGGAGAGATTAGATTTGAATTCCTGGGCTGGCTATTATCATTATCATCAATCTTACTATCATTGACTTGACTATATATTGACTACTATATTGACTGCACTGTACATGTAGCCATGTAGTAGTTATTGTATATGGTCATATGCGGTCTCTGGTATTTGGTCGCGTGAGCACTTACTTTACGAGTACTTTACTAGCAGGGTAATAATAATATGGGGACAGTTCCTTAGAAAAGAAAGTGTATAAATGTCCCACTCTTTTTTTTTTCCCCCTTCAGCCTGTATGTGCATACCTAACCTAGGTACATACTCTTAAGTAAGGGTCTAATCGACAGTACTCCGTACATAAGGCTTTTTCCTTCTGAAGAATCCTTTACTCCGTACGGAGTAGTTAGGTCCATAGGTCAGGTACCTAACCCGAGTTCCACTGTTAGGCACCTAGTCAATGGAGAGACAAGTCAGTCCCAGTCTCCACTTAATTTAAATTAATAAGGTATTATTATCGTTCCGTCCGTCCCGTTCCGTTCCAAACAAAATAATTACTCCATATAATACGACTGTGAGTCATACATATATTATGGAATCCACTCGTTAGTTAGTTAACTAGTTAGTTAGGCAGACATTACCTAAACATTAGGTTGTGTTGGGTTGGGTACCCATATGTATGTATGTACTGTACAGTACATTACCTACCTACCCAATCTACGGAGTATATCCAAGACCTCATATATCATAACGCGCAGTACAGTACTCGAAGCCAGAGCCAAGTCAAAGTTTTTTTTTAAAAAAAAAAGGCTGAAATGCTGTTTATATTGTTTATTATTGAAGCTGGAAGGCTAGTAGAAGTGCAAAGTTTGAAAAAAAAAAGAAAGAAACAGAGGGGGCAAAAAAAGAAAAAGAAAAAAGAAGAAAAAAGAAGAAAAAAAGAAAAGTGGAGTTAGTAAACTCTATCGAATAATTAATTTATTCTTGAGTCTCGACCGCGATGATCTTCATCTTCCCTTTTTTTTCTTCTCTTTCCGATTTTTCTTTCTTCCTTTCTTTTAGTTTAATTTGATTTAATTTAATATAACTTCTTCGAGAAAGTAAATTGAAAAAAAGAGAGAGAGAAAAAAAGGAAAGGTAAAATATGTAGTGTACTGTACAATCACACACAGAGAGTGAAAGGTTAGATAGATAGAATAAGTGCATGTATGTACAGTACTAGGCAATTCTCCCCTCATACTGTTTAGCTGGCTGGCTAGCTGGCTGGCTTGGATAGGTAGTGCATTAATATTACCTACACAAGTAAGTACAGTACATACATATGCTTCATCACATCACATCACTGTGCATATGCACATGCATATGCAGATACATTGCATTGCATTGCATTGCATTTCATTACATTGGGTGGTATAGTATGTTATATTATAATATTAGGTACATACTACTACCCCTGCAGCTTGAGTAGAGTGCAGTGCAGTACACATGTGAAAATGCATTCACCTCCCTGATCTATCTATGTACACATATCTATTTTATTTTATCCCCTGTTATTTCTTACCTCTAGGTTATATCTGCATATGCAGATGGAATGATTTTGGCAGGGATTTTTTTTTACTGCCGCTTTTAGCTCTCTTGTCTGCAGATAAAGTCGAGAAGAATTACTCCGTATTTAGGGCAATTAGTCATCACTGTACTCCGTACTAAGAATACTCATCAATTCATCTCATCAATACTCCGTAATAATACTACCAATGCAAGAATACTGCTAACTCAATCCCATGTTGACATCATCCCCAAGCCCAAACTCCCGTTCGGCCCTCTCCGTCCCTCCCGTCGCGCGAGCCCCCCATCGGTCCAACCGATCCTGTGCTTCTTCGATTTCTCGCTTCCGGATGCTCGCGCTGTCCGTCTCCCCGCTCCCTCCGGTTCCGCTGCCTCTCCGCCGACGCAGCGAACTGGACACGCTCTTCTGCCCCGGGCTGCTGCTATACGTATCGTAGCTGCTGCCCACAGCATTGCTGAAGGAGGCGCTGCGCGAGTTCTGGATGCTGACAGGCCGCGAGGCAGTCCCGTTCGGTCCGCTGGGGGGTGAACTCCCAGAGCTCACGCCCGTGTCGCCCTTCGACCCCGCGCTGCTGTTCTTCATATCCTTGGACCCGCCAAACCACCGTCTTTTCCGTGTGGAAGAAGACGACGTAGAAGGAGCAGTCACGCTGGCTGCATCGTCCTGCGTATCTGCTGTTTCAGCCTTCTCGCCAGAAGCATTCTCATCCACCTCGACCAGTTCGGCATCGCGGTACCATTTCCGACGACGAGTATACCGACCCCAGCCATCCTGTCCGCGCCGACCATCCTGCCACTGTAGACAATTAGAATATTTCTATGAGAAGAGACGTCTGCTTGCCTACCTTATTGTCATAGTAAATCCACCCACCTCCATCTCCCGAATCATCTCCCCCCTCGATTCGCCATGTACTGCCTTCCACCCATCGCCACACGGCATTCCCTCCCTTCACTTCGGGGAGCTCAAAATAGTCCTTGGGCGGGACCGGGTTCAGATGTTCATCGGTCCAGGCGGCCCGTTCATGCGGAAAGAGGGAGTAGGTCCATCCAATGCCCAGCCACCGTCGCTGGTTCTCGTATATAATGAAAGTGAACCGAATGCCCGCAGAGTCGCCACCCCGGTTCTTCGTCGTGATCGCGGTAGCATGTCCATACGTCTGGGATTGGGTCCTTTCCCTGGCGCGATTGCTGGTCACGTCGGAAGAGAAGTCGAGACCCGTCAGAAAACTGCAGATCCGACGGACCGTAAGAGACCGCCATAAGATGACACGCGCCACTCGCGCCGGCCGGGAGTGGTAGGTGAGGATGATGGTGCCGACAGTCAAGACGACGCGGCGCGTCGTGATGATGCAAAAGGGAGGGAGTGTGAGCAGGATCCAGATTGGCGTCACACACAAAATCCGGATGAACAGGGCCGTCAAAGCCGGCCTGGTCGTGGCCGAGGTCGCCGTCTGCTGTGTGGACAGGAATTCCGTCATCTCCAATAGGGGCTCCAGCAGGATGTTGCATCGCGTCGTAAACTCCCTCATCGTCTCGACAATCTCGTCCAAGCTCTTGTGGTGTCGTGTCAACGAGCCCTCCGAGGACTGCCGCCTATGCCCGTGTTTCTCCCCCGTCAGGCCAGTGGACGACAACGGGGAGTAGCGTCTCGAATACATGCCCAGGATCAAGCCAGTCACCACGAGGATCGGGCCTGCCCACAAGATAATGGCATCCGAGTACAGGACGATGGCCCAGAAGCCGGCCACCAGCAGGAAGCTCTCCCATGGGTCTCCGCTGGACCATGACAGCAGGCCGACCAGCTTGTTCAAGGGCAGGATGAACGGATGGGAATAGGCCAACGCTCGTGTGACGGGCGGCGGCGTCGCCACGAGCAGAGGGGATTTTCGATGAACAATTACGCTGGAGCGCTGGCGGGAGGTGAGGGAGGAGCCGGTTATGGTCGTCGGTGAGAAGGCAGCCACCGTGGGCGGGTTGGAGTCCCGGACTGGCTGCGCGCCATTATCCTGTGGGTATGACGGCGGTGACATGGATTCGATCCACGGAGTTTCTGAAAGAGGTGTCAGAAGAAGATCCATCATCTGGGACTCATGACTCGAAGAGAAATGGCGGGAGAGCAAAAAAAAGAAAAGGCAAAGAAAGCAAGCGCTGGGCGGAATGTCAATTACCAAGAGCTGCCATGCACAAGCGCAGTGGATTCCGGCGTCAGCCTGGACAGGATCATTGCGGGCGTGGCACGTCACGGCGACAACGCGCTGGAACGGGGACGTCAACAGAAAGAATAAGGCATAGGCTGGCCTCGAATGATCGTGGTATGATCTTAGCTAGCAGGCACGGCCATGACGAGGCGATCGCCTGCGGGGATGGAAGTCGGCGGAGAGTCGATCGCGGTGTTGGCAGGCAAGGCATGTGACCGCCGGAGCTCGGCAGCGCCCAAGTCACATGTCGGTGAGGACTCTCGCGTCTTATTGGAGTGGTCGACGACGATTATCAGGCCTATTTTCTGGACTTCTTTCCCTTTTTGCTCTCTTTCTTTTTTCTCGTCTTATTTCTACGGGCGAATGATAAGAATCATCGCTTCTTATCCGACCTCGGCAGCACTGATCTCCAGCTTGCAGATCACACGTGACCCGATGGGTCTGATAAGCTAGCTCCTTTGGCCCTATTCAATGCCCTTACTCCGTAAATAGGTAGATTTCTAGGCTGGATGGGAGTTATTCTTACTCCTTCATACGGAGTACACCTCTACATTACTTCTGTGGACTTTCTTGTGCTCAACTGGCCATGGCATGTCGAGGGTTTAGTTATAAATTTGACTGGTAGCACACAGGTGGGTACAGTTAGAGACTGCATGGAATCCATCACGAACAGTCGGTCAGTCAGCTTGCTTCTCAGGCAAAAAGATAAGGCCAATTAATAACAGGGAACACATTCCATTACCCAGACACACGTAATGATTCGTGTAGTCACAGGTGAACCACTTCCCGACTGCTAGTATTCACCTAATTATTCTTGAAGTAAACCGCTTCGTTGTCTGATGCGCGTGCATTCTCCTTCTGAAACAGCTGCTCCTCAGAATCGTTCCGCCAATGATCCGACGGAGCATCGGCATTGGCAGCTGGCATGTGTGCTCGACTCTCCACGCCAGGCAATTTTCCCACTTTGCGCTTGTTGGACGACATCGCCGACAGCTCGTGAGAACGGCCATGGGAGGAGGGATATTCGGAGCCCAGTGACTTGACGACGTGCTTGAGCCAAACGGCTTTCAGCGAGGGTGCATTGGCTGCCATGATGCCCACCTGGATCTCAATCGCCGACACCAGCAGCAGTTTCGCCAACGGGTATGTGAAATCGGGGTTGCTTCCGAACTGGACCAGCGTCACCAGGCGGATCAACGACACAATTGGAGAGCAGCCTCCCAGGGTGATAATACAAATGAGTCCGATCCGACGGCGGACACTGGCTTGAATGCTCCAGAGCGGCCGAATTGGCAGGGCAAGAATAACTAAATCAGTGAAGATACACTTGGGACAGAGTCAGTAACCGCAAAGCCAGGAACGTGAGGCGTATTTCGAAACGTACAAAGGATGCAGCGGTGTAATAGATAATGTCGATTCTGATGCACTTGACGGTGGGATAGAGCGGCGGCTCTATGGAGGCTCTGATGTCTTTACACTGCAGGCAGAAAAGCAACCACATGGTAATGGTCATCAGAGTATTGAGAGCCAAGGTGGCTTAAGTGGCGTATTTGAAAGCCGCATTATGCACGATCCGAAGGTAAAAGAGCAGGATGGTCGTCTTAATGATCCAGTGCATGAAAACATAGTATATCGACTCGGCGAAGATGACCTGGGCGTTTTAGCTGTTGGCTTTTTTGGACATAAGAGGATCTTGTTGATCGCACATACTCGAAAGATCATCAGCAGGTTTTCGGTGCTAATGGCAGTGATCGATCTGTGGTGGTATCCTTCAGTTAGCCAGGTCTTAATAGATCAATAACGACGAGTTGGGCCACTTACAGCCCGGCTCCATAGCGCAAGAAGATATACAAAATGGCCTGTTGTCCGGCGCTGAAGAACTGATTCCTGTCAGCAGGGCCTTCATGTCGTCAAACGACAAAAAGTACCAACCAAAATCGAGGTCATAAACCAGTCATCCCACTTAAAGCTCCTCACGATAAACCAACGTGAGTAGATACGGAGGAAGATGGAGGCGGTTCCAATGATGTAGAAGGACATTGCGACGCCGTAAGTAGCAGCCTGCAGTGCATTGAGCATCCTGCTGTCTCAACCCGAGCCAGACATCAACAGAGAGAAAGCATAATCGTTTCTGGACAGAAGAAAACAACGCACACTCGTCCCTGAGAGAAATGGATAGAGAAGACGGGTTTTACCACAAAGTCATGGCAAATATCCCTCCTGCTTCTGTATTGATCATTTGGTCCTAATTAGCTATTCATAACAAGAACAATAAAAATAATGAGTATCCTTCATTCAGTTCTACCCAGCACCCTGGCTGGAACTTTGGCAGTCTCCATAACGCGGAACGGCTCTGTTCCAGACCCTTGTAGACGAGGAACAGATCAGCGGTACTTCTACTATGGCTGACAGCAGATATGTGTATTAATTTAGAGGTAATGGTTTTTTCCTCCCTTTATTGGCTTGACTGCCACTCAACACAGTCCATCCAGAGCAGTGAGTTGCATGGACTGTCGCTATATCATGTCGACTACACCTTCGGTACCGTTTTTCAGTGACACGAACTAGTTTAAGCCAGGTGCTTTCGGGTCAACAACGCCTCTCAGATTGGACGCTCAGATAGACAGGATGGAGACGTCTGCCGTCCGCCATGCGCAGGCTTGGGCTCTGGCAGCTTTGACAGGTGACGATCGTTTCATCGCGATGATTATCCGCCAACCAGCTTTTTTTTCCCCTCGCGCGCTGGTGGGCCAGCAGCTGTTAAGGCGGATTGCTGGGACTTTTATATACGCGTGAGACGACCTTATTTGGACCTGACAGAAGCTTAGCTGTCCTGCAGACCTCCATCTACATCTACAAATCGCCCACCCTGGCCTTGTCTCGCATCCGCATTCTTCACGCTAGGAAAGCATTTCCACTTCCCCGGCATCAGCTGCGGAGCATTAGTGATGGCCTGGATGCATCTACGTTGCGTCTTCTTCCGTCTTCGGCACGCAGGCTGTCCAGATGGAGCCCCTCATTTTACTTGTGTCTGGGTTATACCTGCTGGAGAACGGACAGGTGAATTTTGCTAAAATGTCTCCTGGCTTGTCCCTGAGAGTGTATCTCTCCCATTGGGGTTCTGGTGTCCAGACTGGGGTCTCCCAGGTGGCTTATCCTGTCACTCGAGATTATTGTTTGTTGTCGAGAACATGTCGCAGCCAGCGTGGCCCAATGTCTCCGGTTCTCTTGGCGAGATATTGCCTACAGAGCTGGGGAGAATCGCCATTATCTCCATCATTCTGGGGCACTGCTTCCATCTCTCTATCCGCAATGTTGAGATCGATTTCCGGATCTGGTCTCTGTTGGGTCTCTATGCCACCCTCTGGGTTGTGCTAACGGGGCTTTATGTGAACGTCTGTGACCTCCGTCTGCTGCAGGCCGTCAGGAATGCCTCTCTTTGCGGGCTTTTCTTCAACATCGGGTTGACTGCCAGCATCACGATTTACCGGTTATTTTCCCACCGAACTCGGCATTTCCAAGGGCCGTTCGGCGCCAAGCTGAGTCGGTTCTATGCAATCTGGCTGTCCTCCAAGTCGACCCAGTACCATTTCGAACTGAGGAAGCTGCATGAAATATATGGGGATTTCGTTCGCACGGGTAGGAATTTGAGTCTGCGCAGTCGATCCCGTTCACTTGAACACTGACCCTGCTCGAAGGACCTCGCGAGATATCGATCATCCGTCCGGCGGCGGTTTACGCGATCTATGGTCCTCAGTCAGAGTGCCGCAAAGCGACCTGGTACAGCCAAGTATCCGATGATCCGAATAAGTCGTCTGTTCATCTCTGTCGGGACCCGGAGCAGCATCGTCGTCGACGAAGAGCATGGGATCGAGGGTTTGGTATGAAAGGTATGAGCAACATGAGAGTTGATTATTTCTCTTTTTCAAGACCTGGGGAAGACCTAACTCTGGATGGCGGAGCAGCTCTCAAGACGTACGAACCAAGGATCCAATCCAAAATCGACGTTTTAATTAAACAACTGAAATCACGACAGAATAGCCCCGTCGATATTACCGCCTGGTCGATGTACCTCGCATTTGACATTATGGGGGCAGTCGGGTTTAGCAAAGACCTCCATCAGCTGGAAGACGGTGCTGAGCACTCGGCGATCAAAGATCTTCATGGTCAGATGGCAATTCTTGGTCTTTTGTCACCGGTTCCGTGGCTTCTATCGATGTTAGGTTCTCTTCCAGGCCTGACTGGTAGCTACAGAGGATTCTTTGACTATTGCAATAGGCAGGTAGAGGAAAAGAAAAAGGCACGGTTCTTCGCTTCAACTGATGTGGTGATCCAGCGCTAAAAGTTAAGATCATAGATATGGGAAGCCAACAAGAAAGAGGTGCCTGAGGATGCTTTCTCTTGGCTCCTGAAAGCGCGTGACGAGAAGGGTCAGTCGGCTCCTCCGACAGACCAGGCGCTCAATGAAGATGCTCGTGTCATCATTGTCGCGGGAAGGCGAGTCTTTCATCCTGAGTTCTCGTATTAGACTTTGCTGTGGTTAACAAGTAATTAACTCATTTTTAACAGCGACACGACAGCGATTACACTTGCGAATGCCATATTCTACCTCGTCGCCCATCCGTCTGTCTATCAACGTCTCCAAAAGATCGTGGACGGGCTATTCCCGGAAGGCGACGAAGCATTCGACTATGAGAAAGTCAAGAATATTCCATACCTCGATGCTATCATCAACGAAACGCTTCGTCTCAAGCCTGTCATACCAAGCGGCCAACCACGGCTGACCCCTCCGGGTGGTCTTCAGGTCGACGAGGTATGGATCCCGGGAGACACGATCGTGGCCATTCCGCAGTGGACGATTTTCCGGGACGAGCGATATTTTATCCGCGCAACGGAATTCCTCCCAGAGCGCTGGCTGTAGGGAAGGATCGCCTGATCAAGGATGAGCGGGCATTCTTCCCTTTTTCGCTTGGTGAGTCCCTTCCTTCTCTTCTCTTCTCACCAGCCCCTTTATCAGCTTTTAATAATAATAACTTCCTCTAGGTCCAAATGTCTGTGCTGGGAAACAGCTGGCCTTTGTTGAACTGCGGAGCGTGTTATCTCGCATCGCTCTGAATTTCGATATCTCCTTTGCACCGGGTGAAGATGGGGCGGCGTTCGATCAAGAGACCCATGATACTTTCACGCTTGTTATGGACAGCTTGAACCTTGTGTTTAAGGAGCGGAAGAGGAGTTAGCTAATCGATCTCAGTCAGACTGACTGTAGATTTGGGATGAGATAATATATATGCCAGTACTATAAGGAAACTCCTCTCCTCTTGTAATTCTCTCTTTAGTCTCTCATAAACTACTCTGTATACGATATCTGCTGTTGTCGTTCTAATTGTTTCGGACCTCCGACTCGCGCTAAGCCGCTTTGGGGCGGGCCAAAATTTTGCCGACATTGCCTCTCCGAACCCGCGCGGTCCATCGGATCCTGATACTGCTCAGCCCAACCCCATTCTCTCCTCCTTTCCTCTCGTGAGGTCTCCAACTCTTGATCAGTCGTGCATCATGGTAAGTTGCTTCGCTGACTGTCCTGGCTGCTTTCCTGCAGTGACTTCTCCCCCCTTCGCTCTATAATTGATGTCAGGATCGCCGTGGACTGACAGTTTGGCGGCAATTCCCAGGCGCATCGCATCATCGGGCAGATCGTCATCACCGGCGCACGGGTTTTCGGGCGTGCCTTTGCGGAGGCATACAAGCAGGCTGCTGCCACCTCCAGATACGCGGCAGAGGCGCGCAAGGGGAACATGTCCTCGGCCAACACCTATGCCTCCCACGGCCTCACCCTGGATGAGGCGTGCAAGATCCTCAACGTGAAACCCCCTCAGGCCGGCGAAACCAACCTGGAGGTAGTGACAGAGCGGTTCAAGAAGCTGTTCGACATGAACGACCCCAAAAAGGGCGGCAGTTTCTACCTGCAGAGCAAGGTCCTGCGGGCGCGGGAGCGGATCGAGATGGAGATCCGCGAGGCCGAACGCAAGGCCAAGATGGAAAAGGAGCTCAGGGAAGGCTGGCGGCCAAAGGTGTACAAGGACCGGTGACCAAGGTCAGGTCTTTGACTTGCTGGGACGGACTCAGATCTCGACTCCAATCGATCGCATACAGTTAACTATATGCCGACTTTCCTCTCCTTTCCGATTGTTTTCTGGCATGGAATAGACGATATATATCGGTCGCCTTCATGTCGACTGTTGCTATTGGGTTTGCAGCATAGCATGGCGTTCTCGGGGATTTTCTTTTCTTTTCTTTTCTGAGACCATGGGCGGAGACGCGATAGACCTGACTCTTCCCCTTGCGATTATTCTTCTGTCGCTCGCATCAGACCGGTTAGGTTTACGCTACACGCCGGTTCCAGGAACAGATATACAGTCTGTTTCTGTTTCTCCTTTAATAGATTTCGCTCGTGGATTTCATTCGATGATGTACAGTACCGCCACCCGGTGTTTATGGAGTTGGACAGCAGTATGGACGAGGCATGGGTGGGCTTGGGAGGGCGGAGGACCGCGATGCTGCGCGACGTCTCCTCCACATGTCTCCCACGATTCTCCGCTCTTGATTGATTACTTTTCCGCACATGGACAGACAGACAGCCTATGTATCTTAGCACTATATCCGGCTTCATGTATCTCTAGTCTTTTCGGCTGTAGCTGTCGGGCCAAGGCTCGCTAATGAAGCTACTCTATCCATTCGGAAGACCTCTCTCTGTAGATCTTCAACAGACAGTCAGTCAGTCTAAATAAATACTGGTGGAAGCCCTATTCTGCCGGAGTATTGCAAGCCGTACATACTCCGTACATGTAATTATCCATCTCGATCCATCACCGCCTTCCGATCTGATCGACAGGCACCATTGAATCAGCATTCATCGTCCAAATCTGCGAGATAACGGTGGTGCAGAAACACGATCATGCTCGCAAACTCGAGCTCGAACTCGAACTCGATAATTAGTCCTCACTTACTTCTGTTAGTCTCCTAGCAGACTGGCAGTGGGTCGGGCCAGGTCGGATGGCGCCATCCCGCGTGCAACGCTGGTGATTGATAATTTGTTGATTGATAAGAACGAGCTGATAATAAAAAAAAGTCATTTTACCATCCATTGCCACTCCAACACCACCTGTCCTGGGAGAGCAACTCTTTTCCTCCCTCGATTAGGACTCTTCTGTCCTTCTGAGCAGATACGTTTGTATGTGCAGAGTGCGTCCTTGTGCCCCCAGACTTCATCCTCATCCGTACCGTTGCCCCTCCCCCGCCTTTCGGAAGAAAAAGATCGATATCACCCCCTTGACGACTCTTCAGTTTTGACGTCTGCCACAACAGCTCTGAGGCATCCAGACCATGGGCCGTCCCTCCGTCCCGCTGTCGGCGGACCTCCCGCCGCTGATCTTCGGCACGAGCACCTTCAATTCGCAGTACAATCCCGATCCGTACGCGCTGCCCACGACGGAGCTCGTCCACCACGCCCTCTCCGCGGGGATTCGCGCCTTCGACACGTCGCCCTACTACGGCCCGGCAGAGGACCTGCTGGGCCGTGCCCTGGCCACCGATTTCGTCCGCGACAACTTCCCCCGCTACACGTACCGGCTCCTGACCAAGGTGGGCCGGATCGCGGCCTCGTCGTTCGATTACTCCCCGTCCTGGATCCGATATAGCGTCCGTCGCAGCTTGAAACGGCTGCGCACCTCGTACCTGGACGTGGTCTACTGCCATGATGTCGAGTTTGTCACTCCTCAGGAGGTGCTGGAGGCCGTGCGGGAGCTGCGCCGGATCCGCGACGCAGAGGGCACGATCCGTTATGTCGGCATCTCGGGGTACCCGGTTGATGTGCTGTGTTCGCTCGCAGAGATGGTCCTGAGGGAGACGGGTGAGCCCCTGGACGTGGTCATGTCCTACGCCAACTTCACGGTCCAGAACACCCGGTTGCTGACCGAGGGTCTGCCCCGTCTTCTCGCCGCGGGAGTCGATGTCGTCCCGAACGCGTCTCCCCTGGGGATGGGCCTGCTGCGCCGGCAAGGCGTGCCCATCGGCGGCATGGGAAATTGGCACCCTGCGCCGGACGGCCTGCGGAACGCCATCCACGCGGCCAGCAAATGGGTGGACGAACAGGACGAAAAGCTGGAAGTTGTCGCCATCCGATTCGCGCTCGAGACCTGGCTCCGCGAGGGAGCCTCTGCCGGCGCATTGGGACCGCCTCTGGCGCGTTCTGCGGACGCAGATGCCGGCTATCTGTCGGTGGCCCATCTCGGGACGGGCAATCGCTTGGGCGTCAGCGTCATGGGGGTCAGCAACCTGGACGAGTTGAACGAGATACTCCGCGTGTGGAGGAGTATTATCGACGGGCTGGAAACAGACGACGCTGAGGTGGCCAGCCAGGCTGACCACGCTGAGAAGAACCTCGACCAAAGCCACGATGAGAAAGCGACAAGCCAACTTCCTCCAGCTGTCCTCACACCAACAGAAGGACTGATCACGGACCGTGAATGGTCGCGCGCACGGCGGAAGCGCATCCAGGACCTGGCGCAGGGCATTCGCTCCATCCTGGGCCCCGAATGGGTCGATTACGCCTGGCCCAGTCCTGGACCGGACTTTGTCAATTTCCTCCCGGAAGAGCACCACCGGCTGAAGGCCACGTTAGAGGCAGAAGAGCGGGAAGCGATCAAACAGAATGACCAGAAAGAACAGACCGTCGGTGGTGATGGCAAGACGGGAGATATCAACGTGGACACGAGCGAGATCGATCCTGAAAAAGCAGCGGCAACGGCAACGGCAGGGCTGACTACACCGCCGCTGGAAGCGGTAGATAAATAGTGGTCATTTATTCATCAGAAGATACATATCCACCGACGACTTGCGATTTTATTATCCTCATTCTACTCTTTCTGTTCAAGAGATTCCCCTCCGTCATCTATCTACACCTACCTGCTTCTTCTTGTTGCAAATGCTATCTTATCTTATAATGTACTGTACAGATCTTGTGGAGGGAGGCTAGTCATGAATGTACATGAATGTACATGTATTTATGTACGATATACATAAGTATGTACAGTACAATGCAGTCCACTCTCTTCCCTCTTCAGTCCAGCATGGCTTTACTTATAAGGATCACACAGTGAGTCTCATCGAGAAATCTGAATACTGATCAAACAGCCTCCGACATCGTCGCTCTTTTCAAATCAGTATCCACGACATCATCCAGAACCGCTTCTCCCCTCTTTCTGGCCTCCAGCCGGGCGAGCTTCAACCTCCGCGTCGACCGCTCCGTCCTCCGCGTGATCCACCACGCCAGCAGGGTGGTAGCGATACAAGCCGCGACAAGCGCCATCGTGACCGCAAACGGGACAGTGTACTTCGGGGCATAACGACTGCGAAAGATCTGGGGGCCGATGGCGCCGCCGATCTGGCCGTAGCTGTTGACGAAGCCGATGGAGAAGGCGGAGCCGGTGGCGCGCCTGGTGGTCTGGACGCGCCACGGCCACATCATGGGGTACCAGGCGCTGGCGAGGGCGTTGGAGAGGACGGTGACGGCGTAGACGGCGCCGTTGCTGGGGTAGGCGTAGAGCACGCCGTAGCACACGAGGATGACGACCAGGAAGGAGAGCGGATACAGCGGGCGAGGCAGGCGGGCGCTGTCGGCCCAGACGCCGAAGACCCAGATGCAGAGGACGGTGAGGACCGAGGTGGGGATGTTGAGCAGTTGGGACGTGGCGATATCACTAGACAGAAGAATGTCAGGCTTGCGGAAAAAAAAAGGTCATTAACTTAACAGGTTGTTCCCTACGTAAACCCCAAATTAGCAATAACAGTCGGCTGATAAAAGGTCAGGCCCTGCGTGCCAACGGTGAAAAAAGCCCAAATGAGAGTAAACAGCCAGAGACGACAGTCCTTAAGATCGTCAAGAATCTCACGAAGCCTGAAATTGGTCTCTTCGGCTCGAGGCGAATTCAGCGGCAGACGGGCCTGGATGAACGCTTTTTCTTTCTCGCTCAGCCAGGTTGCGTCGGGGGGGACTGTTTCTGTTTAAGTATGTACACGTCGTACGTATGTATTTATGTCTCTGACTTACAGTTAGGCAAGACAAACCAGAGGAGAATCCCGAAGACGATGGTGACAACGCCCTCGAATAAGAAGAGCCTAAGCCGTCAGTTTTATTAAATCGCTCGTGAGCTCTGCATATGTATGATACATACCATTGCCAGCCAGAAAGACCATGAGAGCCAGATACAGTATCGAAAGCGTACGCAAGAACGCCGCTGATAATCCCGGAGAAGTTTCCCAGCATATCTGCGTTTCTGTCAGGGACTGTTATGAAAATAAAAATTTAAAAGGGACAGGCTGGAACATACAGAAGTAAAGCAGCCGGAGAGACATCTCGTCCGGACGATACCAGTAGCAGAGTTGCAGGATGACACCGGGGAACATGCCAGCCTCGAACTAGCAGGCAGGCAGGTATTCTCAGTCAGTGACAATACCACAACTCTGGTGTATGTATGGATATACATACCAAACCAAGAAAAAACCGAGCAATGTATAGACCCTGCTTATTTGTGACCGCGGCGTGACACGCCATTGCAATTCCCCAGGATACCTTACACATAGTAATCAATTAGTCTTTTTTTCTACTGGAAGAACTGAACGTTCACTCACCAAGATCCGCGATTGCCATCTAGAAGGTAACAATCTCTTTATCAAGAGATTGGATGGGGCCTCGAAGACGATGTACGGAATCTAGGTAGGTAGGTATCTATGTAAGAGGTTTCCTTCCTATAGGAAAAGGGGGAAAAAAACGCACAAAATAAACCGTCGTAACAAGATTATACTCATTAGCCGTCATATCCAGCTGAGCTAGGATATTCATCCCCGTCCCCTTGTTCATGATCTTTGCATTGGCGACCTTGTATAAACATGCATAGTCAACACCTACAATGTATGTGTACAGTAAGCTGTATGTAAGTACATACCGAATTTGCATCAACATTCTTAAGCAGAAACATCAGCGAACACAACGGCATTAACCGCCAGTCGATGCGGCGCAAGAGCCTCTTTTCCTCCTCGGCTGTCAGTGCTGCGCGGGCTCTCATTCGGTGGGCGTCGTAGCCTGGGATTGTTGTTCTCATTTGGCTATTGCCATTGGCGTCCGTATTGTCATTATCGTTATCATTATCATTATCCTCGTCCGTGACGGCGGCGTCTTCTCCACGACGTACGAGATGGAGATGGGTGAGGTGGTCGTCACTGCTGCTCGGTTGACTCGATTGAGTCGGTTCTGCTGATGCTGCCACTACTTGGGAAGTGACTCCGTCTTTGTTGGAGTCTGTCATTTTTTATTTTGGAGCCCAGCAGCGTCTAGACGTTGTGATTGATTGATTATTCTCCAGTTGCAGAGGAAATTATAATACTGATAATGAACGAGATTGCAGAACTCCAATCGTTGATATTAATAGTAAATAATAAAAATAAAATAATAAGACATTTCTCAATCTAATTAAACCCATGAGCATTCTTATTCTGTGAGGTTACTTGTGCTGTTTTATGCTTGTGCTTGTATGGCGCGATTCTTGGTCAAAAGCACGAAAAATGCGGAGACACGATAACGGACTACATATACTCTTATAAATAAAACCAACAGGGTTCGAAATGACAGGCAATATAATAGTTTGATGGCACTCTTGCCAATAGCAAAAGCTTCCAAATAAATCATGCAAATCATTGTAATGTATGTACAGTAAACAGATATAAGGGAAAAAAGAAAACGGCGATCTAGGGCAGTGCTTTCTACCTACCTATCTACCATCAACAATCACCTTTGACGTAGAAAGAAACGCCCTCTCCGCTTGATGGGTTTATGGGAGATACTGTCATCATACTGATATAGATGTGTTAAAATGCCTTCCTGCCTGCCTGCTCGATCTTCTCTCCTCTCCAAGCAATCGCATATAGCGCTTCCTTGATGAGAAGGAAGGAAATGAAAGAGGGGGTTGTGGATATGTGCGATAAAGCAAGTGAGTTTGCACTCATTGCCATCGCACATATATCCTTATCTTCGACTTCGCTGACAGACGGCGTTTGTATGATTACGTGACCAAGGCCCCGAAATGTCGAATTGCTGGATTGTACAGACTTGTGGCGGTTCTGAATTTGAGAATAGCGTGGTGTGCTGTCTCGTACGAATGTACATGTGCATCCATCTCTGGAGCGAATCTCCAGACCCGTCGGCCCTAGAAAGTTAGTAGCAACAGCCTGAATGGTCAGATGCTAGAATGTTAGGACCCTGTGAGATGAACGAAAGAAAAGAAGATAAGACAGTCATGAATGGGAATGAAAAAGGTTTGCCAAGTCCTAGTAGCTGAATGATGAATGATGTTTTCCTGTATTCCGAGTTAAAAGCTCTTGGCGCATCGCCCGAAGAGCAACGATCTTCAACAGCGACGAAAGACATGAAAGACGTGAGGAAGACAAATAATCGGACAGGTAGGAAGGTCATGTCTTATGGAAATGCTAGCAGAAACTGACAACACAGACACGAGATACGCCACATTCCGCCGGTGATTCAGCCCAAAAGCAGAAAGAAGAAACGGATATGGGTATCTCATGAAGCATAACAATAAAAACAACCACCGCCTAAAAATGGAAAACCAATTTATCACAAGAACATGTGTCTCAGAACATGTGTCTCACTGCGCAGTTCATGCAGCGAGACACGATTCCCTGCAGTCGTGTGCAGCTTGCTCGACTCTTCAGCGAGTCTTGAGCTGCTTTTCTCGAGCCGCAAGATCGCGGTCCATCTCAGATACAGTCTTGTACCCTCCAAGTACCATCGCATGTCCGACGCTGACAGAAGCTGGAACACGCGCTGCTATGTCTGGTCTTAGCCGCTTGAGACGAGCTGACCGTTCGCGGCTAGCCTGCAGCTTCTTTTGCCTCTTCTGCTGCTTGTACGGGGGATTCTTGGGTTTGCCCTGTGGAGGAGCTGGTGGTATTTGCGGTGGAGGCGGTGGAGAAGGAGCCGCAGTGACAACGTCAGGAGGGTTATACTCAGACTCCGAGTCGGAGTCAGCAGGAGGAGGAGGCGGAGGCGGCGAAGGTGGTCGGCGATACGGTTCAAACCTAGGATCATTCTCGAAGATAGAACGCAGATGATTCCGTTGCTCGATGTACTCGTCGTAACGTCCTGCAATGATGGCATCGAGGAAAGTTATGTCCTTCGATCCAGACTTTGCCGCCAAAATCATCCGATCCCTAAGAGCGTCAAAGGCTTGCGAAAAGCATTGGAAAATCAAACGTATCTCTCTTGTTCCTCCGGATATATCATTATCCCTGTTGTTCGGGTCCTCTATAGCAAGCCGCTGGGGTCGGTTCTCTGCATTCGCACCGTACACGCGCTGGATTTACATCCGTCAGATCAATTACCCGCTTTCGATCAGCGTGAAACTCCACATTACCTTATTGAAGAAACCAGGTGGCTCCATCCTTATCCCGATCGACGTGTAATCGAATTTGTTCCCGTAGAAATCAAAGAAATCCATCAGGATGCTGCCCAGATTGGGTCCGGAATTGCCCTCGCCCCGTGGCATGTGCTGCAGAAGGCTTACGACGAGACAGATGATGGAAAAACCACCTAATCCACCAGTTGGAACCTCATTCAGTCCTCGAAGAAGCAGAAACTGCTTGATGATCGCAACTATGGCAGGCATAGCTGGGTACTCCGCCTTCCAGCGCTCGAATGTCTGGTTGGCAAGGAGCCCGCTGTTGTTATCAAAGGACAGATCAACCCTCAGACCAGTCAATTTGTCCACGAACTTCAGGATGGGAACCCTTGCACTGGCAATTGTCTCTATGGAACCAGGTACCGCAATGTCGAGATTCCTCAGGAATGCAGCATAGGCATAAATCTGGCCCTTTTTCTCCCCAAAGGTCTTAACCCCAGTGCGCATATATGTGGTGGACAGCAAAACAAGATCCATGTCGGCGATTGGAAGATACAGTCCAGAAGCAAAAGAGCCGAACGCGTGCACCTCTGCACCGTAGTATCTACTCTGAAACGCCGACTGGAGTCTCGCTACTAGGTCCCTCCGGATAATGTCTTCATACGGCTGGGGTTTCACCCAATTGTAAAAAGCAAGAATTTCATTGTGCAGCCTGGAGAAGTGTTAAAAAACGACAACGCCCCTTGGGAGAAGAAAGGACAGTCACTGACCTTGTGCCGAGATGCAATGTCGGTTCCATCAACTCTAGCCATGGCGTTCCATTTTCGGACGAACGTGGCTTCCACTGATCGAGGATTCCCCCGTCACTACGAAACTTACCAGCGAAAGGGTTAGCCTTCTTAGAATATCCCTTGATCTCGTCATCATGGGTTCGCTTCCGCTTTCCCGACGCGCCGTCTCGTTCTTCGGGACGGGCATTCTTGGGGCCTTTCGGCGCATTCGGTGGAGGTTCTGGTTCATCTTCTTCATCTTCTTCATCCTCATCTTCCATATCAAAGGAGATGAAATCTTCGTTGGACGCAACCGCATCTGTCCGCGTCACAGCAGGAGCAGTAGTAGCAGCAGCCACTCGGGCTTTGCGAATGAGTTTGACTACGTCCGGCCTCTTGGTCTGGCTCTCATCAGGAGGAGGCAACACGTAATAGGGATCCGGGTTGGACCACGTTGGGGGCCGGAGGCGCGCTCTGCTCTTTTCCACAGCGCGCTTCTTTCGCGGCGGACGGGAGCCGTCCTCGTCAGACGACACGTCCATCTCAGCTTCATCACTGTCGGTCAGCTCAGAAATGGGAGCGAACTTCAACGGTGCCTTTTCTGCGCCATCTTTTGGGGCACCAAGGGGCTCCGGCGTTGTCTCTCTTTTCGTGGTGAGCAACGGACGCTCTGAAGTTGATGGACGCGGAAAGCGGAACGTAAATTCATGGCTGGGACGCGAGCGTTTGTCCTGGTTCTGCCCCCGGAACTCGTAAGCGGGAGGAGGCATGGCTTCTTGCCGCGGTCAACCTGTGCTGTAGAAGGCACAGGAAAAGGCTGCACGGCTAAAACTAGAGAGAGTAATGCGTGTGTGGAGGTGGCAGTGTGTCAGTGTCGAGGACGAGAGGATTTTGCATTCTGCCACACAGCAGTCCGCGCGGGAAATTTTTTTACGGAAGGCGGTGACTGCTACGTTTTCCCCCATTCACCTTACGTAATCCATGCACTGTGCCTGCCCAAAACGGAAACCAAATTGACCTTCCAATTACAACTATATCCTGCAATTCGATTGGTTTAATGGCATATAGACAACTTCTGCGTCTGGAAGAAATTGTGCTATTCACACGGTAGTATTCTAAATGATAATTGCACATTACCCGTCAAGTCTGGGAAATCTTCCCTTTCCACGCCTGCAACCCCGTCTCCAACAGGCGGATCAAAAGCTTGTTATGCGCGTCTTCGGAGAAACTCACCCTGTCAGTGGCCCATTCCAGCCATTCCTCTGCTCTCGCACCACTCGTGGATCGCAGCAGTCCGACACTGACATCAATCACGCCGGGTCTTTCTTGGCAATGCCAGAAGACTGTCGCTCCGCATCGGTTGCAAAATTCTCGGAAAATCCCTAGACTGCTTTCATACCGTTGTAGCGTTCCCAGATCGAATGAGAGCGACGAAGAGTTGGTCTTGAATATATTGGATTTGGGAATGAAAGCCCAGGCCTGGATAGGGTGTCCACTGGCTCGTCGACACGAAGTGCAGGCGCAAGTCCCAGCCAAGTACTTTGTATTCCCGGCTCGAAGCCACCACTTCACGTCTTGCGGATTATCTGGTGATGCTGAGTGGTAAGGAACAAGTAGATCGGGCCAAGGAGATGACGCCTTGCTCGATGAAACATCTGGAGCAGTCACATAGAATTCTATGCCTCCGCAATGGCACCGGGCGTGGAGCCGGTCACTATTTAGGTGGCCGGCATCTTCCCGATTCGATGATATCTGCTGTAAACGCTCTTCACTGATGATTTTACCGGCCTCAAGCCAGCACAGCCCTGTCTCATTCGCTCTTGATCCTGCGAGAAAGACAGTCAACCCACCGTCATTGGTATCCTTGACACCCCAATGTTGCACAGACTCTGTCTGGGCGATGTCTGGCGTCGTCAGCAAGCCTGCCGCAACCAAGTATCTATTGTTGTGTTTCGCATGCGCAAAGACGTGGGCGCCACAGGTTGCGCAGAACCAGCGACTGACATTATTTGACTGCGTATATTTCTTCAGATTCGTACTTAGGATTGGGGGAGAGTTCAAGACGAGATATGACGAACACAGCAGCCCGCTGGTGTAGCGACAGGAGTTGCAGTGACAGACTTGCGACAACGACGGTCTCACGAGCGGATCTAGAGCGATCTCTTGAGCTGTGCCACCACACAGGCAGGAGATGGAACAAGTGACAGGCGGGACGGAAAGTGACATGCTGGCATCTCTTATCAAAGGGTTGATAAACTCGACGAGATGTCGACTGTGGAACTACAATTCCGTAGATAGATAAGATATCCACGGAAGAAAGCCCCGCATTTTAAAAGCCGTCAACGCAAAGACTCCACGCTGTCGATTGCTATTCTTTTCAGTTAAACGTAGCAGAACGATATACAAGATCTCGTACCCTGAATACGAAATACGAGGCTGGCCGCCTCTCCAGACGCTTGCTGATGATTTGTGTGTCGGGGTGGGGTATACTCCGTACTGAATCCGGACGTGTCATCTTGCATGCGAATCTGGCTGCAGTCTTGAAGTCACCTCGAGCAGTCATGTGGGGAATCTGCAGTTTTAAGTAATAATCTGCTCTTGTACGTTCACTAAGGAACGTTAATGCCGAGTCAATGCCTTGGTCGTGCACTGTGATTGCTGGGAGGCTATAAAACGCTTATAAGACCCGCTTGCCACCCCTCCTCGGCTGGACTAAGTCAAAAGGAAGCCTTCTTCCACTTTGCAAGTCTTGAATCTTCAAGATACAGCAACCTTGAAAACAACCGCCTTCAGAATCGTCTCACTGTTCTAAGACTTATCTTCACTGTCATCATGGGTATGTTGTGTGTTCGGGATTTGAGGTGTCGCATGGATTTGCATGTTATCCACAGATATATCCTCCTTCATTTCTGATAACGACCTGACTGTTCTGTCGTAGTCCCTGCCTGGATTTGTTACACAACTGACGGTTTTATGATATGGGCAGGTCCTTGCTCTTGCAGCTGCGGTGCTTCTTGCCAGTGCCCCTCTGGCCAGTGCACCTGCGTAAGTCATCCGGATCTCCTCGGATGAAAGTGAAGGGAAATGCTGACTGTGATGTGCCTAGAAATAAATTCTTGATTCGTTCTGCTCATGTTGACTCGCTCGACGACAACCACCTCGACGTGAATCATATCGCCAGTTCAAGTCGCAAGATATGATAGTCATGGCTTTGATCAAGAGGGAGTAGTTGACTGAGCGAAAAAAAAATAAATTACATGAACCAACCCAGGTTCACTCCTTTCGAATGGCTTGCTTTGATTATCCATCTTGCCTTGATCACTCCTAGGTAGTGGCACAAAGGATTAGTCCAGGCAGCAGCCAATTCCATTCGTTTCAGTTTCCTTTGTCATCTCTCCCAGTAGATGCGTCCATTAGGCGCTTCCTGTAAGGAAGCATAGATTGATCCTTACTCGTAACGAGAGAGATTGGTAATTAGTGAAATACTGTTTTTGTCATTCTGCCATTCAATCGGATCCGACGATCTCACCGCTACTGTTCTGTCCACAATCCACGATGACCGTCGATACCCGTTCTTCCTTTCAGATAGGTAGACTGAATCGCAATGCAGAAGACAGGTAGAATTCCCAGTCCGCCTCTCCTTGGACCTGCGAGTTTTCGACTAATCAGGCAGCGCCTGACTGGCTTCCTCGAAGCTTGACTAAAAATATGTATGTACAGTACCATTGACATCATAACCTCCGATCTGCGCCCCGGACAGAAAACTCCAAGTTCCATCTCGACTGCACATCCTACGCTATGACCTCTTCGCTCAGTGTTTCTGGAACAAGAAAGAAAGAACGAGATGATCCGATATGGACGGCTGAGTTGTTCGGGGACCCAGAAGAGGGTCCGGCGAGTTAGGTGGGTGGGTATTGGGTAAGTACAGAATTTCTTTTGCGAGCATTCGAATCTGCGGCGCATCCATCGTCTTGTCCACACGAGGGATTAGTGGACCAAAGACAGTCTCGCACGAGGCGGTGAGAGGCGAAGTTAATTCTAAACGATAGACGTCGCATCTTATCAGGTCGCTACTGGGTCAGGTGGCGGTTCTGCTAGGCAATAGGGCCTCAGCACATGGCCAAGGACAGGTACCTTTCGCCTTAATCTTCCAAGGTACAACCACCGCCATCTGATCATAGCAGAGTCGATATAAATGGCTGATAATGTGCACTGGGTTTGGGATACTGAGACTGCTGGGCTGTGCCTGCCCCTCCGCTGCTACTGCGGGGCTCTTCCTGGAACATGCCGCCAGCCCACCATGCGATGCCTCCTTCTCGCAGAGGTGGTGGACCGTCGAGGATCCATGCGCATCCAGCATCAGGATACCTTCAGTTGGGCCTCTCAAGACGCTCTTTGTCAAGCAGAAAGCCGCACAGACCTCATGACCCCCATGTCTCGGATTCAATCGGATCCTCCGTGAGTAGAGGCTGCTGAAGTGAGGCTGGCAAGGCATATCAGACCAGGTTCAAAAACCGCCGCTGCCGCTCTACGTGAAATAGCCTATCGACGATGGACTGTTGCTCACTTTGCAGATCAACTCTGGCACGTGTCTCGTCGGGAGCCATTTATCCTCCACGGACTGCAGGGGGAGCTGCACCACCTGATGCACTTGATTCTTTGCTAGGTTGATCGATTGCCGCCTGACCCGACGATAATCGCTGTCCCCCACAGTTTAAGACGTTGCGAGATGTTTCTAGGCCGACCCACCGCATCCTAACAGGCACAGCGCAGCATATCGGCGAATCACCAGGATAGGTCACAATGGGTTATTCTGAACCCACCATCTTGCGCATGCAGCGGCTTTCTGGCCATGATCGCGATATGGGCCAAGGCCTCGGACGTGGCTCAGTTCCCTTGGCTAAGGGTACTACAGCCAGTGCCTCCTGTTGGCGCCTCCACTTCAGCATGTTATACTGCAGATGTAGGTGAATTGGCGTGGACGAGGAGGAAGTCCTACTGGACATCTGAACGTCTTGGCCAAAGCAAAATCCACCAAGGGGGTGGACAGAGTTTGGCGCTGCTGCAAGTCCGTTCTTGCATGCAGCATGGAGGGAAACCATCTCCTAAACCGGAGGAGCTATGTGGCTGTCAGATGGATATAAAAGACCCTCCAGATTCCCGTCGTCTTCGATCAGAAGAAAGTTCTCTTTCATAACAGACTGCAATTAACGGACAGATCGAACACTGCTTAACTGAGAATTCTCTATCCTCCTTCAAACAAAACCAATCTATCAACCTGCCAACATGAACCCCTGCACCTGCAACTGCTGCAACGGCAACTGCAACTCCTGCGCCTGCTCCAGCTGCACTGTAAGTCAAACCTCCATTCATTGACTCTGCGTGAAGAACGAATCTAACGAATCAACAGCACTAAACATCCACCTGGAGCTTCAACCCTCCTCTCGAGCGCCGCCATGTTTCTGTTCCTCTGAATGATGAACCCGCGAGTCCTCTCCAGTGCATGAACGAATAGCAACGAGAGTCATGCCTTTGCGATTGACTCTTCGACCCGGACGAGGTAGCCAAACTGAACTATACCCGTCAGACAATGCGCTTAAACTACTGTTCATGGCGCTGGAAACTCGATTGATTCGACAGAAACAGCCTTACACACAAGCGACTCAATTGGAAGAAGAGAGGAGGACGGCCAAGGAGAATTGTTCTTTTCGGATGCTGTGTCATATATCTAGTATAATCTAGTATAATAGTCACAGATCAATGCAGATGATACTTTAATAAGCTACAGTATTTACTAGAACATATGAATACTTTTTGTTTTTTTTAGGAAAAAAGTGAAGAGCACTCACTCAGATGCTATATACATCCGATCATGAAGAAATATTTAGCTAGTAAGTATGTAGATGTAGTTCGTTGACAGAGACAGGCTATCTAGGTATCTATTATACACCGCACTACTGTACTGTCCTTGTAATAAGTAACTACTCTGTAGAACTCACACATGAGTAACAAAAACCCTCTCTCTCTCTTTTCTCTTCTTCTATTCAATGATGCTGCGCTTGTTACAGATGTATATGTGTATATATGTAGATAGAATAGACGGACGTCAGATCTTCTAGAGACACCACACCCACACGACATGTAGAGTAAGAGCATGTCAATCGAAATCGAAATCTACATCAGAAATAATAAGAGGACATCAAATCAAATCAAAGTTCATCCTTGTGCTCTTTGGTGGTATTTGCGTCATTGCCAGTTCCATTTTGATTATTTCCATCCTGACACACCGCCGGAGTCGTCACGATCATCGAGTACACGCACTTCTCGTCCTCGGTCACCTTGAGGATCTCGTTCTCCTCGGCGCACTCCAGGATGACGGTCGTCGACCGCGCCGGCCCGTTCCAGCACGTCTGGCCGTTGGCGTACTCGAGGGCCGTCTTCTCCACCTGCCGGATCTCGCCCGAGAAGCTGTCGACCTCGTCGACAGAAGTCGTGCCGATGCGCACAAAGTTGCCCATCGTTACCGTCGCCCCGCCCTTCTTGGGGATCTGCTTCGTCTTCTCCAGGAAGCAGTGCTCGTACGTGTACTCGCCCGAGTCCCGCGAGATGCAGACGCCCTTCAGAGGGCGGAAGACGCCGTCCGGGCCGTAGTCCTTTTCCAGATCGGCCTTGTGGTTGTTGATCGAGTTGCGGGTGCCCGTGAGCGTGGATTTTTCCGAGTTCAGCGCGTTACGAGCGTCGGTCACGGCCTTTGACTCGGATTCTGCGCCGCTCTCGGGATGCAGCTTTCCTTGGATACGTTCGGCCAAGGATGACGGGAGGTAGGAGAGAAGTTTGGAAACTGGCACATATTAGCTGCTAGGCACTCAAAATAAAAAACAATTTTAGAAACCCACCCAAATCGGCTTCGCCCTCTCCATCATCCTCGTTCTCCCACTGTTCCCAGTTGATACCAGAGGTCTCGCTGTCCGGTTTGGAGATCTCATCCAGATCCCGTTCCCGGGCTGCATCACCGCTGTAATCCCCGGCGGTTCCCCTGGCAGCATACTCCTCCCAGCTGCGCACGGCGCGCTTGACACCCTCGTCGTTGAAGTTGGGATTGTACTCAACCTTAAACTTGGACAGGATCTCTTCAAGCTCTTTCACTCGAGCACGGCTCTCGTCTCTCTGCTTGCGAACGTCCACCAGGGCGTTTCGAAGCTCCTCAACACGGTTCTTCGCCTGCCCCGCGAGCTGGCTGACCTTGCCCTTCTTTTTCAGAGCCTTACCACGCTCCTCCTTCTGAATTTTCTCGAGCTGGGCTTCCAGGTCCCGGATCTTGATCTCCTGCGCCCCGGCTTCCGCTTCAAGGTCGGCAATCTGGTCTTCGATTTGCTTCGTTAATCTCCCGGCCTCGGCCACCAGTTCCTTCTTCTTCTTCAACGCCGCCGTCAGGGACTTCTGCCTCTTCTCTTCTTGCTTGCGCCACTCCTTGCCAATCTCTTTACACCGGTCCTCGCACTTGACCCCGCCGACATGCGCCCATTCGTCACTGCCATCGCAGCATATATCATAGTCACAGATGCCGTCATTGACCCTGTGGAAGGAAAGGTACAGAGGCCGGTGGCCTTTGTTCTTGCAGTAGAACCCAGGCAGAGCAGGGGTGAGGTCGACATCGCCACTGGCCGGGTGGTCGGACGGAGTCAAGGGCGACAGACGCGACAGATGAGAGCAGGCCGAGGTGCCAGGCTCATCACTTCCGTCCGGACAGTCGCAGTAGTCATCGTTCACCGAGGAGAAGGGAATCTTAATTGAAGGGTTGGAAATGCAGGTAAACGAGGTCGTGTCCTTGTAGAATTTGGCAACTTTACAAATAATTGGTCAGTAAAATAATGACGCGTTAACTCTAGACAGAGCCTCGTGTGGCTAAATTGAGAGCTCGAGCGTGCTCAATGGAAGAGAGAGCATAGAAGTTGTACGGGTACATGTGTACAGAGCAGTACTTACACTCAGGCCCGACGCCCCTGGGACGTGAAGAGGCGTCATTGGAAGCAGCCCAGGTGGCGGAGCATGTTACTATGCTCAAGAGAAGGAGCAAGTTCCCCGAACTCCTCATGGTGTCCGCATTGAGCGCGTACGTCAATGCAGGTCAGTCACAGCGCGGCTGTCCAGGCGAGATCTGGACAGCTGTTGATAGCAGTCGGCCGTTCAACTTCCCCGTGGAGCGAGCTATCTGCGGGTCCCTTGCTTAGTCATGGATCGACAGCGCCATCTCCGCCCGGTTGCCGCAGGCCAAAAGTGGCAAGACATCAGTCCGCCTGCACCAACTCATTGTCATCAGTCGAACCTCGTGCACAGGTGGTGAAATCCTCAGCGCAAGATGGGTAATGATGGCGGAAGGTAAGATGGAATTTCTTCCTTGGTGAATTCCTGATTCTTTGATAGCTGACACTTGCATGCAGCATCCCGACTCGGCGGGAGCTCGTCAGAGAAGCTGCCCGCAACCCCTCCACGATGCAGGTGAAGGAGGCCCAGCGCGAGCAGCTCGAGCACTACTGGACGACCTGTCCGCTGTCGCACAAGCCTCTCGCCCGACCTATCGTGTCCGACTCGGTCGGCAACCTCTACAACAAAGATGCGATCTTAAAGTTCCTGCTCCCAGGTGAAGACGACGAAGGCATCAGCTCGAAGGCGGACTGCGAGGAGATCCTGCAGGGGCGAGTTAAGGGCCTGCGGGACGTCGTCGAGCTCAAGTTTGAGGTCGACACCGAACGTGTTGAACCAGACGGCCGGAATGCAAGGCCAGGAGAGAGGTGGATCTGTCCGATCACGACCAAGGAATTAGGCCCGAACGTGAAGTCCGTCTACCTCGTGCCGTGCGGGCATGTCTTTTCCGAGGAGGCGATTCGGGAGATGAAGGGTGACAAGTGCTTGCAGGTGAGTATCCCCTTGTGGTTACCTGTTACCTGTTATAAAGAATGTCTGGCTAACCTTGTGCAAAAACAGTGCAACGAACCCTACACAGAAGACAATGTCATCCCAATTCTCCCGACGAAAGAAGCAGAGAAGGAACGCCTGATCGCCCGCGCGCAGAAACTAGCAGAGCAGGGCCTGACGCATTCGCTCAAGAAAGCACCCGGTTCGAAAAAGCGGAAGAAACAGGCAGACTCTGCGGCGGAAACATCAACATCACAAACAACCACAACCCAGTCATCATCGTCTCAGACGACTACTTCCAGCGCAGGCATCAAGAACGCCGCAACAGCGATGCTGACCGCCCGCGTCCTCGAAGAGGAGAACGAGAAGAAGAAACGACTGAAGATGATGGGCGGGCGGAACGAGAACCTCCAGTCTCTCTTCCACAACAACAACGACACTGCGAATAAGGAGAAGGCCAAAAACGGCGATTTCATGACAAGGGGTTATACCATCCCTGCTGGGGCGAGGAGATAAAAAGAATCACCCCCTACGTACGTTATCTTGTCTGGAACATTTTCATAACTGCTATTCCCTAAATCATTACTCCAGCTATGTTATGCTCTATGTAGGCCCGGAGAGATAGGCAAGGCATTTTACGCACGTCACGCATTTTCTTCGAATTTGGACTCTTTTTAGGGCGTTCGGTGTTGGAATTCAATTCAATTTAATTAGTGTACATAGATATTACAATTATTGTACGTATACACATAGATAGATAGGACAGGTATTCAGTTGATCAATCATGATGATAATATCTTTTTTTCTTTCTACTTACGCAGTTTTCAGGTCATTATTTAACATTAATATTTTATTTTTTTTCTTCCTTTCGAAAAAAGAAAAAAAAAACTTACAACAATTACAATCCCAACAAGAACAGAACAAAGTCTTTTTCTTAGAAGCTTCTGAGGAATTTCATCTTCTATTGGAATGTACTGTACAATACATACGCTACCCATAAAACAATAAAAAATAAGCGGAAAAGAAAAAAAAAAGCAAAAGTATACCTGACCTGTAAGGTTACAATACAAGATTTATGATAAATAACATTTGTTTCATATGAAAAACCCGACCTGGGGAGAGTGGACTCATGAGGCTGAGAACATCGACGCAGAAGACAGGGGGGGAATTTCTGCGATCAGGTCATCCGCTCCATTAATGATCAATTTCTATGCTCAATTTTCAATAAGACCCCTCTTACGGAGCTCTGCCTCAATGACCTTCTTGCGTCCCAGTTCCTCGTCCTCGTGCGACCGCGTGTATCTCTTTGTGTAGATCTTGACGTTGGGCAGATTCTTCAGAGAGTCCTTCTTCACGAGCTGTTCGGCAAGCTTCTTCGGTGGGGGGTTGATGATCCCCTGCAGGTACTCAATCGCTTGCTTCACGGAGGTGATGGAGCTGACGACTGGGTCCGGGAAGTGGTAGCCGGTAAGTTGAGCGAATCTTTTCAGGAACTATTGATACCAGTCAGCAAGAGGGCGTCGTAGTCTGGATCAGCAGGAGAGGGGAGGTACTGACAGCAAATTTCGTGGCGGGATCGTTCAATGTGATAGACATGAATCCCGTATCGCGAACCTTCTGGATTCCAAAGAAAGGCAAGCCGGGGGATCGGCGTGGTTGCTCGACCTCCTCCGGCTGCTCCTCTTCAACGGCATCGGCATCTTCAGCTGCCTCCTCCGAGCTTGCCTCCTTCGAAGCCGCCTCCGGCTCTGGCTCCGGATCGCGTCCGACCTGCTCGAAGACATAGTACAGAGTATCCTTATGACTCTGGTTGGCGAAGACCAGCCGTCCGGTCAAGCTCCCACTGTCTTCAGTCGGCTGGATCTTGCACTTCCAGATCATCTTGAACACGGATTTTTCGTGCTCAATAATATCACAGACACGGGTCAGAGGCTTATTCAGTTCGTGCATCAGGCACAGCTCGACAGCCGTCTGGTGCGCAGCAAGATGCAGATACTCCTTCTTGACAAGCTTGCGATTCGACACGAATCTAGTTCCAGGCGGAAAAATCATCAGTCAATGAATGCCGCAGCGTCACGTACAGATACAAAAGAAACTCACCCAACATATTCATCTGCTTCCGTGGGCGGGAAGTCAGACCACCTGCCGAGGTGTCCAACGCGCTCGAGCCCGTCCCATGTCGTTGCAGGCGTATACTCCTGAGGAGGTGCAATCTCTGCTTGGGTCTCGGAAAGTTGCTCAACCTCCTTCTCCGGCTCCGGCTCCTGCTTCTGCTCAACATCTCCTTGAGTCCGCTTGCGGATAGCCTTCTCGATAACACCCTCTCCTCCGTAGGGATCCTTCAGACCAGGCGGGTTATCGGTGCCCCAGAGCTTGCGTCGCACCTTCTCGGTGAAGGGGACGTTCCCTGAGGCATTGCGACGGGTCGTCTGCGGGCTTGGGGACGCTCGGGGAAGAAAGTCCTGCCGGCAATTGGAACAGACATATAACGACTTCGACAGCTGGAGGGATGGAGCCTCCAATGGCTGCAGCAGCCGCACCGCCGGACGCATGGTTGCGGTGTTTCCCTTCCTTCGCTGGGCAGGACGCTGCAAACTTTCGGCAGATTTGAAGCAGCGAAGTGAACGCCAGCTGCTCCGACTCCGAGAGCGGGCCTAACCAAAACAGGAAGCACCAGCAGGCAGTCACGTGAGATATAGATACTCTACTGTACGAGGAAAACAGATCTAGGTCAAGGCCAATAACTTGGAGAATTTTATACAAAATGACTAATGATATTCTCGAAAGTCCGTATATACAACACTCAATTCGATCCATGCCTGTGCATGACGTTCATAGCATACAGTACTCAATCAACATGCATAAAACCACGTTTTTGTCGGATCGTCGTCATTCAAGAATAGACACTCCGTACATCTACTTCAAATCATTAAAGGCATCCCGTATGGAACGTTCATTCGCGCACGAACAAGCCTGCCATGCCCATTCCAGTGCCAATACACATACTCACAACACCCAGCTCTTGGTCAGTCCGCTCCATTTCTGGCAACAAGGTCGCCAACTGTCGGGCACCGGTTGCACCCAGCGGGTGTCCCAGTGCGATGGCACCGCCCTTGGGGTTGACCTTGGCTTCGTCAATGCCCAGCTTCCGGATGCAGTAGAGCGCCTGGGATGCGAACGCCTCGTTGATTTCCCAGATTCCAATGTCAGAAATGTTCAGGCCAGTCTGCTCCAGAAGCTTGGGGATTGCAGCGGCAGGGCCAATGCCCATCTCGTCTGGCGCGACACCCGCAACAGTGGTGGCAACCCACCGACCCTTGATCGAAGAAGACAATCCGAGTTCAGTGGCAGTCGAGCGACGCATGAGCAGCGTAGCTGCGGCACCGTCACTGACCTGCGAGCTGTTCCCTGCCGTGCTCGAGCCGTTCTCTGAAAACGCAGGCTTCAGGGTTGCCATCTTCTCGACGGAGACATTGGCCCGCACACCGTCATCCTTGGTGACCGTGATCTCCTTGGGGGGAGCGTCCGGATTCTCGGGGTCATAGAACTTCGTCGTCACGGGCACAATTTCCTCATCAAACAAGCCTGCTGACTGCGCGGCAGCGGCCTTCTTGTGAGACTCAGCCGCAAAAGCATCCTGGTCTGCTCTCGTGATACCATATCGGCTGGCGACATTCTCAGAGGTGATTCCCATGGGCATAATGCAGTCCCGGGCGTCCTTGGATGGCGACTCTTTCAATTCCGGCCACAGCACGGTGGGAATGGCGCGGGAGCCGTAGTTTCGAGTCATTGACTCCATACCTCCGCCGACACCTACGCTGATGGCACCGGCACGGATCGCATTGGCGATACCTGTGATGGCCGCCAATCCGGACGAACATTGTCTGTTGACGGTGTGGAATGGCACCGTGTGCGGGAAGCCCGCATGGATCTGGGCCATGCGACCGGCTTTTGCACCGCCCAGCTCCTGGAGGACAGACCCGACCGCAACATCCTCAATCAAGGCCGGGTCAAGGTTTGGATTCGCGGCAAGGGTAGCGCGGAGAACGTGCGCCAGAAGCTCTTCCGGGTATGCATCTTTGAAACCGCCTTTCTTCGCGCGGGTAATGGCGGTACGTACGGACGAGAGGATGACAATATCCGAAGGAGATTTCTGGAGGACCTGTCGCAGGCCCCGTGGGATAGAAGAAGCCATGTCAGTTGAAGCGGCTGTATACTGTTGCGATTGGAAAGAGCTTGAGCGATGTATATGTACAAACAAATTAAATAACGCAACTGAGCTCAACGAAGAGCTCAGAAAAAGAGACAACAGAAACAGAAGACTGAGGTATAATGAAAGTAAAGAACAATACCTGGTGCTAGAGAAGCACACACGAACAGTTTCTCTGTCAATACAACGCCCACACAGAGGCGAAAGAGACTACCTAAACGATCCAGCGGACCTGAATCCTAAATACCAGCAGCAATCGGGATTGAAGCCAGGAATAGTGGGGAATGGCCAAGATAGCTAAGATCTTCCCCAGGGCGCTTCGGGTAAGGGCTATGCCGAACAAAAATGCCGGGGAAGAGCTTATGAGCTGGAATGGAAATTTCCTAGTTAGTAGTGAGCTTCGATCTTTCCGTTCCTTCATTTCTTTATGTGTGCATCGGTATTCTAATGAGGGATTGAGCAGGAACAGTGAGGTAGTTGGCATTTCTGTCGATTAAAATGGCCCATTCCTGCTAACTTGCACAACAATGCTGTCGGGTCCAGGAACAGAATTCCCATCAGAAAGAAGGATTTCGGAAGCGGGTGCGGGTGCGGGAGGTAACGGATGCGAGGATCGGGAGTTGCGTCGGGTAGCTCACTGTCCAATCAGACGTGCGGCACGTGTCATAGCCAACACAACTCAGCGATGGCGTATGTACTCCGCACTCCATAGGACATCGTGGAATAAATTAGGAGATACCAAATTCTATCTCGAAAATGTCCCTTGTGATTTCTAATGCCTCATAACTTGTCTTTCCATTATGCAAACTTCGTCCCATGGTATCAAAAGTGCATCACCAGAATTGGAACTCCACTCAGACCTATCCAGAGGGCGAGCCGAAGATACAAGATTTGAATCAGTGTGAGCAACTATTGACTAGAAGAAGAACGCCGGGGTATAAAATACATGCATAAAGTCAAAAGGAAGAACAAGAATCGAGAATACGAGAGTCATTGTATGCGGCCTGCATGACCAGCAGTGCATGCATGATCATGAACGGATAATGTGGCTGTAGTGCCCAGGCACCTTGAGCCGACATTTCTCGCAGTCGGCGCGATAACCCATCGAAAAACTAACCTTCCCTTTGCCAGAGGATGCATTGCGTTTGACGACAGGGTCGGTGGCATTCTTCACCGGTCCACCTTCCACTGCGCTTGTTCCAGACCATTGACTCGATGGACACTGGTTGTCAACGTCCATCGAAGGCGGTGAATCTGGCACAACTGGCTTGTGGAACGCTGACTTGTTGGAGCAGCCTTCATTGCTTGTCTCAGCTCCTCTGAAAAGATCAGCTACAGCATCTCCACCCTCACTGATGGGGCTGGGAAGACGTCGACGTCGCCACCAATCCGTCTCTTCTTCCGTTTGGGGACCGGGGCTCTTGACGGCCGGCGCCTGTTCCCCGAAGCTGCCAGCATCTCCCATCATCTTGTCAGGATGCATATTCAACGTGAAGTGACCGTAGATGGGTGTGGCAGTCCGCCCGCCGCTGATGTTGAGGGATTGATTGATAAGTTGGTGGGGTATGGGCGAAGGTTGGACACTTCCACATGCTCTGCTCCTTGCGCTGACCGGCCATGGGGACAAGTTATCGCCGTTTATGAGTGGGTGAGGATCGGCCATGTCGACATCCATGGCAGTGTCCAGGGCAAGCATAGGCGGTCGACGACTCTGTCGATCGCGCCAGGGGCGAGATGAACTAGACAGATTGTTCTCATTTCCGGCTTCGTCGTCTGATGAGTCGATAGGCGTGAAGGAAGGTGAGAGGGAGCGAGGAAGGAACTGAGGTTTCGGAGGGAAGAGGGAAAGACGGTCGGTTGAAGGAGAGGAAACAAATGGTTCGGAACGGAGTCTCTGTCCTGATTGTCAGTAAACGCAAACTCGACTGCTTTTTTCATTTCTATTTTTTCATTCTGTCGCGTAGGAATAGGCAATTCGTGGACGGCTGTACCTTGCTCTCATGTTGTTCTTCAAGACCGCAGACCTCATCCTCCTCCCTGCGACGCTTGGCCGAGGAGTTAAACACAAACATGGTATCACTTGTGCACGAAACAGTCTTGAACGAAGATCAGAGCGTCAAAGAATTGGGTCTTTTCTCAGGAGCAGCTGGTGTTTTGGGAAAGAGAAACAAGCCACGGCAGCTGGACATAAATAGCCTCAATGCACGAAGACCATCAAGAAAGGGAGCACGAGCTGCAGCAGTGAATATTGCGCGAGACTCAATGCCGCAGCAGTCCCAGCCAGGAAGAGCAGCTGGGAGCTACCAGGCCGAGGAAGCAGTTTCAGAATGCATGATGGACGTCGGAGATGCGACCAGCTGAGACGGAGGCGAGGGCTGGCGGTTTGGATGATGCGGGTGCGGGATAGGGGCTGCCGCTCTGGGCCTAGCGCCGTCTCCGGGTGAAGACTGCTGCAGGCAATTGGCCGCCTCGCATCCGCTAACAGCCATGCCCGTAGCTTAAATCAAAGAGGAAATACTACGGAGTATTGCAATCGCCAGGAGAGCCTGCCTGATGATCTGATCTTGAAACTGACTGGGCCTATTTATAGTGCCTCTATCGCGATGGCAGTGGAGGAACGACCACACGCGATGTTGACGGCCAGCTAATATTAATGTGGACTTTGCTAGACGAAGAATTGGTGCAGAGTACAGAGTATATACGCTCTTAAACGTTGGATCCGTCCGGAGTACTCTGCTTTTCTCTGAATGGGCTAGCACAAGATTTCCCCAGAACATTAGGAGCTCCGATACCGCAGATGGCATGCTCCCATCCGGATCACTCAGCTCGCTATGCTTGCCTGCTTCGCTTCTCCCTGCTGGGTATCTTAGGGCTCACTGTCCTCAGATGCCGATGGGACATTTGATTACTAGCCTATCTGTCTGCAAGAGTCAGCTAATATGTACTGTATCAACGAAGATCTGACTCAGCCTGACTTGCAGTGTATCTGTGCCTTTTAATATACTTGCTGCTGCTGAAACAGGTGGCTTCTTATCGCGGAGCTTCGGCCCTCACCGCCTGCTGCCATCTCGCCATTCCAGGCGTCCCTATTGGCCAATTCTGCCCGGCCCTCGTCCTCTGCGGGGAGCACGATAAAAAAATTATGTCCTTCGATCACGGTGACACAAAATAAGGTACTTTTGGCGTTTCCTAGTCAAGACAAGACACGCTGCCCATCGTTCGCCTCGTGGGTCTTCGGTGAGTTTCAATCGGTGGGTTCCCTGCACGACCTTATCCCCTGTGCTATCCTCGATTTTTCTTTCCGCCGAGACCAAGGAGGAAATTGCCCCTCATCCCATTTATTTCTCTACTAGGTTCAGTTCAGCTGGAGCTTGACTCGAAGCTCTATTTGCTAAAACCCCCAGAGTACATAGCTCTGCTTCTTGCGTCCCTCTTCTCCGTCTGCATCCGGACAGCCAGGGTCCTGATATCAGTTGCTGACGCCATTCTGTCTGCCCAGATTCTGTCGCGCACATAGGTACTTTGCGACCCGCATAGTTCACCATGCCTCTTGTGAAGCCTGAGCCAGAGGTCAACGAGGACACTCGCGGTATGCACCTTCGCTTCAATTTCGGGGGGTTTCTGCTCATTCACAATGTCCACAGTCCTTGGTTACGATCCTTTGCTCTCTCCTCGCTTCATCCAGAGCGAGATTCCTTCGGTGAGTCATAGATACCCAACTTGGCCCGTGCCCGCATCAGATGATATTGGCAGGGCATTTTTCAAATACGTCAGTTCTGACTCTTGATCTCCATAGTCCGCTGCTTCTGTTGAGACAGTCCGGTCTGGCCGCAAGCAAGCGATCGAGATTATCGAGCAGCGTGATGACCGCCTCCTGGTTGTCTGCGGGCCATGCTCCATCCACGACCCTGACGACCCGCCCTCGAGTATGCGAGCCGGCTGAACGGCCCTGTCCGGAGAAGCTGTCTGGTGAACTGTGCATCATTATGCGCGCCTATCTGGAGAAGCCGCGCACGACCGCGGGTGAAGGGGCTCATCAACGACCCGGACATCGACGAGTCGTACAACATCAACAAAGGACTGCGCATTTCGCGCAAGCTCTACGCTGACCTGACCGGCATGGGCATGCCCATTGCGAGCGAGATGCTCGACACCATCTCCCCGCAGTATCTCGCGGATCTGATCTCTCTGGGAGCCATTGGTGCCCGCACGACAGAGTCACAGCTGCACCGGGAACTTGCATCCGGCCTGAGTTTCCCGATCGGATACAAGAACGGCACGGACGGCAATCTGGGCATAGCGATTGACGCGATCGGTGCTGCCGCTCACCCGCACCACTTCTTGGGCGTCACCAAGGAGGGTCTGGCTGCCATCACCAAGACGTCCGGGAACGAGCACGGCTTCGTGATCCTCCGTGGAGGTAACAAGGGCACCAACTACGACCGCGACAGCATCAAGAGCGCACGGGAGGCGCTGCGCAGTCGGAACCAGCGTGAGATCCTGATGGTGGACTGCTCGCACGGCAACTCGCAGAAGAACCACCGGAACCAGCCGATTGTCGCCAAGTGCGTGGCCGACCAGCTGCGCGAGGGCGAGGATGCCATCATCGGCGTCATGATCGAGTCGAACATCCACGAGGGCAACCAGAAAGTGCCGCCGGAGGGTCCATCCGGACTGCGCAAGGGCGTCAGCATCACGGATGCGTGTATCAGCTGGGAGACGACGGTGGACGTGCTAGAGGATCTGGCCGATGCGGTGCGGGCTCGACGGGCGCTGAAAGCGAAGACGAATGGAGTCAGTCATTAACGGTGATAGACCGGCTAGATCTAACTAGATATCTATCTTTCAACTCCAACAGACACGCTTTGTTTCTATGATAGAGTCGATGAGTCTTGCATTATGCATTATGTTTCTAGTCTATCTTTTTCTCCATTTCAAACGAAAAGTTTAACATGATAAATTGTCTTTCTTCTGTCATTCATTCTTTCTTTATACAAACCTACTCCGTACTACGAATCGTATAGCGGTGATTTTTTGGTGCTATCTATCTACTAGAATCCTAAATCAGAATCAGAATCTAAATCTACTCCTAGATAGAACTCCACTGGACGGCAAAAGAGATACATAGATGTCTGACTGACTGCCTGCCTAATGATTGATTGACTGATCGATTACCTACCTACCTACCTAGTACCTACCTACCTACCGACAACAAGACCAGAAGAAGTCAATATGTATGTACATACATGCGTACGTTCACATACACTACCTCACCGAACCTCTCTCTCCTTTTCTTTTTTTCTTGTTCTCTCTCGATCAATATACAGTCTAACAATAACAATAACAATAATAATAGTGGTGAAGAAGAAGATGATGTCGTCAAGACAACAACCAGACAGACACACAGGCACAGACAGACAGACAATAAACAGAAACAAGAACAAGATCAAGATCAAAAATCAAAAATCAGAAATTCCCCGTCCAAAGCAAAACAATAACAATAAAAAGGGCAGAGAAAATATCTAGAGATGCCGCGAGTTCAGTTCAGTTCAGAGTTCCGATTCAGAGTTCCGATTCATACAGATGATGATGGGTTGGGATAAGAAAAAAGGAGTGTCGAGTGCAGAAGGCAGCAGAGGAGACGATAAATCGATCGATCGATCGATGAAGACGATGACGAGAGGGTTAAAGAAAGAAAAGAAAGAAAAAAGAAAAAAGAATTGGCCATGACCAGTTGAATAAACACCGTTGCAATACAGCAGCAGGAGATAAGATAGATGCATAAATAAAATAAAATACATAGATGAAGAAATTCCTCTTCTCTTCTTTTAATTTCTTTTAGGTTTTTTTTTCTTCTTCCCTTCTTTCCCACTCGTCCTGTCTATAGCATAGCATAGCATATCATTATCTTATCTATCGTCCCCAAATCCAACTCGTCCAGCTTCGTGCTGATTGCTTGGCTGCTGTTTCTGCGTTTTCGGCTAGACGGTCGAGAGAGCCGGCTGTCGTTGTAGATGTAGATGTAGATGCAGACGCAGAGGTATTCGTGTTGTTGATAGTGGTGGCTTCTTCAGCCTTCTTCGCGTTCAGCGCATCGAGGACTCCGACCTTGTTGCCCTCTTTTGCTGCTGCAGCATCCTCAGTTGTTGCTGTTGCTGTCGTGCCGTCCGGTGTATCTTCCTTCTTCAACCCTTCAAACAGGTAGCGCTTGGCCCGGTTGTACCACCGCTTCTGCCTCTCTTCTTCCCGCTTCTGCTTCTCGATCTCGCCGATCTTCTCGTTCCGGAGGATCTCCAGCTGCTCCGGCGTTGCCGTGCCGTTGGTGTATGCTAGCCGCGCTTGCTGGAGCTGTTCGAGCTGTCGGTCCAGCCAGAGGGCGCGCTGTCGACGGTTGTACAGAGTCAGGGACACGATGGAGTAGAGGGTGAGAGCGCCGCAGACACCTGCAGATTGCAGTAAGTAATGGTCGTTATTAAGTCTGACGTCGAAATGAAACCTACCCGAAGCCGCAATCAGCGTGTATATCATCGCCTTGTGAGCCTTGTTGGCTACATTCCGGCCTATCTCGATCATCCGGTCAACCCGCGACGTCGACTGCGCCAGCCGAGCCGCTCGGGCTTGCGCACGCAGTCGCTCGACTTTCTGCCGGGGCGTCTCCTCCTGCTGCTGATTCGAGCCCGACGACGCGGCGGGCTTGCTCAGCTTGGATCCCGGCGGCAGTCGGTATGGGATGGCGGACGGAGTGGCCGTCTTGGAACTGACGTATGGCCCCGTGGCCGTGAATCTCGTCGCGTCGGCGGCGGAGCGAGACATTGTCTTGTTTCTGTCTAGACGGCTGTCCTTTGTTCTTGTTGCTTGTCCAGCAGCACGCGGCTACGGTATGGTGTTGTCGATGGATCAGACTCTCGTTCCTAGATGCGTAGTCATAGGCAGTAGCAGCAGCAGCAGCAGAAGCAGCAGCAGAAGCAGCAGCAGAAGCAGCAGCAGAAGCAGCAGCAGAAGCAGCAGCAGAGGCAATTGAGTTTGAATGCAGACGATCAGCTTCAGCTGCGGCTTGACGGGAGCTGGCGGTGTTGATTAAACGGAGGTGAATGAACTGAACTAAATTTTTAGAGGGGTGTCGCCGACGAAGCCAAGGCGGACATCCGACGATCCGCATCGCATATCAGCTAAGCTGATAGCAGCATGCCATGTCAACATGACCGCAGGACTGACTGACTGATCTGAATAAAATGGTAGACGCTGTCTGAATCTCCTACAATCACCATTACTACACTACCAATCTGCTTCCCTCGACGAAGGACAGACAGACAGACAGATACCATGCAGAGCCCGTTCCTCACACCTCCTCCAGCTTCTTCTTAGAGTCTAGTAAGACTGCCAAACAATGGCATCATCAAACAGCTACAACTACAACAACCCCGAGCTGTCTGCAGTTCTGAAGACTCTATCGACTTTTGCTGCTCCTGCCGGTGCTTCTTCTCCTCCTCCGACAACAACAGCAACAACAACAACAACCCCAAACCAATCTTTCACCAGTGACGTCAACTCTCATCACTTCCATCACACAAGTACCAGCAACCTGCAGGGGAAGACGAACAATGTTGACGACGGCGATGACGAATATGAGCCTTTGGACGTGATCCCTCCAGCTCCAGCTGCAGCTCCAGCTCATGGCACACCCCTCGCGAGCGCTGCTCGTCAACAGACTACAACTACAACAACTCCACCAGCAAAACCCAACCCAAACGCGAACAGCGACCCCTCAACAATCACAACCTGGCCCGCCGCCCTGAAACACGTCATGCGAGCCGTATCGCAGAACGAAGCGCTGCAGGCGCGCATCCGCCGACTGATTCGCAGCCAGCACGAGCACGAGCGGCAATGGTGGCAGGGGCGCGAGGCGCTGATCGCGAAGCAGAAGGCTAGAGTGGAGAAGAAGAGGCAGTTGGATGAGGTTTTGTAAGAAAAACACTTCCCCTCTATATCTTTTTTTTTCCCCTCCAGGTTTGATTGGGTTTACTGTTGAATTGATGGGGACATCAACTGATATCGTCTGCTTTTTTTGCTCACTTTTTTTTTTTGCTTTCGTGTTATAGGAGGTCTGTTGGTGCACCAGTCACTACTTCTACAAGCAGCAAAGGAGGATCGGTATGTTGTCTTTTCTGCTGCCAAACAATCCAGAAGAGACAGAAGACTAAGCAAAATTCCCAGACCGAAGAAGAAAACGAAGCCGAGCTCAAGAACTACGACGCAAAAGTCTACAAGGCCTCCGTCGACATGGCCAGGGCGATGGACGCCGAACTACGCAATCTAGGTATCCCGTTCTTTGCCATCAAGCCGAGTCTGGTCGTTCCGGATGAACAGAAGAACAACAACGGCAACAAAAAGGACAAGGAAGTCAGAGCAGGTGAAGATAGATCACACCCGTCATTAGGTTTGTCTTCTGCTGTCGGAACAGCAGCGGAGAGGAAAGACACGTCGACGACGACAATATCGAGGACGGAATTGCTTACTTTGCAGCGCCGGATGCTGGAACTCTTGCAAGATCTATGCAAGGATTGAACTTGAACAAGGACCATTCTGATTCTTTTTTTATCGGCCTTGTTGATTTTCGAACAAGTATCTCCTAAGGGAGTTATCCGGGAGTTATCCCTCTAATGACCCCCGCCCGCGGTAGTTTATAATGAGAACACAAATGCAGTGGCAAGAATTTGCATTTCTTCCGTCTCTTCTCGCTCAGTTCACGTACGCCGTATGGCAATACCCTCTTTCCAGTGTATGACACCACAAGTCTATCGATGATAGTTTACTGCTCCAGTCCAATCCCTGAGATTGAGAATGCTGGTCAAGAAGAAAAAATAAAATAAAATAAAAGGGACAACGAAATTATGTGCATGAAGGACAGTTTAGAGGAGAAGAGTAAAAGAACAATGCCCGATGCTGGCTAACGGACCTGCTCCGATGGAAAGACAACTTTCATCATGCAGTCCAGAGAAAAACCCCCTTTAACGCAAAAACACCGGATCATGCGAATGGAAAAGAAAAAAAACAAATTCATACATGCCTTGCGGAGGCAATGTGAAGTGAAACGGAGAGAACTTTGAATAGGCACAGGTTTTGATGGCGGGAAGAGAGAAGGAAAAAGGTGTTCATCGAAGTCCAGGTGAGAGAGGGACGTGTCGGGAGGAGAAGAAAGGGAACGTTCTACCGGGCGTTATCGACCGCTGTCACCGTCGACTGCTTCTCGTCAATGGCAACGGCGACGGCGACGGCGGCTCCGAAGATAGCACTCTCCGGCGCCAGTTCCAGCTTGATCGACGGCTTGCTGGTGCCATCGATCGCTTCAGGACAGTGGTCCGTCTCGCGAGCAAGCATGTCCAGGTAGGCCTGACACCGATCCCGGAAGCCCGGGTACTTGTTGATCACGCTGCCGTCACACGCAATGCTCAGGCTCCTGGACGGCTCGTCAATCTCCGTCACCGTGACTTCTTGCGCAGATGGCTCCGTCTTCTTCGCACATGGAACGGTCGTGGACGATGTGCTGGGGAACTCGGCGTCGTTTCGCAAGCACCACATGCTATGAATCGCTGTGGCCAAGTAACCCGCCGCTCGTCTGGACACGAAACCGCAGACCCGGCGAAGGAAGGTGAGATCCTCCGTGGATGGGGTAGCGTGGAAGGTATGCTCCTTCTGAAGAAGAGCGGCAGATGGGGCGAGTGACGGGGACGTGTCCGCCTCGATGAAGGCCACAATCGACGTATCAAAGGAATATGGTTCTCGCATGGAGTGAGGCAACTCTCCGCCGAACAGACCGGCCGTCTCGACCGCTTCGACGATGATGAGCCGCACAATCTCACCGAGATAGCGACCGGTGACCATGTATTCGAGGGGTTGGTAGTCCGGCCGGAGGTGAGTGCGATTGAGCACTTCGTCCCAGCGCGTCATCGGAAGGATACCACCGCCGAACATGCTGAGTTCGCTGTTAATGATCACATGCTTCGCCCGTTCAAACCATTCCCGGGGCCGAACACCAAACTTGCTCAGACCGATCTGGTGGACAGGGAAATGGACCGCGACGTTGGTTCCGGTCCCGAGGATGAGCGACATGCGAGTCCTTGGGTCAACGTAGGCGCGCGACAGAAGCGTCGCTGAGCTGTCGTTCACGATGGCATCGACGCGCACGTTGAGGTTTCGTTTCCGACACGACTGGATGATCAGTTCACCCAACTCCTTGCCGACCGTGCCATTGGAACATAAGAACCCCTTGCCCATGTGGATCACCAGTCCGCTGCTGATCGAAGTCTGGTCGATGGGGAAGGACCACGACAGGCCCATGGCCAGAGGCGTCTCGCCACGGCCGTACTGCGCATCCACCCCGGCCAACATGGAGTCGATCTTCTCGGCCATCCAGTCGAAGAAGTCGGTACCCTCAAGCGCCTTGACGGTGTTGTCAATTGGCGAGGACGCCACTTGCAAGATCTTCATGCCTTCTTCCCGGCCACACAGTTCGATCAGAGCCACGCGGAACGTCGATCCACCGACGTCCAAGGCCAGGTATGTTCCCTTCTCCTTCCCGGTGGGCAGGGCATGGTTGTACGACGGGAGCATGCAAACGGGACTGGACTGTAGACATGCCTTGAGCTGTTCGCGCGTCTTTTCGGACATGGCCAGCATGTTCTGCAGCCCCAATGGGGCGCTGAAAAGGCGGTCGATCTCATGGGCAAAGTCATCGAGCGAGCGACGCGGCCAGGCGGCCCCGCGGAAGGACCTCCTCCATTTCCTGCGGGACGAGTCACGAAAGAGCGAGGGAAAGAAAATCACGGCCTCTAATGCAGCGACAATGTTGTGGAACAGCTCCTGCATTCGGTGCAGTACCTTAACGAGCGGCGCCGCCATGAAGACGGTAGAGGAGGTAGCGAAGACGGGGGGAGGGCTAAGCCAGGGCGACGGGGGGGAGAAAGCAGAGAGACCGGCGCGCCTTGCGGGCGGGCGGACGGGCGGTTCCTGGCGGAAAGACAGGGCGGAGCACGGCTGGATCACGATGGCAGAGATGGCACCACGTCCAGAGCCAGGGACATAGAAGGGATTTATCGGAGACTAACGACAGAGCAGAAGGATGAAACGAGAGTTAAAATAAAGACAACGAGTGTTCGAAGAAGAGGAGAAAGGCGCCAATGCAGGGAGCAGCGATGGTCATGCGGGAGAGTCGTAATCTGTATGACGGCGACGTAGCACCGGCGGGAGATCTGTTTCGCTGTTCCCCAGGACGGTGGAGATCGGGGAATGGACAGGGATGGCCACGCAGGCTGATCACCGTCACTTGAGGCGCTGGGGAGGGTCGTCGGTGGAACCAGGCGGCTGAACACAGGAGCGACCGGAAGGGACGACTACAGAGCACCGAAGATGGGACTGCCAGGCATATGTATAATAGAATATAAACACCGGGCAGGACGCTACCGCAGCGTTGGAGAGAATAGGCGCATGCAGGGCAGGGTGATGCGTCTATGACTCCACCGCAACAAGCATGGCGGACGGGCGGCGAGGGTC